AATGTCGTTAATGAGTAAAACAAAATAAACACATGAACAGTGCAGCCACCAACAGGATGACTACTAACTTGAACAAGGAAATAAAAGACGTTACAAAGTTTAAAAGCAAGGTCGTTAATTGTTTAGATCTGATTGATAAGAATATGTTTGCGGTTTTGGCCAAAAAGTAGTTGTTTCATTTGATGTGTGAAAATATGGCACTTCTTCCGAAGGTCTTGTTTGTAATTATAAAAGATGTACATCGTATATCATGCAAAAGTAAGAAGACGAAAGAACAAAAACATCACAATCGACGAAAGGAAGACGAGAAGTTGGCTCAGAAAAGTGAAACATATCCTGTCTCTGACACAGATATTCCATCAATAAATTGCACGAGAAAAACATGGTAAAAATTTTTGTATCGTTTGTGTAATCATTTAGTCATTACTATAAACATACACCGCCTCCGGGTTCGGGAATTTCTCGCTGTGTTGAAGAACACTTGGTGGTCGTGGGCTATTTTCTGCTCTTTGGTCGGGTTGTTGTCTCTTTGACGCATTCTCAATTTTACGTATAAAAAATGAATGAGTTTTTGCAACTACTGGAGCAAAAGCTGCAACCTTCAAATCAACTTCAATAATTTCGGATCCATTCATTTGGCTGTTCGTGTGGCTGAATCTGAATATTTTTTGTGTTTAATTGTGTAAGGAGTATCATTTGTCTGTTCGTCTTTAATAGTCTTTACCGAGATGTTATCTCATTTTGTTCCCCCTTTTAAATGTTCCTTTAGTATTTTCTTCTGTTTGATCAGCAAAAGTAACGTAACTGCAAATAAAATTTGAAGAGAAATACTGGATATATTTTGAAGAAGTTTTTTATTCATTAAACAGAGTGTATGAAGACCGCTTTAGATGAACTTACTCCAGCAATGTTGACAGTTACTACTGATGATTCTGCCAATGGATTTAGTCCAGAAGACACATTGTTATCCTCTGGATGGATTGCCGATGCTAGAAACCCTGTAGTTGTTTTGAAATTAAATGACGATGACGACAGTCCAAAGATATACGAAGTTGGTATGACTGTCACTAATGTAAAAAGGATAGACGCTGAATTAAAGAATGTAGAAGGAGTATCAGTATTAACTGTAACGGTAAGTCTGTTATATGCTGCTCTGACACGCATACTTCTACGTTAGTTGATCCCTAGTGGAGAGTTGTCGTATTGGCAATCATACCACATCTTATTCTTATATAAAAGACAGGACTGATATGTGTTTGGTAAATTTGATGATATTTTGTGAAAATTGAAAAGAAAACGGAAAAACAAATGTGAAATTTTGTGAAGCATATTCTTGCGTCTGAAGTTCAACGAATATTGATAAACATATGTATTTTATAGTATTTTAAATGAATCCTTGATGTAAAAACATGTCAGTTTAGAACCAGTTAAAAAAAAAAATACATAAAAAATATTTGATAAGTGCATTTTAACGGCTTTGACATCTAAATATTACATGATGCCCTAAATGAATTTTAGCCACCATTTGAAAAAAATGTCCTTGAAATTTGAGAAACCACATAACTTTAACGTAACATCAACGTCCTTATGTTGTCTTCATAACTGGGATCAAATTTGAAGACAACAAATTCTATTGCAAACGCAAATAATACTTTATAGATTTCGTGTGCAATTTGATAATCATAAAACTATGCTCTTTTGCTTTCCTATGCCAATCTTATGCTGGTGTACAAATCTTACGTGTAATGTTTGCGTCTTATTTGCATCAATATTGACTATTTGTTCATTTGCATCATAAAAATGTTTGCAAATAAACTCATCATAGATACCAGGATTGAAATTTTGTTTTTTGCACCAGACGCGCGTTTCGTCTACAAAAGACTCATCAGTGACTCTCGAATCAAAACAAGTTCGAAAGGCCAAAAAGTAGGAAGTTGAAGAGCATTGAGGACCAAAAATTCCTAAAAGTTTTGCCAAATACAGCTAAGATAATCCATTCCTGGTGATTGCAAGCGGAGCCTATGCTGACATGTCAGTTATCTAGTTGCTTTAATTGTGTGACATCTCGTTATAGCGATTTAAAGATTTGTAACATATTTACTGTTATTATTTTCTTTACAAGATCAAATGTGTTTTTATTCTTAAAATGAATATGTCAACATTTGAAAACGTTCATAATTTGTAAATGCACAACTACATAATAAGACGGGAAAAAGTACAGAAGTAACACATTTCCAATGCTTCATAGGAACAGAACATGTACAATTTAAAAATTGCCAAATACATCACGATAAAGATTTCATGACTTGTTAGGTCAATATTAAACTTTTAACTATAAAACTATCTACTTTTAGTACATTAACATACATAAACCAGCCATCAAGAATTGTATTTCATTTTGTAAATTTTTTTTTATGTATAACGTAACCGAAACTTTACCATTTTATTACAGCAAAAGCCAAAGTCAACCGGACAAGAACCAGTAGTTCTAACGTTCAATGGTGTTATTGGTACAGAAATTGTTATTAAACTTGTGTCGCCATTAAGGGCTGAACCACCGATTGTTTCTGATACAGAAGTAATTGCATGTATTCATCCAAAAGGTAATATCATTATGTGGATATGTGATATCTATAAAGAAAAAGAAAAGAAAAGAAATGCTTATTTCTTAATATTAATATGAATAAAATCTGCTGAATCTATAAATAACCAGATATCAAAAGGAAACTTTATAGCCAACTATACGGTATGGGTTTTTCTCATTGTTGAAGCCGTACGGTTGCATATAATTGCTCACATCCACTTCATCTGAACTTTGCTGGATAGGGCAATCATACCACATCTCTCTTTTTGAAATTTGTATTGTTGTTCTTAATTTTAATAGTTTCTTGAAGGTTTCAACGATGTTACAGCACGATCAGCACGGTTCCTAACTTTAATGTCTGTTAACTCTTTCAAATTACCGCGCTACTTATGTCTTAAAATGAACATAGGCTAAACTACGATATGTATGAAAATGTTCATATGTGTTAACGTTAGAGCAAACTTGTATTGGTTAATTGGTTAATTGACTCATGATTTCGCTGGAATAATTATATATTCAAATTAAATGTTATTAGTTTTGCATCTTTATACTGTTAGTACCTTTGAATTATCAATGTTTTGGGGAATATAACACAACAAAATATCATTGGAAGGCTTAATTGTGGAGAATAGTTAGATTGGTCGTTACATGTATTTGATTTTTTATACCTATAAGTATACAGATTGCTGTCGGTGTGACCCAAGGCTCCGTGTTGAAGACCGTGCTTTGACCTATAATGTTTTACTTTTTTAATTTTGACTTGGATGGAGAGTTGTCTCATTGGCACTCATACCACATCTTCTTATATCTATTGTATGATAAAAAAGTATATGTAAAAGTATATTGTTTTTTGTTCCACTTCTGTGTTCTGTTACTTCGTTGTTTTCCTCTTATAGTTGATGTGTTTCCCTCGGTTTTAGTTTGTAACTCGGATTTGTTTTCTCTTAATCGATTTATGACTTTTGAAGAGCGGTATACTACTGTTGCCTTTATATATGACGTGGATTAATGAATATCTGGAGATAGAAATAAAGCAATTTTGGTCTTGCTGCATGCATATCTTAGATATCGCTTTTTTCTTATATTAACCCTTACTCATGTTTTACTGAAATTTACAGTTTTTATTATAAAGTAGCAGTTTTTGAAACAGAAATAGACAACATCGCTATAAAAATGTTTCACACACTCTTATAACTCAATTTTCCTTTAGCATTCATTGTAAATCTATTATTGTATTAGTCCAAATAATTATGACGTCTTGCAAGGCTATTTTAATTTTTTTTCTGGGACGCCTTCCTACGATATAGTTATGACGTCTTGCAAGGCTATTTTAATTTTTTTTTCTGGGACGCCTTCCTACGACGTCATAACGCTGAAGCCATTTTTTACGTCTGGACTTTGAGAGAGAATTTTGGGGGGAACTTTGAGACCCAATTTTGGCATGTAATCTTCATTGCCGGCTAATAAATTTTACATAGTTACAAAGTGTTACCTTTTTTGTGCTTATTGATGTAAAATATTTCCAGAAATATCCAAACGAAATGATGAAATAAGATGCGATTCCATTTGAGGTGGGCAAAAATTTATTTTGTTTTCAAAATGGTTTCCCATAATTTCCAAAATACGTCACTTCCGGAGTGTATAAAATATAAAAGTCGGTAAATTTTGGCAGACCCGATTTTCCGGATAATACAAATCGAACGTTCCGGAAATTCGGGTCTATCAAATTTTACCGACTATGATATTTTATACTCTCCGGAAGTGACGTATTTTGGAAATTGTGGGAAACCATTTTGAAAACAAAATAAATGTTTGCCCACCTCAAATGGAATCGCATCTTATTTTATCATTTCGTTTGGATATTTCTGGAAATATTTTACACCAATAAGCACAAAAAAGGTAACACTTTGTAACTATGTAAAATTTATTAGCCGGCAATGAAGATTACATGCCAAAATTGGGTCTCAAAGTTCCCCCCAAAATTCTCTCTCAAAGTCCAGACGTAAAAAATGGCTTCAGCGTTATGACGTCGTAGGAAGGCGTCCCAGAAAAAAAATTAAAATAGCCTTGCAAGACGTCATAATTATTTGGACTATTATTGTATAAGCTATAGAATCTTTAGCATTCGGGCTTACATGAAAGACTATAATGAATGTAATTATGGGTGTGATCATTTCAGGTAAGAATATAAGGGTTGTGTTTATTTGACTACTTTTCTATCTTCTACGAATATAAATTTCAAAAATGAAATGTAAATATGTATGTTGTTGCTACAACTAAATTGCTTAGTTGTGTACATTTTACTGAACATTCATTTCTTTCAAGATATTTGAGTAACACTTTACAAAAAAATATTTTTGATGATGTAATTAAGATTTCAATTTAGAGAAAGAAATAATGTAAATATGTTTTTCAGAGATTACAACAGTCATCCTGCCTACTATATCATCAACAACTTTGGTATCGACAACGACAGGTATGTTTAAGTAAACATTCACGCTACCGATTTAATCTGGTTAAAATTATAATTAAAAAAAGATTAAATTGTGCAGAGATATTTTGTCAGTTTTAACCAAAACATAGTTGTCCAGTTTTGATGTGATAAATTTTGGAACATTTCTCAAAAATTGTGTTTATAACTTTAGTACAGGTGGAAGCAGTCATTATAAAATGCATAGCTATATAAGTTGTTAGTTAATGGTTTATTTGTCAGATATATATGTTATTTTGCAATTTGACAGAAAAATGCAAATCCAAACCCACATACTAAAGATCACTGGTATGTTCAATAGAACTACTTCATTTGAAATATGTTATGAATAAATAGTTTTTAAATTAGGCAAGTATTTTTTATAATTAACAGTGATATCTCGTTTCATAAATTAGTCAGCTGAAATTCTGACCCAATCAGTAACATAGCATAGTCAATGACATGGTTTTCAATTAAAAAAAAATCTTTTTAAAACGATTTATCTAATCAATCTTTTATATATAGAAATAAGGAGATGTGGTATGACTGCCAATGATTTATTCAAAACGAAAGATGATAGATATTCTTTTCTACAATGTTAATGAGAAGATAAACAATAGTCCAACAAAAACACGATACAGAAACAAATGATTGAAGACCAAGAACCCCGTTAAAATTTGGGATGAATACAGGTGATCTGGAAGGGTCAACAGCTCTTAATCCATTAATAAACCTTGCTGTGTTTCTCTATTTAAATACTATGCCATGTCATCATCAGTGAGTAGACATCATACCATTTGCACATTGGTAAATGCCTCATTTATAACTCTAAGACATCACTAAAATTCATGAACCATCGTTACATGTAAGTCAAATTGCCCTAAAACTTACCCGAACTCTTAAATCTAAACTGAAGCTTACCACAAAATTATGTCCGTGTTGTTAAACAGTATTCAACAAAATATGTCATCGGTGAAGTGCTTTAGAAGCGACATGATTTTAATTTCTTTATGTGAAATAAGTTCAAACCCTATTGATGTAAATTTAAATTAATAGGTTATATACATTCTGTGCTTTAATGTTATTTTAAAACAATTGCTTAACATTTCCCGATTTAGGAATAGTTCAATTTGGAGTTTTTGCGAGTGACTCAGGTTTATTTTTTACCTTGATTAGTATATTCTAAATGGATTTATGAGAATATCGGTAAAATAATGTGGACTTTAATAGAGCGTTTTAAACTATATGTACTTGCGGTAGGTTTACACACAATCACGTTGTTAATAATGTTGTTGAAATAATTAAATTTTTTTTAAACATATTGATCCCCATATCCTTTTTTCAAAACAAGTGGAACCAACTTGGATTCCCCAATAGAAAATTTTTAATATATATAAATAAACAATTGATTATAATATTTGTTTTTATTTATATGTATAGCAATCAAAGAGTGTCCAGTAAATACGGTATCTGATACCTTAGATGTTGAAGACGTGGTTACTTCATCTAATCCAACCGAAGCAGATCAAGTTCTGGAACCTGAAGGATGGACACCAGCAACTGATGACACTACTCCGAGCGTTGTATTGTCATGGAAGGAACCGGAATCAATTATGGATGTAATTGTAGAAACAGAAAAGATTGACACTATCCAAATCATTGTCTACAATGACGACGTAGTTGTTTTTGATGAGCCGTTCAAGGTATGATATAGCTGCATTAGCGAAGAAAACTACTGAATAGTAAAAAATTCAAGAATACTTGAACTTCCCAATGATGTTTTACAAAATTTAGTTTTTCGTGTTTTTCGCCTTTTTTATTTAAGGTAAAAAAAAATATAACCTTTTAATTATTTCTAAGGTCGTTTATATATATTTTTGCACTATTTTATTCTCATAATAAAGGAGCAGCTTTATGGAAAAGATGCAATTATTATTACATCAAAATACTTGCAATTTAAGAAATGCAGACTAAAAAAATCTTGACAAATGTTGAAAATAACCTTCTGCATCAGAAGAAAGCCAAAAGTCTGTAAAACTTTACTATAATGTAGCAAAATAAAACAAATCGACGGTAGAATCCCTCAAGAAATGGCTACGATCAAGATTATATTTTGGCTGATGTTCTCATTGACATTGGAACTTCAAATTTTAGAGTTCGATATAAACGTTGGTATCTGATATGTTACGATACCGGTTGTGACCTATTCCGATTGTGACCTATTTCCGATTATGGCATTTTTACGTGTTAAAACAAAGTATTGATTCGCATGGCGTGCATAACAGGATACGCTAACCCTGCGAAGCACCCGGTCTTACTCCTTTTCGATTTTATTCGATTCCCTCAGTTTTTGTTTTTAACTTGATGTGTATGTACTCAAATGAGATTTTAACTGCTGTTTCCTCGAGTATATATAGCTGCTCAAGAAAAGTGAAAAGAAGCTGTTTTAGGGGTACACAAAAGACATTTATCAATCCGCTATTGTAAAACATTCAACGTTTGACCAAAGTATCTTAATAAGAGTTTGTAACCTTATATTTCTACGTATTTTTACATCACTGGTGTTCCTGATAAAGGTCATTTCTGAAATGCGATACGGATGCTCGAAGTTTTTAAAGTGTAATTTTAATTCAATAACATGACGAGTGTCACTATTTGAGAAGAAACTGCTGACCTCTCTACAGTAGCTGAGTTATCTTGAGATTTTGTTTGGTACCTTGATTTGTCTCTTGGTAATCGATTTACGATATTTGAACATCGATAAACTACTATCGACCTGATTTAACCACATGTTTTGATGGAATTCGTCTTGCTCCAGTTTTAGTTTTGTGTAGATTTTGTAATTACTGTCGATATTTTATTGTTCCTTTGGTATCCCCTCTTTCATTTTTCTAAATAATCAATTCAAAATGATAATGCTGTGATATGAGACACTTCTGACAAAAATCAGACTAGCAGTAATATCCACTGTGCTTTGAGTCGTCCAAATAATGACAATAGGATTTCAACTAAAGGGGGATGAAGACTTTATTAACTTTATTCTATTGATAATGGTTTATTTGCAAAATAAGTCATAGTGTTTAATAAGCAGTGATTAAATGTTTTCTGTTTTAACAGGTACAACCAGGTGACAAAACAGTAGAAGTAAATTTACCGACTATTAAAAATGACAAAGTTCCGGGTAACAAGATTGAACTTATTATAACACCTGTGTCAGACTATGTTACGCCTGTTGTGAAAAATGTGAACGTGAAAGTCTGTAGGAAAGGTAATTGGTTTTTTATAACTCTAGAAAATATGAACAATATTGTAGCAATAAATTATCATAGATGTTTTTTTTATTCAGAGATTTTGCAACAGTGCATTTACTTTTAAATGCTTGTGTAAAAATGACATTCTTGTACTCAAACAAATTTGCCCCGATTCCTCCTTATTGCTTTCAAAAATAGAAACACGATTGATATTGTTAATGTCAATTAATGCATTTTTTGCCTCTTAATGAGTAAATTCCCGATTGTTAATCCATTGTGTTTGCTCTTGATCTCTTTTACATATACATCAATTTATCTGTGTTGAGAGTGGATTACATTGTTAATTTTCAACTTTCTTATTGCCTTTTTTAATCAATAAACAGTCATAAGAAGCCGACTTTTTTCATCTATATTTGAAAAATTTCGTCTTCTGATATAAACCATAAGGAATACATTAATAAATTTGCAAATGTTATCCAAGTAACATTTTCAGGTAATGTAAGCTTAAATAAAAGACAGAAACAGTCAGAACGGCTATCAAAATGCTTCACATGCCACATTTATACTCTCTCATGAAAAAACATTCTTCTAACGTCCCATATGAGGCCTCGATCATATTAGCTTTAACCTTCTGGCCAATATGCAATTCCCGTTATGATTATATCATTTACCATTGTGGATGTACTAATTACATGGAACAATATTTGTTTTTTTCCAACAAATTTTATTAATCATTACTATGTTTTAATCATCCAAGGAAACGGATTTGTAAAGAAATGTAGCCATTTATTTGTTTGCTACAATTAAAATGATATGGTATGTACATTTTTAAAAACATTCATTACTTTTCAAATACGGTGATTCTGCTGATGTATTTAGTTTTGGAATTTTTTTAATTAAATAAATATAAAATAAATATCTTTTCCAGAGATTACAACAGTCATGCCTCCATCTACGGCAACAACAATATTGATAACGACAACAACAGGTAAATAGAAGTGTTATCAATAAGTTATAGTGATGTCCCATTATCTTATAACGACTTGTAATGGCATGGAAATACATAGATTGTTTTATTGAAATTTGATGTTATAAAATTTTGAAATCCTTTATAGTTTAAGGAATATATCTTGCTCTTGCAAAATTCTGATTCCTTGTCCGGATTAGACTTTACTTTAGGTTCTGTTTGGTTTGATTAGATCTTCAACGTTTGCATTTTGTTTTGGATTTTCAAATATTTTAACCTCGAGCATCACTTTAAAGACATTATTCATCGAAATGCGCATCTGGTACAGTACAATTGGTATTTTTTATGTGGTTTTATTATAATAATAGGTTTATGACTCTTTTGCAATAGTTTGTTTTCAGAATTATGTATTCAAGATATATTCAAGATTTTTTTGCAAGCCTTAAAAAATAGGATGAAAATATATAGAGGAACAATCAAAAGACTAACAACAAAAGTAAAACAATGAACTGACAAACGACAGTACAATATAATTGTTGATAGAAACTAACGATTGAGCAACACGAATTTCATCAAAAACCAAAGGTGAATCAGGTGACCCGAAATGGTCAGCAGTATCTGTTTTAACTTCACTAGAGACACTTGGTGTGCTACTCCTTTGTTAAAATACATTAATTGTCCATCTTCATTGATAAGACATCATACAATGACAGATTGGTGAATTCCTCTTGTTTCACCCTATGACATCACTTAAATGCACAAAACATTGCTACATGAAAATGTTATTACCCAGAGGTATTTCAATGCAAACAATAAGAAAGAGATTATCTATAACTAATATTCATACAACTGATTGTAGTATAAGTAATATTTATATTTATAGAAATCAAAGAGTGTCCGATGAATACTGTATCTGATACCTTAGATGTTGAAAAAGTGATAACTTCATCTAATCCAAGTGAGGCAGATCAAGTTCTGGAGCCTGAAGGATGGACCCCAGCAACTGATGATACTACTCCAAGTGTTGTATTGTCATGGAAGGAACCGGATTCAATTATGGATGTTATTGTAGAAACAGAAAAGGTTGACACTATCCAAATCATTGTCTACAATGACGAAGTAGTTGTTTTTGATGAGCCGTTCAAGGTATGATATATATTAAAATAACTGGTTGTATAAGCCATGAAAACTAATGAATAGAGATATTTTCAAAATACTTAAACTTCCCAAAGTTGTTGTCACCAAATTTAGTTTCCATATGTTCTATTCAAGTTTGCAGAAAAAACTATAACCTATTAATTATTTTAAGCCTATGTTCGTATTTATGTATAGTTTGTTATTTACATGACAGAAGGAAAGCATTGTGGAGAAGTTGCAATCATTATTAAATCACAATACTTGCAATTTAGGAAATCCAGAAGTTGGTTAAAGTTTTTGTTTTCATACAATAAAAACAAAACAAAACTCGATATATTAGGAAAAATTTAATATTCTGCCTTTTAAGAAGGTCAACAGTGTAAAACTGAAATAAAATGTACTAGTTATTGGAAGAATAAAAAATCAAGGGTATGTTACCATAGGCAATGGATGCGATCAGGACATATTTTGGCTTCTGACTGAAATGTGAACTATATGGTTTTGTGTATTGTTGTTTGTCTTTTGGTCTTTTTCTTTTGGCGTTGTCAGTTTATTTTCGACTTATGAATTTGAAAGTCCCTTTGGTATCTTTCTCCTCTCTTTTATAGTATGAATAGTACATAGTATCGATGTTGCTCGTGATTCCTGGTGTCACAATTAAAGCATATATAGTGTTACACAATAGGCGATCGATATGACTTGACTAAAAAACAGAGATTTTGGTCGATTTTCATTTGGTTTTCGGACCTACAAATGATCAGGCATGGAAGATTGAAACTAAATATTTGTAGGTGTCGTAATAAGTACATATTTTTAAGGACCTTACAGATTAACAAATCGCATATATCTTTATTTTATTCAAAACCACCTGATTGTAATATTTCAATATTTTAAGCCACTTTTCTTACAAGCATTTGTGAGAGAAAATGATTATTCAAAATTATAATAGGTGGTATATCTAATCTGTGAATAGCAGAAGACACTCGCTCTTTCGACGCACCTGATTATTGTTAGTTCAAGTGCTATCGTTATTTGTTTGTTAACTTGATTTGCATCTTTTTGATGGATTTATGAGATTTGAATATCGGTAAACTTTTGTTGCCTCGAGTATATATAGCAGCTAAAAGAAATGATAAAAAGCTGAAAGTAATCTTTAACTTCACTTAAAGATGATAACCTCACTGAATAGTTCAACACTTTGTCACTACGTTGACTCCATATACATTTATTCCAAACTAATCTAATATGATGGGATACGACAGATGGAGTAAATATAAAAATAAGAAGTTATAATTTGATTGCCAATGAGACAACTATCCACCAGAGACCAAATGACGTAAATACTAGCAGTTATAGATCACCGTACGGCCTTCAACACATAGTATAGGTCATACCTACCACATAGCAATTTATATAAGGCCCTTACATGACCAAATGACAAAACAATTCAAACGAAACCTTATTTATCTACAAAACAATTAGCGAAAGAGAAATTTGATATACTGCACAAATCGACAACCACTGGATTACAGTGTCCTCTACTTGGACAAGCACAGACATAGTGTAGCAGAGTTAACCTGTTTGCAGCCATATATGGGACAGTGGTGTAAAAGAACAAACTGTAAAAACCAAATGAAAAGTCTGCTTCATATCTTGACTTATCAGACAAAAGGATTTTAATGTTTTCATTGTGAACTTTCGATTTCTGCGCAAAAATATTCCAGCAGCGTCTATATATGTAGTATATATCTCTCAGTCAAAATAATTTACCAGGGCTTGCTTTCCCTATCTAGATTTTCTTGATAGAGGACTTTTGTTTACAAGGACACTAGAGTAACACGGGTTCCAAATGGTAAATTTGAAGTTATCCCTTCGAAAGTTTTACGGACGCCATCATGGTTTGGTTGACCATTATGAAATATCTTTGTCAGAGATGACCACGGATATGTTCCGCTTGTCATATCAAGAATCTAATCCTCTATTTCTTGTGCCATTACCAAATGTGACTTATCAATGTCTCTTCTTTATCGATTTACTAGATTTGACCATCGGTAAACAATTGTAGCCTTAATTTATCACAGTATTTTACGTGCAATGAGTAACACGACAGATGCCATTATTGGAGCAGGAACTGCAAAAATCTTGTTTACCTTTCGTCGTTAAAACCCTGTATTCCTATCAAACGTTCATGTTTGAGTTTTAGGGTAAAGGAACTTACATGTACCAATGACTTTTGTTTTCGTTGATGCGTTATAGTAAGACAAAAGATATTTTTCATTCCACTATTGTAAGATACATAACCATTGGATCATGTATCTTAACAAGAGTAATCTTACATTCCTACATTTATGAAAATCTCTTTCAAATCTTCAGGGTTGAACGTTCTGGATGAAGGTAAAGGCTTAAAAGCGATTTGGACGCATGCAACTAATTAAGAGTTATTTTTATTCATTTACACGAGTAACGTGGTTGATAACACGTGTGGAGCAAGCACTGCTGATCCTTTCGGAATACCTGAGTTAACCCCCGCATTTTTGTTGGGTTCGTGCTGCTCAAGTTTTAGTTGTCTCTGTAAGGTTTGATATTGTTTTTGGGTTTGGTCAGTCAATTTCTGTGCAAATTGATTACGTAGTGAACATAGAACGGGTTTGAAAAAAATCAGACTAGCAGTAATATCCTCTGTATTTTTAATCATCCAAATCTAATAAAAGTAAGATTACAACTATTGGGTAATGTAGACTTTAATGACTTTATTCTATGGACAATGCTTTATTTGCAAAATATGTCATAGTGTCTCATTCCAGTTTTTGAATGTTTTCATTTTTAAACAGGTACAACCAGATGAACCAGTAGAAGTAAATTTACCGACTATTAAAAATGACAAAGTTCCGGGTAACAAGATTGAACTGATTATAACACCTGTGTCAGACTATGTTACGCCTGTTGTGAAAAATGTGAAAGTGAAAGTCTGTAGAAAAGGTAAGTAATTTTTTTTATTAATCACGCAAACTAATTAGAAAAATGGAAAACTTGTAACAATAAACTATCAACGTTTTTTTTAACTCAGAGAATAGGATATGTTTTAGAATATAGTTTAAAATGCTTGTGTAAACATTACATTCTTGTACTTAAACAGGCTTGCGCCAATTCTTCCGTATCACTTTTTTGCCAAATAGAAGCGTTGTTACGTTTTAAGGTTTAAATTCACGATTTTGCATATATCTGCTTGCTCTTGAACTATTTCAAGTATACATGAACTTTTCAGTGATGACAGCGGATTACATTTTTTTTTCAACTTTCTTGTTTTCGTTTATTTTTTCTTTAATCAATCAGGTGTCATAACTATTTCGCGCACGTTTTGAAACTTTTTATGACTTGACTATATGTACAATTTGACAACGCACTTTTTATATGTCTTTTTAAAAACGAGTGATGCCACTTAATCAATCTGTCTCTGATTTCCCTTTCTGGGTACGTAAGTTCTTCCCTTGATTTGCTGAAGTTCGTGTTACTCAAATCCTACTTTTCAGTGTAGTGTTTTTTTAATTGTTGATTTTCTTTTTGCCTTTTTTAGTTAACCTGGCCCATAGACCAGAATCTAGTATTGTCGTAGGTTAACTTTTACACAAATCTTTCCTCCGAAACTACAGAGCCAATTGAAACGAAACTTAGCAAAATCATCCTAAGAGTATATATTTTAAAACATGTGTCCGATGATCCTGTTTGCGTTATAGGCTCCTGCGTTATCTGTTTTTTTTACCATTTATTTAGATTGCTTAATTGTATCTTCGTTTATAATTTTTGGTTTAAGCTATAAAAATTCTGCTGAGTTTGATCTTAATATAAACAATTCATTCTAATCTTAAACACTGTAATGTTCTTTGAAGTGAAGTAAAGAATATGATTTGTCAATTATTTTACCCCCGTGTAACCAAAACATATATAATATTCCTTTTTCGGATAATTAACAATGGCAGTCAAATGTATTTGTACTGTGAGCTATTATGTTTCCAACTTACAGTGGGAAGTAATACTTGATCAAACGTTCAAGGTTTTAGCCGGGATCAATTATGTAACAAATTTTGCATATTCTAAAATCCATGAAATGCTTTTAATAGATTTGCACGTGTTTGGGGGAAATATCTGTGTTTCGTGACTTCATTTATGTCCCCAAAAAGAACAAATACAAATACAAATGTAAGACAAAATTGCATTTTTGAAACTTATTGTAGTAAACTGTCGAACACAAAATCAGTATATTGCTATTTCATAAATTCCTAAATGAGGACCAAAACATGACGAAAAACCAATTGATATCAGGTTATATAAAACAAACAAGTTTCCGGAAAAATCTGTATATTTCCTTGACCCAAATAACATACCAAAACAATGAGCACTTGCTAACAAAAAAGGCGGCATGATTTCTGTACATAACAAATAACGTAATACTGACCATGAATTTATTCTTAATGTATGCTAATTCTATAATACGCCACTGAAATATGATTTGTTTTAAAAATGTGATACATTTAAGCGCTATGGCTGACAAATATTAATAGATACTATGATTTTATTTTACCTTCGAATGAAATGTTTAACCACATTTCTAATGCTATATCCATTTATTCCAGAAACAACCACAACACCAGTACTAACAACAACAACAGGTATACACTGCATTAGTTTTTTCTTCAATTTAATGAAAAGCATAACACGGAAATATTATTACTGATTAATTGATAGTTACACAAGTACTTAAACCAATACCGTCATCTTTTATATGTGATCAATACAAAATTTTTCCTCAGTTCGGGCAATTTACAACATTTCTAAACATTCCAGAAACCCAGGTTATCACACGTTTATCATTTGATTTGAATAATACAGTATCCAACTGAGAAACACCCAAATACAAGGTGAGCGTAAAAAATCCTTTATAGTACTGAAATGCAAATAAATAGTAGTCTGTGATAATTGTATGTCAGAACACTAGTATTCGTCAGTACATATCTACAAATTGGATATCTTATTTTCAGTTTTTATCAAAGTAATGAATTCAAAGTTAGCATATATATGAGTTTGATCTTTTTAAATTTGGTGCATAGCACATTATTAATTGAATTGCCTTTGTTACAGAATGTATGAAAACTACTATGGACGATGTATCTCCCGACTTGTTGACAGTCATTACTGAAGACTCTGCACTTGGGTTTAATTCAGAGGACATATTTAAAACCTCAGGATGGGTGGCCAAAAAAAATAAACCTGAAATTACATTGGAATTGAGCGATAGTAATGATAGCCCCATGGTGTATCAAGTTGTTATGAATGTAGCTAATGTTCAAAAGATTGAAGCTGTTCTAAATAATGTAGAAAAAGAATTTGTAAAGTCAGTTACAGTAAGTCTCATAATTGCAAAACATTTATGTAGTTCAAGTGTTCACTTAATATCTCATAACACTACTCAAAAGCAATAAAAAGGAAACTAACTATACTGTAATCGTAAGAACTTCAAATATAGTGTAAGATCTGTTGTTTCAACAGAGATAGCATTGCCTTCTATACATCAGTTACAAGTGTCAAATACATGAATATTCCCAACTCTGTAATAAATAAGTAAGGCCATGTGGTACTCATAGCCTGGTTATAGTGTATCTATTTAGTATAATTATTAACACGAACATAAAACTTATAAAGTAAATTTAATATTTTTAGGAAATCTTCAATATAACATTGCTGATAAAATAGTCCAGTATTTTGGAAAATGAAATAACAATTAACTTATTTGGAGTGACTGAACAACCATCACCAGGAACGCTCAAATCAAAACATTTGAAAGCATAGAATGTAAAACATTTTGAATACTTAAGGAGCTTTGGGAGCAAATTCTTACCAAAAAAAAGAATCAAATCTATTTAAAGTCAACTTTGGATGAGTGAATTTGAACCTTAGTTTCGTCAAAATTTCTAAATTTGATACCGGAGACGTTAAGAAAGGTACTTTATAAGTTATAAGTGCTAGAAAATAGAAACTGAACTTTACTAGTTGGGGGCGTCCGAAGCGCTTTTCTGAATTATGGGAAATTTTCTTATACAGTGTATTTGTCATTAAAATCCTTTTTTTCTATCGAAACAGCTCCTTATTCCCGAATTTACAAATCATATTGAAGAAAGTAATGCAATTTTTTCAATTTGATAAAAAAAATGGTGTAGAGGGTAGAAAAGTAGAACGTTTTTATATTGTTGTGTGAACATATAATATATGATGAACTCTTTAACGTACATTACGGTTAAATACTTTTATTTAGTATCTGCAAATGTTCTTGTTCATCAAGATATGCCTTATCTGATCTGATCTGAAACAATTTATTTGTGAAATAATTGTAAAAGAGACAATGTCAATAAACTCGCGCGTTTCGTCTACAAAAGACTTATCAGTGACGCTCGAATCAAAAGAGTCAAAAAGTTAAAAAATAGTACGAAATCAAAGAGCATAGAGGACCCAAAATTCCGAAAGATTTGTCATATACAGCTACGGTAATCTATTCCCGGGGTAGAAAATCATTAGTATCAAATGATATCCACGGACAACTATTCGGGAAAGAGTAGCAATCGGTTATTAAAGTTGATAAATCTTTGGATAAAAGCAATCCATAAATATTTGTTAAGTATATTAATTTCGTATTGTAGAAAGAACCCGAATCAACATCACCTGAAACTGTTGTATTGATGTTTGATGGTGTTATTGGTACTGAAATTGTGATATCACTGTCTTCGTCAGGAGAACAACCAATTGTCTCTGATGTAAAAGTGGTGGCCTGTATTCATCCAACAGGTATAGAAAACATTATAGCAGTACATGTTAGGGGTACAACCCACAGACATGAATCAGAACAACAATTATTAGGTGTGATAATAGATAATTGTGCAAACGAATACTGCTAAAATGTATTTTTCTGTGTCACATCTCCTTGCTTGTTAGTCGCAGCTGGATGTTTGGAAACTGGCTCTTCCATCTTCTAATTATTTCTCATCTAAAACATAATTTAAGATGCATATTGCTGTGCTTCTTTTAGGCATATCATCTTTCATAATTTTCAAAAGTTCAAGATTCGATCATCATCGACAGGTAGAATTTAATCATAAATGTCAATAATACAATTTGTTTTCAAAATAATACCATTGGTTGTATATTGCGAAGCATCTCTTCTCCCTCACCTGGTCGCATTGTTATTTACCCGATAAAAAAAGAAAATATTAAAGGACGTGCAATATTCCCTCTTCAATTTTTGCATTATTTTTATTCATTCGTTGTTTTTGTAAATATTCGGTTGTTTGAAAGATGTGTGGACTTCATATTATCTTCCCAAGTATTATTTAAGTTCTAGCCTTTATACCACAAGTATTTTCAAGTCCGTACGACAACATTCTGCACTCTACCAGTGTGACTTAGGAATTTCAAAATAGGACATTTAAGTTTTTAATCTATTATAAAAGTAATTATTAACCTATTGTTTTCAAAGGTATGAGTTTGTTGATCTAATATTTTGTAAGATATTAGAATTGCTTAAAAGTATTCATTACCATTTCAGTATAATTGTGTGTTATCTTTTTTCAGAGTTAACAACAGCCATAAGCCCAACAACAGGAACTACAACTCTGCAATCAACAACAGGTAAAACTGAAAACCTGTTTTCTCTTTGATTCAATTATGTAGGTAGCTACATCACTTGACCCAGTAACTGATGCTTACTGTTAGTTATTGGTTTTAGCATGAAATAACCAACTTGCCAAACATTTTTGCAATATGTTCTTGATATTTAGGTTGACAGCCACACAAAATATTGAATTATTCAACAAGATATAATTAAGATGCACAATATTTCATTGTAGTGAAAACAATAAAGTTTATTTACATTCGCCATTTTACTAACTTCAATCTTGTAACTAAAAAAACACCCAATAATGCCAATAAAATTTGCATACATAATAATAATGGTAAATCAAGACGTAAATATAAACAATATCAACTTTTGTTATCTTTTTTTTATCAAGGTCATATAACTTCCTTATTTCCCACAGCTGTAAAAGATCAATACTTCTTTTCTATAATAAGTAATGAATTCTTCAACAAATATTGAACTTATTCCGTATTAAAGACATCGGACGCATGGAATTTATAACGTGTTGTTTTCATTTTTTATTCATTTTGTTACAGCAATATATTGCCAATTCACACAAGAAGCATTTAAAGACAATTTTGGATATGAGCAGATAGATATAGTTGGTTTTGTTGAAAAAGATGGAATTGAGGGTCTTTCAAGCAATAGTGAAATTATTCAGATAGATTCGGTGATAGAGGAAGGAGTTGTCGTTTTCATTGGATGTAGTAACTGGTTAGTGTATTTTTAAAGATTTCTTATTTGTTTGGGAGATTAGAAATTAAAACTTAAAATCTCATTATTTCGTCTCCTGTCAGGAAAAGGAACGCGGTAAATATATTATATTTCTGTTTTGGTGTAGTATACATTCAACTACGATTTAGGAAAATTGGTTTATTCGTGACATTGTTATATCGCCACGAAACAAATGCTTTCTTGTTAATCTAGGCAACAGTGGTTTTCCGAAGTTTAAATCTCATAAATTGATTAAGAGGATAAAAGTCAAGGTAACAAACAAAAAATGAGGGAACTCCACAATGAGTGAGACCAGTTGCGTTGACAGGATAGGCAATTCCTGCTTTGCATGGCAACCATCGCCCGTTATGTGAATCCACACTCAGTCAAAATGTTACAATAGGGAACAGGACACAATTAGTTAAATTACAGATCAGTCGACTATACTTAGCTTGTATATAAATATCTAAGACTGAGAAAACTGGACGCAGGTTGAGGGACATACACATCGTATCAGTCAAACAATCCGGGATTGTGACCATAAAACTCTATCATTCTACCTCGTAACTCTGTGAAAGCAGTTTTTTTTTAATTAAGGATGTACTTGGGTGAAATTAAAAAAAAAATCTAGAATTTAAAAGTAATAATATAAGTCAGAAGAGTATTAGTTAAGGAACAAAATAAGCTTAAAATATTGATAGGTTATGGAGCTCCTTTTCGAGATATTCAATTTTTAAAAAGTGGCGGGAAAAGGCTGACTCGGACTTTTACCTTATATTTGCATTGATATTATTTAGGTCTCGAATCGAAAGAAAAGAAATCTAGAATATGCTTAAATTTTGGTAAAGGACCTTTTATGAGCTATTGAAGTCTAGTATCAAAAGAAAAATGGGTGTTATGGGGCAAAATATTTGACCCTGTATCGTAGGAAAAAAAACCGAGGAGTCCGAACATTTGACAAAAATTCCTAAACCTTACAAGTACATCCAGCGTGACCATGCACGACGAGCATAACGTATCATTTGATATATGTCAACGCCATACAATTGGACAAAGGGTATGTTACCGCTATGAAAGGAAGGTTGACAATTTGGAAGTTGAAATCATCATTTGTGTCATAGATTCTAGCTTGAAGTCGTAAATCTGTGTCAATATCGAGCAAAAGATAAAGCAGACCTTTTAATTTCGAGAGGCATGCTTGTCTATAATTCAAGTAAAAAAAATAACCCATGTTTTCTTTCCCCCTCCTTGCATTAAAAGAAAATAAATATCATAACACAGATCAATGAATAGATGTTTTGACACAGCTTTGAATTACTTTTTTTTGTGATAATGTTTCTTAAAATTAAACAGGCATAAATTACTAGATATAAGAAAATTCTAGCAACTTTTATATTCATTCCCAAAATGCTTTAATTTCTTGAGAAAATATGAAAAAATAAGGTATATAATTCTTTTTGATCTACTTAAATTTCGAATTTTTGTAAGGACAATAATTGATGATTCTCGGGTCTTTGTAATTCAGTTTGAAAGTCAAAAAGGTATTGTACTGCCATTTCTAAAACCATTTTATGAAATATTTGGAAAACACTTATCTTAAACGACGGATAAATAGACATTGGACATAGAGTTAAAAATAAATGTTGCGGGCTATATTGAAATAGAAATTCGGTAATGAAATAGGAATAAAATAGTAACATTCGGTTGAGTTTCTGAATTTTTATTTTTAGTACGTGTGCTATGGATGGTAACATCAGATGTGATATAGGACAATGTGAAGGTATGTTAAGATACATGAACACCCATAGCTATTATACAAACAGAACGACCTATGGTATAACAGGAATTTCTTCTGACTGTTTCAAATCAAACCAGTTTACTTCAAGCTTGTTTTTGATTTTAATGACGTATACGTTAGTTTTATTCTAGGTATTAATTGTAGGCAAAGTATAAGCATCAAATAACTTGTGATATATTTGTGCAACTTCCAGTTGTTAATATTACAAGTTAATAAAGACGTTTGAAGCACTGTTTAATTCTTTTTTTCATCTGTAATTTTCCCTACCAATTTGGTCAGACCAAATAAACCGTCTCCCATGCTGATAGTTTATTGATCCATACATTATCTTTTCTCCGCCTCATCTTGTAATACTAGTCATAAGTGTCTGTGACATGAACCAATCTTGTATGTACGTATGATTTCTAATGAAACATTCTTGAAATTTCAACTCATTATCCTTATTTGATGTGGTCTAGCAATACAATCTTACAAAATTGAATTTTAAACGTGCTGCCTTAGAGGGCAGTATGGATATACAAGATTGTTTTCAGATTTTATGTCTATGAACAAGACCAAATAAAATAAGACCAAAGAGTTTAAAAATAAAGGAATTTTAAATAAAAATCTCAGTAAACACAACAAAATGGGAGATCTATGCCCATAACGTCTGTGATGCTAGAAAGTGTTCTAATTTTATATTTATTTGAATGGTAAAGACAGAACATTGATTCAAACATTTAGAAATACAGATTCATCAAAATATACAATTGGATAAAAAGTTGCAAATGAGACAGAAAAGCAACTACATTAGAAACAAAAAGACACCCAGAGGTCAACATACAGCCTTAAAGAATAGACACGTTTTTATACAATTTGTCATATAAGCATGCACTCATAGGTATCCAAATAATTTGTGATTAGGAAAAAGAGAGAACTCAATAGCAGAGCTCTTGAAATCTTTTTTCCCTGGTGGTCCTTCGCGAAAATCTGGTGGTCCTCATTATTATTTCTATAATACCAAAATTGTGTTGGTCCTTTGCAAAATTTTGATGGTCAAAACCTTTGGACCACAACTTTTGGAGAACTCCGCAATAGTATGCTAGGCTTGTTTGCGATCTCTCTCTTTCTGAAAATTTTTGAAAGGAAACAACAATGAGTGACCGCTGAAATTGTAAATGCTAAAATTTTGTGACCTCGACTAACTTTCATTCTTGCTTTGCACTGGATATTTTATCAACGGCTTTAATTGGAGTATGACAACGAGCTCACTAATCGGAGCACTTGAGGGCACACTAGGTTTTTGTTGGGGTTATGTATTCGTCTATTCTTAATTTGTTGTTTAATGTTTAGGAGTGTTGTTTGTCTTTTCGTTATTTTTTCTTTTTGTCCTTGGAACTGTCTTCTTAACCTTGACTTACAAGTTTTGATTGCCTAGTTGAAAGCTGTTCCCAATACTTTTTAAATATACGACTACCAACCCAACCGAATCTATTTAGGAATAATATTTATTATATTTTAGAATGCAAATATACACAGTGGAGTGAATGGACTCCTTGTTCAAGAGAATGTGATGTTGGAGCTAGAACAAGAGAACGGATTAAACTTACAATTACCAATCCTAATATCTGTGCTGATGACCTAAAAGAAATGGAAGACTGTAATATAGAACCATGCGTTACCCCAAGTAAGATTATTAATTTGAAGATTGTACCGGTATATTACACACAAGACATAGCAATGCTTTTGTTTTAGTTTTTTCTCATATATGTATGAGAGCATAATAAAATGTACTGAGTTCTGCAAATCCATTGAACAAATTCTACCGAAACATTTGATTAGTTAAAATAGTAAGTGTTATTGATAGAATTTAAATATATCTTCATCAAATATTTTTCACAGCAACGATGCCAATGTGTGAGCAGTGGAGTGAATGGAATGAATGCAGCTCTACTGAAGCTTGCACTGAAGGTGTACGATCCAGAGAACGACACTGTCCTGACAGTCCATCCTTGGAAAATGAGCCATGTGTAAACAACTGCACAGTTCCAGGTAAACCTAATAATCTGAGAATTAATATATTATGGCTTTCAATTGTATCTATCTTATCTGGAATCATATTAAGGGTATTTACATGTAAAAAGATAATAGCATATAGGAGTAATATTCATAATTTATTAAAGACATTCTACAATTTGAATGTCATTATATGTAGTAAAGTTCAAGTTTAGTTTGTACGGAAGTTATTGGTATCAATAAGTATAAGTATTGGTAATGCATTATTTTTACATCCAGATTGTTAAGGTTTTTTCGCTGTTGGCTGCATAGTATTTGGTGAAATATTTGCATGATGGTTTATCGAATTGATTTGATGAAGCACTGCCGTTTACCTAACAGAAATGTCAACCATGTGCTCATTACATTAATAAATATTGTGGTTTCAACTAGAATATTATTATAGTTCTATGTGTATATCATAACTAACTTTATTTCATAACTGTTTTAGTATGCGAACATCCGTTGGTATTCATAACAGAACCAACATGTCAGCTGACTTGTTATACAGTTCAATATCCAGAAAGTTGTGTTATTCCTGATGATATGCAACCGAGTTGTGGATGTATGGAGGGTTTTGTTCTTGACGAAGAAAGTAATATTTGTATTCCTATCCATGAATGTCAGAAATGTTACAAAGAAGACGGAACAGCCGTAAATCCTGGTCTAAGTTATATGAAATCCGAATGTGAGGAGTGGTAGGTGTCTTTTTCATTCTTCAAGTTATTATTGTTTTGTTTTTTATTAATATTTTGTCTGCATTTGCTGGAATAATTTTACTACTAGTATCATTTGAAATATACGAGAAAAATTAGAATTTGGCTACATAATGACATGAATATTTTTATTTGCAGTATCTGTACAGAAGGATTAACATTAACATGCGGTATTAAAACTGACTGTAAGTTTAAATATAAATTAAATATTCATATTTACTTTTTTTGGTGCTGGCCGTTGAATATTGGGAATTGTAGAGAAGTTAAACTGACAGATTTCATCGAACGTATTTCAGAATTTTCTTGGTCATAATTGGTTTTTGCCTAAAAGTAATATTTTAAACGGTAAAGTCATTTTTCCGAAATAAAGCATTATATATTTTTATCACAAAATAAACATTAAGCCAGGCTTTAACAATCCAGCCGGTTTCACTGAATAAATACTGTGTATTTAAGACATTGTCTATCGTTATTTAATATCATGCTCCATAAAAATATGGAGGTAACATTTTTTTTAGATAGATGAATGTAAAATAAGCAGAAAGCAGGGTTTTTATGATAAAAGGAACTTTATTTAAGAAAACAGTAAACAATCATTTGAAAACGGTTTCAGTCAGTCTCTTTGGTTTCGGTTTATACTTATTAATGCAAAACTGAGTTGAGATGTTAATTGTTAACAACACTGTATTAATATTGATCATAGGTTGCGCATGGACTGAATGGGGACACTGGGGAGAATGCAGTGAATCTTGTAAAGATGGAGTGCAGAATAAATACAGGTATCAAAACTTTGTCTTTTTTAAAGAGTTATTTTATGTAGAAATGATTACAAATGGTTCCTACATAGATTTTATACTTTAGTAAATACTTTGAAAGAAAGGAATACTTAATAAAAAAACTGTTATCAAAAGGATAAAATGGAAGAATTACACAGATTAAATTCGTCAAATCTTTTATGTCTGATGAATTGAATGTTTTAATCGTTTCTTAAAGCTTGATTTTGATATCGTTTATAAACACGTTCTAATAAATTGTTGATGCGTCAATTCCGAATAGGGAATTGTTGGTGGGAGACCCTGAAACATGTGGAGAGGACAAAATAAGCCGAGAATGTAAGCCACCAACAGCATTACCTGACGAATGCATAGATTGTATATATAATGACGAGGAATACAGTGTTGGAGATCTAGTTGATGTCAGGGATAATGGATGTACAAAGTGGTATGTTTCTCTGTCAAAATATATAGACGTGTCGCAACCTTAACTGTTGTATAATATCGTAAATAACCAGTTACAATCAATCCAAGCATTTAACTCATGACAGTTGTTTTCGAAGATCAAGATGTATTTTAAAAATATCAAAGTTAATCACTTTTTTGGTGGTTTTTTTTTTTCTTCATTAAATGTGTTATGGTCTATGTGGATCTCTGAATATCGTGCAAATAACGAAATGATTATATATTGTAGCTACTGTGATTCTACTCATAACTCGTACTGTGTTCCGGATCCTGTTGCCAATGGTAAATTTTAACACTTATCTTCTTCATTACTTAATAATATTTTAATGTATACGTTTTGCAATTTTGCTAGAAGGATGTTGAAATTGAACTTGTAAAATACTTTTTATATCACACAATTTTCCATAGAAAAGCAAAAATAATCCTTTATAAAAGTAAACAACAAACATATGTAAAACTTTCTTAACTAGAAAGAAATAATTAAAATCAATGCATCCTATCCTTGGAAAAGACATGTCCAACAACGTTGTCATCCGCAATACATGTAGAAGTGTTTAGCTGAAATTTCAGATCCAAAGGAAATTTACAAGAACTTGAAAATAAGACACCCCGTATTTGAGAACTGAACATATGAGGGGTGCTGATTATTCTTTAAGAGCACATCACCAAAAAATTATTTTATGAATTTGTTTTTTTGTCCATGGGTTACTTTTCATTTTTGTCGGATGCTTGAATGTTGGTATACTTTTAAAATAAATTAAATGCCCGTGTTTGGTTTGAATTATTGTAAAAGTTGAACATTTAATTCGGCCTTTTTAAACTTGTTTAATTATATAGTAAGCTGGTTGATTTTATCAGTTATTCCTGATAAAATCACCCTGTCATCCGACATGGAAGCAACTACAGAATATTTTTATATCTTTACTTATGATATTATAATAATATAACAGACAATTATGCTCCCCTTTCATCGAACCTTGGATCCGCGCATATGAGCAATTTTGGAACGAATATTAAAAGATCTTATCATGTGATTTCTTTTTGGTTGATAAAGTATCGGATAATTATCAGAACAGATACAAATATTTCGATAAAACATCATTTACAAAATAATATCTTAATCACTTAAATCAATAAAGAGTTTTATAAACGTATTAAAAGTATACTGATAAAAAAAGAAAACTAAACATAAATGAGAATTGGTATCTTTATCAGACAATAATTTAATATTAAACAAAACGGATCTTAAATAAATGTGTGTTTTTCAATTAAGTCAACGGATCATGGTCAGAATGGGCGGAATGGTCATCTTGTAGCAGTTCATGCGATGGAGGTGTGCGATCTAGAACTAGGCTCTGCAATGATCCATTACCACTGTGTGATGGAATTGAATGTGAAGGAAGAAATGAAGAAGTTGAAGACTGTAATGCAGAACTTCCATGTAAATATGTTTGACTTTAAAGCGACTAATGAAACAGCAATAATGATCTTTTTAAGCAATGTATGGATACAATAAAACAATGCGACTGTAAAAAAAAAATTATTTGAAATGTTTTTTGTACCAATTGTAATCCCGGGTGCCAAAAATGCATGATATAAAATAAGGAGATGTGGTAAGATTACCAATGAGACAACTATTCAGCAAAGTTCAAACGACGTGGATTTAAGCAACTATGATAATTGTTTTATGACCAACAATGAATTGTTGTATAAATTTAAATATGAATTTGTAGTTGTTTACAATACATTTGTATTTCACAAAACAGACGCAGCGTTAGAAGTTATAATTGCATTTTGTAGTAAAATAAAAGATAAGCTTCGATACAGCACTCAACAATGAATTATTACCTCCTAGTTCAACTAATACAAACTGAAAGTTTGAAAAACTGATTAAATATAGAGAAAAGGATTATAACATTTCTATACTTTTACCACTTTTTGTACATTAAGGAACAGTAAAAAATAATTGTTTTGACCTGGTATTTATTTTTCTCTATTTAGGCTGCGAAATCTCTGAATGGTCCGATTGGAGTGAATGTTCTGCCACTTGTGATGATGGTGAATCAGTTAGAACAAGGTTTTTTGTAGATCCATCTGAACAAAATTCGTGTGATTATGTGAATATTACAGACATTCAACCTTGTAATCTTGGGGAATGTAAGTAAAACTTGTGATACCGATACAGAACATTTATTTATAATAGAAAAGATATATAATTTTACATAAAATGAATGAAATAGGAATGACAAATGGAGTAATTTCCTTGGTATGTTAAAAATTATTATGTCCTTTCAATCATTTTGTTTCTATATAAAAAGAGGGAACTGTTGTTTCAAATGTTAAAAGGTGTTTAAAACTCGGGAAGAAATTGGAATATTTCAACCGAGAGAAAGAATAGTGGAGACTGCAGGAACTCCAAACGGAGGTAGAACTGCGGCATCAACAGGCTTAAAACTTGTCACATAGGAGTGGCTTAGACCATTATAATTGGAACAATTAATGATTGGCCTACATAGTCCTCACTTGGTGCAGATACTTTGAAAATGAAGAAAAACACCTAATCTGATCCGACTGTAAACTTTTGAACGATTGGTAAGACAATCAATATTTATCATGTTTATTGTGATCATAAATACATTTTTTTATACTTTGTAATGCTATAAAGTTTAATTTATAAAAGGAAATGTATTATTTTTTTATAGGTGGTTGTCGATATAGCGAATGGAGTGACTGGACTGATTGTAATACAGAGTGTGGTATTGGTCTTTCACAAAGAAAGAGAGATCTAATTCAACCAAGTAGTTATGTAGAATGTGAACATTCACAGGTCGAAGAGAGAGACTGTTATCTTGCAGATTGTGGTAATTATGAATTAAGTCTCGGAACTTTATCTTAAAATCCTAGATCTCCTGTTACAATTATTAATGTTATCTATAATATGGTACTCATATGTTGATATGATGGATGTTTGTTTGAACGTTGTACACTGTATATTACCTTTTTGCATTGAGATTCAAAGAGCGGATGTTAATTCAGATCCATTGGCTTAGTTAATTGCGAATGATAAACTTAAAGATTCAAACAAAATACGGAATTGGGAAAGCGATAGATTTATGATATTTATATTCTTGGTATTTCACTTCAGCATGTGATAAAGATCATCAGAAATGGAGTAATCATTCTCACTGTGAAACGACATGCTTAAACAGATTCACAAATATCCCAGTAGAAGATTGTGAAGAACTTAACCCTGGGTGTGTTTGTGAAGAAGGGTACTTTGAAGACAAAAATGGCATTTGCGTTACCAATGACAACTGCTCAGTTTGTTATCATCCTGATAGTCCAGATGAACCAATAGAGGTACGTGTACTTTTTAGAATAGAAAAGTGAGTTAATGAAGTATCATATGATATAACTAGGAATCTAATTGCAAAAATAAGATTTCTGAAATTATAACATAGTGCAAAAGATAGAAATTGCTGTTGTTTTCAAATGCATTTTGTATACACTTGCACTAAAATTCGAATTTTGCGGAAGGCGTTGTTTTTACGGATGAATTGAAAGTACCGAAAATAACTTTGTTGCTGCCTAATAGGTGCATTAAATTGGTAATGTCTGGAAAGTATATATAACTTACTTTACAATTATGTAATATGTAGTCGTTTGCATTGTGATAATACGAATGTTCATTATGTTATTGTTGTTTTTGTGTTATTGTCTCGTTGGCGTAAACCAACTTCTGAATTTATTCATACTACCCTTTTTTGTGAATAAATAAAGCAGATTAGGAAGAGGACTGAGGTCCACTAGATGTTTTATGGTCAGTAATTGTCGAGACTAGAGCTTTGGACTATTCATGGTAAATTTATTAAGCCTATCAAACTTACCCTCGATTTTAATCAAGAGCCTTATAAAATTGTGGTATTTTAGGGGTATGCTGATATTTTTTATTTCTTTTTCTTTCAGCCAGGAAAGATTTTCAAAAATCCCAATGTGGCTTGTGAGGTATGTCAGTGTGTTGGTGGAGATATTGTCTGTAACAGGAGATGTGAATTTCCCGAATGTAAAGAGGTACGTACATTATTGCAGTATTTTTTATGTTTATTATTGTTATTTAGTCCTTTGTAAAATGAACATTGCGTGGGTGTATTTTCCTGTTTTAAAATCCATTTATAATATTAATTGGCAATATGTAAATAAACTCATCAAAGATACCAGGATTAAAATTTTGTACGCCAGACGCGCGTTTCGTCTACAAAAGACTCATCAGTGACGCTCGAAACAAAAAAGTTAAAAAAAAATAATAATGTAGTTCTATCATAAATACAAATCGTAAATGCTCAAACTGATGGAATCAGGAGAATGAATTGCTTATTTGAATATTTTAGGGAGAAGTGTTGTCCTACCCAAAAACTGATCCGTGCTGTCCTAGATGTATCCCAGAAGAAAGTAGGTTTGAATTACACAATGCATTTTACTTTATATTTCTCATTCTATCACTGCTAGAACATTAATTGTGTACGATGATTTTAATTGCCCTTGCATATTTTGTACATTTGCTCTTGTAACTTTTAACTAGCGTCCAATTTCTGTATCTATGTTTTAATTTTGAGATGCAAACATTGTAAGTCGAGTCAACAATAATTTATAGAAATTATAGTTACGTGCGCATTTATGACAAGGTTACAAATAAATTCATCATATATACCAGGATTAACAAATATTATGAAAGTGGTCATTAATATTTTCTTCCTTTTCAATTTACACAGCAACGTGTTCGCTAAAGACAGAAAAGAGAGTTGTAAAACGTGGTGACTGTGAAACGGTTGACGAAATCAATGTAACATTCTGCTCAGGAAGCTGTGGTAATAGTAGCAGCATACCTGTGTTTATGATGGATGACGGAATGGAGTATGATAACATGGGTTGTATACAGACCTGTAAATGTTGCCAGGGCACTGTGCGTGGTATGCAGACAGTAGATATACGATGTGGTTTACCTGGTCAAAAGAGACTTTACAAAGCCCGTGTGCCTGTGATTGTTGCCTGTAAATGTGATTCATGTATGACAACTGGTAAGATATTTTGTAATTTTTAATTGTTAATTTAGAAAATCATAAGAGTAAACTGTCTTAAACAACAAGAAAGGTTCAACTGATAATTAAAATAACACTTAATAAATTTCGACTTACTGAACTTATCTTCATCAGGCATGTTCCAAACTAAGCATTTGGAAGCAAGAGATATACAAATACGTTGAAACATTAGCATAATCAAAATGGATAACAAAAGAATAGCCCAAGAAAAATGGAATCACAAAATTAAACCAAATGATAGTTACAGTGTAATTTAAATCTGATTCAATAGTCAAGCACTTACAAAATAGATTAGGAACTAGATATGAAAAAAGTTTTATAAAAAGAATTTTTTAAACGTATTATATTGATTTCCTTGTTCTTGACATATTCTAAAAATATGAGTATTAATTAGATAGTTAAATAAAATGTGCCTAATTTATAAAGTATATTGTTTACCTTTAATTTACTACGCATACATTATTTTTTTCAGAGTCTATGAAGAACCAAGTAGATGCTACCAGTAGTTTTGGAAAACGATAGAATTGTAGAAAATGTATAATTGATTAAATTTTCAAAATATAAAATGTGAAAAATGTCTATTATTAATTGATGAAAAGCCAAATTAAACTGAACATTCAGTAGCACTATAAACATGTGAATTATTTATTATAACCATATTATATGCATTTTGATAAAATACGTCTACAAATACCATCACATAATTCCTTCTTCAAAGTTTCGACATCGACATAAACGTATATTAAGTTGTTTGCTTTTGCAAGCATATAAAGCTCCCGAGAATGAATTGTTCGTATTAGTCGTAACATTTGTTACTTGCTATGACTCTTGAAGCGAATGACTGGTAATGCATGACATGACCAGAGATGTTTAAGCTGGTAGACAATCTAGATCTCACTCCGTTGAGCGATTCCGACTGTTTCATTCATTTGTCCATTTTTACCAGAAATTATTATCTTCAAAGCTCTAACTTAATTTATCATAATAGCAAAAATTGTCTTCAATTAACAAAAATATATAAGTTTATATCAAATGTTTGTATAAAGCCCTAACTTTGGAGTTAACAACTTTGTTGAATTCATTTACATGTCCATACACGATCGATCTAAGCAGATCGTTTCAACCCTGTCTATCATTGCTGATCGTGTGTTGACCTTTTTGGTTACTCTTTCATTGCAGTTTATTCCCCAACGAAATAAAAACAGGTGGATCTTTAATTGTTTTATATCCACTGATCGAAATCGGGATTTAAACATTGACCTCTAAATTTCTGCTGGTTTCTTGTTCGGTTAACATGCTTGTAGTCTTGCGTGTATTCATAACCTCTTATCATATTGCGTTTTCCAGCAAATTGCACAAATAACCAAAATAAAGCAATTGCACGCAGACGACCAATAAACAACACAATACATTATCCCTCCGAAAAGTTTACGGACGCAATCACGAGTTGGTTGACCGTTATGTAACATTATATCTGTGTCACAGATGACGACGTATATGTACCAATTGTCGTAACCATGATATCGTCCTCTTTTAATCGAATGTGACCTATCGAATTAGACTTATCACCGAGGTTGTACTTACTTACATGAGCAACCAACGGGTTCAACATGTGAAGCAGGATCTGCTCACCCTTCCGGTTTGAATATCCCTTTTTGCCTCTCTTATACAAAGTACTGAAAAGGTCTCCCTTGTTCCAAACAAAACATGTGGATGAGGTGAACTATTTTTACGAATAGCCCGCTATTTTCCGTATACAGTACAAAACACGACAAAAACCTGCATATTACAGCTTCCATCATAATGGAAATAAACTAAAAATGCACATGATTCACAAACTAGTGTAAAAACGTACAAGTTACTTCTAGTCAGTCAGCAAAAGGCAGCAGCAAGGATTGGTTGCGTACAAATGCCCAAGAAAACTGAATCTGTTTCAATGTTTTCATTCAGTTGCATGGTATACTTTCGGCAGTACATGTAACATCTTAAATCGCCAGACAGTAGGAATGAAAAACAGTTTTATTTACTAAAATGCATACAATGAGAATGAAGGCTTCCTGATATTTCATTTGTACATGCCATGGAATATTGTGATTACTTTATTCATTGAGGAAAGGTTCATTTGTTATAAAACTAGAGTCTAGGTTAAATTCTAAACAAGATTACATATTGATGTTCGCTGAGAAAAAGTTTCTATGTTATGATTAATAGAGACACTGTTTAAGAGAGAGGCGAAATATACTAAATGAATATAAAAACTCATAAGTCGAAAACAAACTAACAATGCCATGGCAAAAAAAACGAAAAATTACGCTATTAAGATTCTATAAAAAAAAATTTCGCTGAGAATAAAGTGCCGTTGTTTTAAATTAACAGACATAAGATTTTCTCTTAAAGTGTTTCCACATATCAATTGTCAGTGAGAAAGAATTCATGTGTCATACTTACTAGAAAGAAGGGTTATCCGTATCTGAGATTCCATATAAAGAAAGAGAACATGTGACTGTGTAATTAATGGTTGCTAGATACACAGTTTTTTCTTGTCGTGGATTCCACATATTTATTGTTTCCCAGAAAGGCTTTAGCGTTCCGTTGTGCGAGTCACAAAAGACAAGTGTTTACCTTTCAATGATTCCACAGATTCATTGTCACTCAACTTATTCTGGATATAACTTTAAAATAAAAAGGCATGTGATTACATGTATTGTATTCAAGAAGATACTTTTATTAACAACGCCTATTGTCTATATTAATTTAAAATCCGTTGGATTTCAAATGTTTTCTTGGCTAGCTGTTCTTGTCAAAACTATGTTTATCTAATATTTCGAAAAATTTACTTACTGAGATTGTAAACCTGAAAAATACTGAAATTAATGTATATCTAGAGATTTAAGTTAAACATCAAAATAACTGTCATGTTCTTTACATAATCTTTAAATAAAATTTACACACGAGTACGTGAAATTGTCCGCGTTTGATTTTTCCAGAAAGGAAAATTGGTCGCTGTCACATGATAGCAGAGTTAGTGTCAAATATGAATCTTCCACATCATGAAGCGTTGCGCTAAACTCAATGGAGTCCAATATCTGATAATATAAGATCTATCCAAAATAATAAGACTCTTGTTGACGATTCACCACAGCATTGTATTAAGCTGTGTACATCTGGATTGTCGTAGAAAAATCCACACTTATGGCATAACAGTAGTTCTGCATCAAAATCGTTTAGTATAACCAGAGCAGACAGAGATATGATAAATTTTGCTGGAAACTTTAAAGATGAGTTCTGGACGGTAAAATAGTCCAAGTACGATGCGGTTCAATAGAGTTTTAAACAAGTTTTAGATATGCAAAATCAAAATCACTATTACGGCGTTGTTTGATAAAGATTTGTTTATACTGGTAGACGCGGATTTTAACAATTGATTTTCATCGGTTATGCACTGGAAGTAGCTCGTCGACAATGATTATTCAGTTTGGCTTATTAAATCATATTTCTGCATAATCTGGATGACATCATGCTCAAAGCCGAAGTTATTTTCGGTACATTTCTGACAGAACATCAAAAGCCTTGACATAAAGATGTTTTTGACAAATAAATAGATTGCATATTGCACAGTCTTCCAAAGAATAACAACTTGTTAATGTTGATAATACATTCAATAGGAATTCATCCTAGCAAAGGAGTACACTTGTCAGTTCTGGTCAACTGAGGTAAATCGTGTACGTATTTAGAAATATACCGATGAGTTCGTTCTCGTATTTAAGTCAAGTTTTTGCAGAGTTCACATCCATACAGGCTATGGTTTATTACAAGCCGTTCTCGTCAGAATTACGTTTAAGCAATTTTTCGAAAAATTTACACATTGAGATTTTGAAAAAACACAGAGTAAATAGAAATTAAAAGCACACATTGAGAATTAAATATACTTACTGAGATTTCAAAAAGACACAATGAGGTTAAAAAATGAAATACACAAACAGAGTATTAAAAATCACGCACTGAAATTTTAAAAATCAACAGTGATGTTAGATAAACTGAAAAACACAAACTGAGAATTAAAAATTACACAGTGAGATTTGAATTAAATCTAACATCAAGAGAAATATCAGCATGCTTCACACTGGCTGGAATTATATCCGTGTTAGTTTTAAATTTCTGTAAGTTTCATGTCTTTAAAAAATAATAGGACTTAACATTTATCGGGTGAAAACTCAAACTTCAGTTTTACACTGTAATTGAAACAAATGTCAAGCATGCATTGCATTCCGGAACTTGATTGTGATGTAAGAGTGATGTCATCAGCTTGTCAGTACACCCAGCATCAAACTGATATTTTGATCATTTGAATCTAGCATAACAACCCCTTTTACTGGCGTAGAGAGTATGTCAATAAGATCGTTTTTATAAATCAGATAAAGTTTGGCTGATAAGTACTGCCTTATCGAACGCCTCCCTCAAGGCTGAACAATCTATAGGCCACGCTATCACATCTTTCACAACTTTTAAGATCACTATGCATATGAACTAGCAATTTCAACAAATTCAGATTTCATTTTATTTCGACTCTATAACAACGGAATGACTACTACACTAGTTGTCCAATCAACAGGTGTGATACATTGATCAAAGATTAGATTAAAAAGGTTGCACAAATGTTTCGATAATAGTTTTCCGCCGTATTCAAGATGTTCATAGGATAAACCATCAAGCCCACACGCCGTTTCCCATTTGGCAAGTTCATCACAAGTTTCGATAGTTCTTCAAAATACACTTGTCTAATCGGGTTATTCCCTTGCAAATAAAATTTAAATTAAAGTTTAATGTTGACCTTATCTTTCATATGCTCTGAAATTTGGCTTTTGTTTCATAGAGATATGCAAATTATGTACTAACACTTTTGGAATTATTTACAAGTTTATTGTTCAACTTCTGTATAGTATATCAGAAGAATTCCTTGATAAACGACTATTTATCATACCATGCTAAGCGTTGATATACCTCGATAGATTAGCAATGGCCTTAGACATGTTGGCTACATACTCGTCATATGCTCGACGAAGTTCATTCCTAATATAGTTCTTGGGGTTTTTATATGTCAAATACGACTCCTTCTCTTTGTACGTGGTCGATTGTCACTGATCCATACATTGCAACGTTTAATCATGACATCATGCAACTTCGATAGGTGATCATTCCAATATGGTTTTAAGTGTCCTCTATGCTTAACGATAGGAAGGGTAGTTCTTGTGTCGAGATAGAAACCGTTCAAAATTTCAGAATAACACTTTCTATGTCAGGTTGATTCGTATCTAAGGTTAATAGGTTTTGCATGCTTTGAGAAACAGCAGAAGCATAATCGGTTAAATTACCGTTTGATAAATCTCCAAGCTGTTCCAAGCTATATATGTGTTGAAGTGCTAGACAGATTTAGACGAGTAAGTGAGTCGCCTAGATTAAGGTGCAAATAATAGGAAAATATTTGAAAAGCAGTCCATGGTCATGAAGAATATTTACAAGTTGAAACAGGTCGATATGCTAGACCACCAGACCGGCAGAGCCTCTACAAGATCGTTTGTGTATTTTTTGTGATAGTGGCCAAAATTGAAGATGAGGAGCACTTTTTTTAATTGTTGTTTTTACTCTGATATCAGACATGAATTATATGCCAAAGCCTGTCTTTTAAATGTTGATTTTGATTATTTATGCGATATTGAAAAACTGCGTTATCTTAATTTATGTGTACGGTAATGAGAATATGGTTCCTCTTTTAGCCAGTTCCCTTTATTCTATGTTTTACCGAAGAAAACATGTTGTAATCTGGAGATTATATATGCATTTTTTGTGTTACTTACGAAATACTTTTTACATGTAAAAAAATGTCTTTTTATATATTTATTAGATGTCTGTTTTAAAGATAGTGTCTCATAAGTTGTTTTCGGTTGGCATCCTTTTACCAAGGATTTGTATTGTAAAAATCCCCAGTTGCTTTTACTAAATGTAAGGTTCTTATGACTTTGTAATGAATGGTGACAATTTAATAGAATAAATTATCTTTTACATTTTCCGGTTTGTATGGCATGTTATCTGGAATACAGTTCGTGCAGTAAATCTACATATTCTTTACAAATTGAATGGAGAGAAGCAACAGGAAAGGAACATATTCACATCTCCCGGTAAATTAATTTTAATACCCCTTGTGCAATGCCAAATATAGGTATCGACAGAATGTAGAACCGTGAATGTTCCAGACGGTAAAGAAATGGCAATAATATTTAGTTATGTTTTGTATCGATAAAATGAACATTCGAAAATGTAATTGGTAACCGGCCATTTAGAATAAGTTTATTTGAAGGACCGATAAGGCTCTATAAACAGCGTCACAGTAAAAGTTAGGATGTAGTATCCGGCTCGTTTTAAATAAGTTACAAACAGCCAAACTTCAAACCAAATCTTTGTATATATGAAAGAATTCATGCAGTAATGGTTTTGAGTAAGTTTGTGGTAACGAAATCCTTAACTTAACCATTTACCAGTAATACACAAATTACGTTTATTTGACTCAATTAAAATCAAAAACGTCACTACAAAAACAGGCATAGTGAACGCATTGGCATATCTCAACACCGTAAGATGGGACCAAAGAAACATCACCCTCCAAAAGAGGGAACATCTAAATCTCGGAGAGGACATTTATTGCTATGAATATTACATTTATTCAAAATACTTCAGGTCTTTTAGTTAAATTTCGGCAGTATACTTATAGAATTTTTGATTTGCTAACGAAAAATTTCATCAAGACAACGATAAGTGTTTTCAATTTATCAGTTAAATGGAATTAGGCTGGTCTTTACAGTACTGAGCTTGGCAAACAAGTCTGCTATTACAGGGCACAATTTGAGCCCATTGGAATACTTACTACATGTCGGTAAAATTTATTGTCGAAACATACATACATGCTGTCAAGGAGAAAATTTAGATCCGTAATCCTCTCATCACACTTCCAGTAAGTATGGCTAGCTTATTTACCTTCTTCTAATCTTCTTAAAGTTTTCCAGTCTTCCATCTGAATAAAGATGATCCATAACTGGTGCATGCGTGGCCTATTTAAAAGATAAGGTGCAAAGAACAGGCGTAGTGATTAAAACAATGTACAAGAGATGAAGCTATTTAAATGAGAGTGGAGAGAAGAGCTGCTCTCTGAAAGAGTCGACTGTCTGTGAATTAACAACTGTAGTTGGTAGAAGATTCCATTGCGTTATTGTGTATGGGAAAAATGAAAATCTGTACGAGTCTTTGGATGTATAGATATGCCTGAAGGTGAATGAATGATATTTTCTGGTTCTTGAGTCTGATGGAATGAGAATTGTGCTAGGTGGTATATCAACAAGATGATGTGTGATCTTGTACTTCATAACCAGGCGTGCACGTAGTCTGCGTTGTGTTAATTGTGGCCAGTTGATTGTATTTAGCATGTTTGATACACTGCTAGTGTTATGATACCTGTTGCAGGCATACCGAGCAGCTCTCCTTTGGACCATCTCTATCTTCGAGATAGATTCTGAGGTGTGGGGGTCGTAAACCGAGCAGGAGTACTCGAGAGTTTGGGACGGACAAGTTCTTGGTATGGTTTTCTTGTTTTGGTTAGATGTTTTCAGGTTTCTTCTAAGAAAGGCAAGTGTTTTATTTGCTTTGGAGATATTGTCATCTATATGTTTGTCCCATTTGAGGTTAGACTGTAGTGTGATGCCTAGGTATTTAGCAGATGTAACAGTTTCTAAAATATGATTGTGAAGAGTGTAGTTATGTTGTAAAGGTTGACGTTTAGTTGTGACAGAGAGAACAGTACACTTGTCTCGGTGGATGGCCATCAGCCAGTCCACTTCCCACCTCGCTGCTGCATCAAGATCAGCTTGCAATTTGAGGCAGTCACCCTGGGATTTCACTGGCATGTATATGATACTGTCATCAGCAAATGGTCTTAGTTTGCTATGAGTAAGGTAGTCTGGAAGGTCATTTATATAGGCCAATAATAGGACTGGACCCAAGACAGTACCCTGTGGAACCCCAGAGGTGACTGGGACTGTGCTTGATGACCTTCCCTCCAGGATAACTGTTTGAGTATACGGTTGGAGAGAAATGCAGAGATCCAGTTTAATTTGTTTCCATTGATACCAAAATGATTTAATTTGTAGAGTAAGTGACGATGTGGAACTTTATCAAGGGCTTTTGCAAAGTCCATTATTATAAGTCAAAAGATCTGCTTGTGTATTTGAATTGTTTGTGGATTGAAGTTCTTTGATGAAGGAGAGAAGTTGTGTTTCGCAAGATCGAGAGTGCCGAAAGCCATGTTGGAGGTCGTACCAGATGTTATTTAATTCAAGATGTTTCATAATGTGTGACGTGACTATGCGCCCCATTAACCATAGGTACTTGGGGACAGGACAATTTTTTTTAGCCCTATCATATATTATATATAATATATCAGTGACCGCTGTGGATAGTAAACTTGGAATTGATAGTAAATAGCAAATACAAGTTATTTCTAGTACATTTATGTTCATATTATACAGTAAAACACGAAAATAATTGAAATTAATGGAAAACAAAAAAAAATAACGGATTTTGGAAAAAGGGGGAGGGCTAAAAAAAATTGTCCTGTCCCCAAGTACATATATGCCATTAACTTGCAGCAAATGCAAGTTAATGAGATTGGTCTATAGTTGACCGGTTTATGTTTGTCCCCCTTTTTATATGCAGGTGCAACTCTAGCATGTTTCCAGTCGTCAGGTGTGATTCCAGTGTTGTAAGATTTTTGGATTGCAAAGAATTGGTGCGATTTGTGTCTGCATGAGTAAGCGGCCACTGATGTTATCTGGGCCGGTGGCTTTATGAGGGTTGATATTATGTAAGAGCTTTTCAATCCCTTTTAATGTTATATGTAACTTCCTGATTTTAGGATGTGTGCTGATGCCCTTGTTTTTGTATTCGGTCATTTGTTATTGGGGTTAATACAGATTGAAATTGTATTTTTTGCATTAAAGAAGAAGTCTTTATTTGAGTTACAGCAAATAAACATTTGCACTGAGATTTTCAAACAACAACTATGATTGAATAAGAAAACTTTTGTTTGATAAGATTCTGTGGAAGAGTAGTGTATAGAGTTTAAAAGTTAAAATTGTCAACAGAGCGGACAGGACCATCAAATGCACGAAATTTATCGAAAACAATCTAAATGATTTTTTTACACACCAAAAATAGTTAACTTCATTATTTTCATATGCTTTCATCGTAAAACAGAAATGAATGAATGAATGAAATTGAAATTTTATATAAAATATTCATTATAATAATGTCACGGGATTTGGAAGTCAATACACCTTATCGCTATTTAGTCCAATCCGGAAAAAAACAGTCATTTAGACAACTTCCTGTTTGGGTCAACAGGCCGCAAACAAAGGTCATCAGTAACGAGCTGAGGGAGGGAAAAATTTAGAAAGCGATCAATAGGAAACTTTGATAGATTATGGTCCACTTTTTCCAAACTCAAATTAAAGTCAAAAAAATATTGTGTTTGAAGTATTTACGATGTTTTAAACAGGTCTCATTGAAAAGTATCATGCATGGTGCATTGTTTAAACAGGGTCCCAGATAGCGTCAACTGGATGAAAAAGTTGTGTAATTTTAGAACTTATCCGGAATGGAATAAATAGCGATTAGGTGTATACCGGGGTCGGTTTCCACGTTTGTATAATAAAGGGAGATAACTTCTTCTAGTTTCGTTTTCAAACTGCAAGCCGGCATATGAAATTTAGAAAACAGTCATAAGAAAGGTTGTAAACTGGTTTTAAATGTTACTTTATCCAACTATCTTTTCTATTTATTGTTGGGACAAACGAGCAAGTATTTTTTCTACGAGGAGTACACAGGAACTAAAGAATAAAAACCATATGTCTGGATTAAGCCAATTTAAGGTTCATCATAGTGGGTCTCATTGGGGTCTAAGCGTGACCCGGGATTGCCGATTTTTTGTAAGCGTCACACGTGAAAGTCAAATTATTGTGCCGTGAAAACGGGAAATGAGGTCTAGCGGGACACGGGAAATTACAAAAAAATGAGAATTGCTAACGTACATAGTGTAAGCGGGATACGGGAATCTGACAAAACAGTAAGCGGGATCCGGGATATGAACCCCCAAATGAGACCCCCATCATAACGGAAGTGCGAAGTCGTACCCTTTCAAAAACTCGTACCATTCAAATATACTAGAACACACCCGCGGTTCCATGACTGAATTAAAATCCCTACGCCTTATTTTTAGTCTGGATTTTCATCTGATAAAAGTCATGCTGATTATAAGGTGTGCAGTTTTCTCTATTTCCTAAATCTTTCTGTTTGAACCCGTCCTGGTTTTCTTACTACAACCGGAAACTACATGTGACAATCATAACAAATGGACAAGTATGGCTGTATTTACACCTCAAACACTTCTCTGTGTACAGACTTACCTGTGAAGTTTGAAAAGTTTTAAGGCCTGGCATCCACTAGATATATAAAGGTTAAATGCATTTTGTGTTTCAGAAAGATAAAATCTTTTTTGGATTTTGATGGGCATTTTTTTCGTTCCTGCTGTTGGTGTAAAAATAAACAAACACCTAAATTACATTTGATACTGTCCACTCAGTTACACCCTTTAACTCACCTATTGTTGTGTAGATATACATGTATATTGTCCATGCCAATCAAGGACAATCAATACAATGCAATACAGTTGTTACCTGAGAGGGAGCATCTCAAAGATTTACCCAACTTAGTTTATTTTTACACCTTCTGCAGGAACAGAAAAAAATGCCTATCAAAATCCAAATTTTTTTTTATCTTATTGAAACACAAAATGCATTTAACTTTTATATATCAAGTGGATGCCAGGCCTTAAAACTTTCCAAACTGCACAGGAGAGTAGTTTTTGAGTTGTAAATTACAGCCATATTTGTCCATTGGTTCATCATAACCTTTTGGCGGAAGCAAGACAACTCGCCCCACTGCCAAATCGCCCCACACCAAATCGCCCCACTTTATAAAAAAAAAACGCTCTACTCTGGTTAACTAACTGGCCCCACTCATGAAAAAGGATTAAATCCCGTTAAATTTACTCCTGCCAACTCGCCCCACTTATGAAAGAAGGTAAAATCCTGATAATATATATATAACAAAGGTCTGCAAACTTGCCCCACTTATGAAAACTTATCTACACAGAATACAAAAAATCACTTGTGATACTAATATAAATCGAAAATTTAATATATGATTTTGATCGAAATTAAATTAAATGATGCTTCATTTCTTAAAATAAAATTGTAGATACATTATTTATCATATATAATTTTAGTTTTTATTGGAGAATAACTTTATTATTATAATAAACACCCATGATCCTTGAATTATCTAGTAAAACAGTGATTACATTTACCAGAAAACAATAATCAATAACATCGTACGTCACAGAAATGCTGATACTTACTTCTTTCTGCTTTATTTCAACCTAAAGAAAAGAGTTAAAAAAAAACAAGATGTGTTTTTAAGGTTTTCATCAGTATTCATTTAGTTCATAGTAGGGGCGAATTGGTATGCCTTAATTCAGTACAGTTTAATTCTTTTATTCATTAGTGGGGCAAGTTGGCAGACTTTTATTCAATGGGATTAAACCCTTTTTCATAAGTGGGGCGAGTTGGCAGGACTAAATTCATCGAATTTTACTATTTTTCATAAGTTGGGCGAGTCGGCAGACCTTTATTCAGCGGGATTGTAACGTTTTTCATAAGTGGGGCGAGTTGGCAGACCTATATTCAACGGGATTTTACCCTTTTTCATAAGTGGGGCTAGTTGGTAAACAAGAGTGGGGCGAGTTGTCATGGATTCCCTTTTGGCTAATATGGCAGTATTTGCACCACACATTTTACTCTAAGTACAGACAAACCTGTGCACCTAGGAAAGTTTTAAGGCATGGCAGGAACTAGATAATTAAATTTTAAATGCATTTTATGTTTCAGAAAGTTATAAACTTTTCTGGATTTTGCTATTCTTTTTTTTTTCATTCCTGCAGAAGGTGCCAAAATATACTACATTGTAAGTTGGGAAAGAGGTTTGAGAAGCTCCCCTCATATAATAAATGTTGTAAGTAGTATTGATTTAAATGGACAATAGATGGACAATAGACATCTGCAAACAATAGGTGATTTAAACTGTGTAACTGAGTGGACCGTATCAAATGAAACTCGTGTGTTAGTTTATATTGCTATCTTCTGCAGACTGGAAAAAATGCACATCAAAATCCATGTAAGTTTTTAATTTTCTGAAACATAGACTACATATAACTTTTATATATCTAGGTCCTGCCATGCCATAAAACTTTCCTAGATGCATCAGTTTGTCTGTACTCATAGTAGATTTTGTAGTGTAAACATGGCCATAATTTTTAATTCCTTTTGATGAACCTTAAGGTTCATGTGGACCCTTTGGCTGAAATGGCTGCGTTTTCACCTCAAAATTGATTCCCGAGTACAGACTAACCTGTTAATCTGGAAAAGTTTTAAGGCATAGCATGCCCTAGATAAATAAAATTCAAATGCATTTTAGGCTTTAAAAAATTTAAAACTTAACTGGATTTTGCTGTGCACCTTTTTTTCGTCCCTGCAGAAGATGATAAAATTAACAAACAGTTGAGTTTCACTTGATATGGTCCACTCAGTGACACAGTTTAAATCACCAATTATTGTTAGGTATCTATTGTCCATCTATTGTCCATGTCAATCAATACAGTTCACTTCAATTATTACCTGTGGGGAAGTTCTCAAACCTCTTTCCCAACTTGTTTATTTTGGCAACTTCTGGAGGAATGAAAAAAAGTGCACGGCAAAATCCAGTTAAGTTTTTAATTTTCTTAACATGCTTAAAGAGAAAATGTATTTGAATTTCATTTATCTAGAGCATACTATGCCTTAAAATTTATCCAGATACTCAGGTTTGTCTGTACTCAGAGTTAATTTTGAGATAAAAGTTAATAGCCTTTAAAATGGAAATGTTTGGATGCCATTATCTTGTATTCAGTTCTCATCTAAACCATGGTCTTAAAGTGAAAAATGTTGCCATTGATATGAATATTTGCACCATGAAAACCAGTATGACGAAATACAAAATAAGATAATTTAACACTGTGAATTAAATTGAGACCTGATTTTTGGGATAGGACCCATTGAACAGGAACTTCCCCAAACAGTTCTATTATATAATAGAACCTATGCACTTTCCAGGAGCTTAACTTTGACTTATTGCAACACACTTCACTTTTTTTTGTGGATTGTCCAATTAACCTACTAACTGTTCATAAAATGGTGGTTGATTAAACTTCTAGTACCTTTTTTTAAATTTTGGTATCATTATTAATGAAAACATACATAACAACCTGACCAAAGTGTAGAAAACGGCCGAAGGCCACCAATGGGTCTTCAACACAGCGAGAAAATCATGCACCCGGAGGCAGGCCTAGATAAAAATATTCTTCTTTTCCTTCTGGTTTTACCAAGAATCTTTTTTTTGTCATCTGGTCAACTTTAAGGACTAGATTAGAAAGTAAGTAAGGAAGTTTTATTTAGAGTCGCAACATATGTACTATTAATAAAAAAACATAAGTTTAAGAAAGCTCTTACAACCAAATAAAACAAATATACAAAACATCAAAATAAACAAAGTTTCATCTAAGACAAGTACACATGAGCATAACAATATTAGCACACATAGTTATTAAATAAGATTAGGACAGATAAGCATAAGATATAAGACAGCAGAGTTTGGTACTTACAGGCAGTGCAGAAACAATTTTCTCCACCTCACTAGCTAGATATGTAGTTTTTCCCCACAAAAGACGTGTTGCAGCAGACATAGCAATACTGGTCATGTATGCACTCTCATGTGTACTATTCTTGCCAGATTTTAATCAAATTATATCAAAGGTTTACATTAGCAATGCCTTGGACAAGTTTGTAAATCAATGTCAATCAACTTTTTTTTTTAAAGATGTAGAAGGTCCAGTAACAACTTTATGGAATCTACTGACAGAAGATTTACCAGGCGTTGGTTCACTTGTGTTTAAATTTTTTTTAAAGAGTTATGCTTCTTGGCAATATTAATTATTTGAAATTGCATTGTAAGTGCTCTCATTTGAACAATTCTAGCCAGATTTTTTTATCAAATGTATATCAAAGGTTGATATCAGCTAAAAGGTTTAAAAATCAATGCTGATCAACTTTTTTTAAACGAGTTATTATGCCCCTTGGAAATATTAATTATATGGAAAATTGCACTGTAAGCGCTCTCACCAGTACAATTCTTGCCAAATTTATATCAAATGGTTATATTAGCAATGTTTCAAACAAGTGCAATAATCATTGTTGATCAGCTATTTTTTAAAAGCGTTATCCACCTTGGAATTATTTCTGATACATGTTATATGGAAAATTGAATTGTAAGCACTCACATGTATAATTCTTGCCTAGATAGTTTTGAAATTTGTATCAAAAGTTCATATCAACAATGTCCTGGAAAACAGTGCTAATCAATAATTTTAAACAGAGTTATGCCCCTCGGAAATATTTATTTATATATGGAAAATAGCATTGTAAGGGCTCTCAAGCCTACATTTTTCGAAGATATCTATACAAAGTTTTAAAGAATAAAATAAAAATCTTTTTTAGTTATTGCCCTTGGACAGATAAAATATGTTGGAGAGGTTGGAACATGTTCTTTTATTATTATTATACTGGTCAAATGAGGCCATATATCATGATGATGATAAATACAACATTATTGCAAAGTATAAAATCTTTTATCCTTTTTAATTTCTGGATTTTATCTCTCTAACCAGTGGCAGATCCAGGAAGTGTTGGACCCCCACCCTTTTTGTTTGACACTAATGCTTTGTATGGGGACATATGGTTGGAACCCACCCCCCTTTTTTATATGACTTACAATTATTGTTTATTTATTTGAAAAGATAATGAAATATAAGGTATAAGACAGTTGTCATGGTTGTGTAAAGGGAGTCTGCAGTCTGAATAAACTTTTGAACAATAAAAATTATTGTATATATATATATATATATATATATGATAACTGGCACACAAATGTTTTGACATTATACATGCATATAAGACTCAATATACACATACACACATAGCTGCTGTAATTGAAGTAGCTTTGGACAACAATATAATTTGATTTAATGGGTTTTTTTATTGCATAAGTTTTTTTCACTCTATTTTAATCTTCTATTGAATCAATGAGATAAAAGAGGAGGTTGAGTGCTCACTAAACCTACGTTGTACCCTGTTACATGTGCATGTGTCAATAACAGTATTGTTAGTGATTATTGCTATTTTTTGTCTGCTGAGGCTTTGGTGTTGGTGTCAAATAGCTCATTTATGTTAAATTTATCTAAAACTTGCATCTATGCACTTGATCTGATTTAGAGCTTTTTATATCATGAACATTGAGTGAATGCTTGTCTATGAAAGTTAACTGATTGCTTAACATACACACCGTGGAACAAATGTACTGAAAAATAAAAATATCCAAGCCATGTACATTTGTAAGTGGAAAACATTCTAAGGAAATCAGTTTTGTTAAAAAAATACCTCATCATATAAACTCATTTTGAAATAAATAATCATATAAATCCTATGACATCATGATGGTAATGGAAATAAGTTTGACTGTATGTATTTGTTTCCAGAGATTGGTATTCCTACATCTAGATGATACCATTCCTTATCAAGAGTGCTGTTAGCTTCCTTTTCTTAGCTGCTGGTATTCATTATTGGCGATCGGGGTAATTTTTTTCTTTGTAACTTCCCTTAATTGACTTGACTATTCTAAATGATGTATGCAGCTATTTCAGATGGTAAAAAATGTAGGAAGTTATGTTTCTTTAGTTATACTCTGTTCTCCGACACATTATTCTGAATCATAGACAAAAAATCTGCTCATATTCCTTGTTGCATACTTGTCTGTCTGACATATCCAGATTATGACCACGCCAACTACCACCCACAATCTAGATTAGCATGACACTACCAAGGTGGTAATTGTCATATAACAGTCAAGTATCTGTAAGTGAGGGGTAATATTTTATACAAGTGTTTTTTATTTACTTGTACAGGTGAATTATTTTGGAGGTAGAGTTATATCCCTTAGACATTTAGATTTGTTTTACTTATTTAAGTATAAAAAGTCATATTTTCTTCTTTGTTTGAATTTCTCTTGACTACATTGTTGTGATTTAATGTATAATTGTCTGTCATAACTAGTTGTCTTTACTATTCATAAATGTACAATTCCATGGGCGATGAAAATCTCATTTGTCTGTTCTATCTTCAAAAACTGCTCATTTACAAGCCTCCAGGGAGTAGTTTTTGAAGGCCTTGAGCAGGTACCATAGGTTACAAGAGCACAATTATTTATTTACATTTTACCAGCAAGGTTTTTACCCCAAGATGGTACTCAGATAGAATCTTGTATGGCTAAGCCGCTTCTGATTGGATGATACAGGATTGGAATTATTTTTAATCGAAAGCTTATCCAATTAGGTTTAAAAAATCCAGAAAATCAAATTCACATTTTACGAAGTATAGAAAATATTTTCAATATCTGCATGTTGGAGACATTAAAAATCTGCCTTTTTCATTAACCGAAAAAAATAGACGATGTTTTTCAACTGCATTTTAAGTCAATTTTTGCCGAATGACCATGTATATTTTTTTGGTTGTTATGCAACACTGATATTTCTTGTAACAGGAACTGCCACCCATTTTTTTCTAGTTTGTGTAGTCTTCGAGAAAAAAAATATGGTACACTACTGGTACCCTATGGAAAATTCATTACGGATAATTGCGCTCTTGTAACCTTCATCCGTGCCCGGTAGATTTCTTTGTTTAGTTCTTGCACTAGGTTATTTCTTAGCTTGAACTCTAATTAAAAAAGTAATAGCAAACCATAAAATAAATATCGTAAAGGCTTTTATTTGGCCTACCAAAGCTTGAGGATTTAAGGTGTTGTAAACAAAATTACTTGCATCAGTAAATTTTAGAGAAGATTAAGGTGACATTATTCAAATCTTGAAATGAAAATTAAAATCTTACAAATATACATCTACATATTCTACAAGTAAATATTACTTACATCTTCAATTAAATAAACATGATTTGTATTTATGTATTACCCCTGACTGTCTGTATTGAATGGTAAGATTATTTTCATTACAATGTACCTCTTTTATACTAACATTGATGAACTACAATCTTCCATTTGTGCAATGGGCTTACATTTTTCACCAGTTGCTCAGTTTGAATTTGTACTAGAATTTATACAAATGTTTGACCCATTAGTTATTCAATATAATATGACAGGCTTAAAAAATAGTTAGAAATATTCAAAAACCTTTACCCTAGATTGTCAATTGTGATTTCTGGTAAGTATAAAGCACTGTAAGATTTGTGCTAATTACAACTTTTCACAAAAAAGGAGAAAGGTATCTGTAAATGAGTTATGAAAATGTGAGTGTCACAAGTCAGGATCATGGTCAGCGTCATCGTGGCAGTCGTCGTCTGAAGACATTTGGTTTCCAGACTATAACTTGAGTATAAGTGCATGGATATCTATGAAATTGTACTACAAGGTCCCATACTGAAAAAGGAAGGTTAAGATTGATTTTGGGGGTTATGGCCTTAACGTTTAGGAACAAGGGGCCAAAAACAATACTTTTCTAATACTTAGTATAAATTGCTTATTATTGCCAATTTCAATAGGGTTTGATTCAAAGTCTTGAATTTTTGGGGTTCTTTAATATGCTGAATCTAACCATATATTTAGATTTGAAATTTTTGGTGGCGTCACTTTAACCGTTCTAGAGTTATGCCCCTTTATAAATGGAAAAATTGAAATTTTTAGTTTCCGTTCTCTAACTTAAGTTTGCCTCAACCAAATGTTATGAAACTTATACACAATGATTATTACCACAAAATACAGATCAAAGTTGAATTTTGGTGGCGTCACATTAATTGTTCTAGAGTTATGCCCCTTTATAAATGGAAAAATTGCAAAATTTTTAGTTTCCGTTCTCTAACTTAAGTTTGCCTCGACCAAATATTATGAAACTTACACACAATGATTATTACCACAAAATACAAATCAAGTTTGAATTTTGGTGGCGTCACTTTAATTGTTCTAGAGTTATGCCCCTTTATAAATGGAAAAATTGCAAAATTTTTATTTTCTTCAAAATATCAAGTTATTTTTAAAATTGGAGTTATCTTCCTTTGTCCATGATTATAGTTGAATCAACTACAATCAATGCTTTATACAATGCAATGTTTAATTTTGACTTCCACTGATAAAACACAGATCAAGTTGAATTTGGGTAGTGTCACTTTAACCATTATTGAGTTATGCCCCTTTATAAATCGATTGCAAAATTTTCAGTTTCCATTCTGTAACTTAAGTTTGCCTCAACCAAACATTATGAAACCTATAGTACACAATATTCATTCCCACAAAACTAAGATCAAGTACAAATTTTTTGTTTCCGTTTTCTAACTTTTTAACTCAACCAAATGTTATGAAACTTATACACAATGCTAATTACTACATAATACAGATTAAGTACGAAATTTGGTGGCGACACTTACCATTCTTGAGTTATGTCCCTTTATAAACATGAAAATTGCTGAATTTTTCGTTTCCGTTCTCTAACTTTAGTTTGTCTCAACCAAATGTTATAAAACTTATACACAACCGTTCTAGAGTTATGCGTGTTTACAAATAGAAAAATTGCTGAATTTTTAGTTTCTGTTCTCTACTTAAGTTAGCCTCAACCAAATGTAATGAGACTTACACACAATGCTTATTACCACAAAACTCAGATCAAGTTCAAATTTGGGTAGCGTCACTTTTACCGTTCTTCAGTTATGTCCCTTTATAACTATATGATACGCATGCGGGGGCATCATCTGTGTCCACATGTGGACACTATCCATATTTATTTCTTCTTAATTTTGTGAATAATGTAATTTTCCTTTATTTAATATGTTATATCTTTAATAAAAAAGAACTTTTATCTCTTTTACAGAAATATGACAAAAGAAGGCCTAAGTCCAAATGACCCTAGTTCCCACTCTCATCCAGAAGACTGTCGTCTTGTACACTTAGACTTGGAGCTCAATGCGGATTTCAACAAACACATATTTAGTGGTTTTGCCCATCTCACAGTAGAGAAACAAAAAGATGGAGTTGATACAGTGGTATGTAAGATAGCATTACTGCTACAATGTAATGGGGCATTCACACATGGCTGATTTATCTGAATTCAAGTGACAAATCACAGGATCTTTAAATTTTAACATAATTTAATTAGGAATTGTCCTATCAAGGACAGCAGTAAAAATCATGAATTGAGTGTGACTGATGCTTTACTCAACTTTCTAGATAGGAAGCAGTTTTGTTATAGAAATTTTAAGATCATGACAGATATAGTCACACCCCAAATGTGTACCTAATTTTTTTTCTGTTGAAAACTTCAAGCCTGTTTCTAAATATACACAAAAAATCTTTATGGGATCTAATGAAGCTTTGATAATAAATATATGAATAAAAAGATTGAATAGAGAATGGAGACAGGGAGTGTCAAAGAGACAACAACATGAACAAAGAGTAGAAAACAGCCTAAGGCCACCAATGGGTCTTCAACACAGCTAGAAAAATCCATACCCGGAGGCGGGCTTCAGCTAGTATTGTTTATTTAAAATAAATGAAGTGGGAATACCTGTATGTTGTTGCTTTATCCATTATTCTGGTTTTTTAAACAGGTTTTAGATTCAAAAGATTTAAAGATAAAAAATGTAACAGACCAGTCAACAGCGCAAAAGTTGTCATATTCTCTTGGAGATAAACTTGAGGTGTTTGGATCACGTTTAGAGGTCAGACTTCCTTCTACAAATGGAAATAAGTGAGTATGACAAAACTATTTTCAATTTTTATTCTTTAATGGAAAAAAACTGCACTATGGATGGATTCTTATGAAATCTTTACATTTTTAAACAAAACAAATTGCCCTGTCTGCAGTCTAAAGTGTTTTATTTTATCAAAATATGTTCAATACAAAAGTAATAATAATTCAACAACATACATATCTGTAGTTAACATGGTTAAGACATGTATGTAAGAGAAATGAAAGTGTAAAAAATGTTTTTTTTTCAATTTTTCTTTCTTCATGAGCTTAAATTTTAAATTAAAATGGCTAATACAAAACAAAAAAGTGCACAAGTACAGTTATCATGATATTCTTAGTCACATACCATTATTTTGTCTGAAATAAGTCAACCAGGAGGATATGTAAACACAGCCTCTGACTTCCAATTTTTACAAAATATCAACTGACAAAAACGTATGAAATGGTAGTTCACATGATCTTTCAAACTTCCTTTTCAAAGTAAATGAATCATAACAAATTATAAAAGTAATCTGTAAATGCAAGTCATATTGATACACCAGTGAGAAATAGAAATTATGCCTATGTAACAGGGAAATAGTCCAGCCAAAAAGATGATCTTAATTTTGGATTCCTTCTGGGTTGATATTGATTTATTTATTTGACTAATCTGGAAAATATTCCATCTGTGAAAAGCATGCTTATGATAGACCATTTATGCTAAACAATATACTGCATTAGCCTTCTTGCATTGTCAAGTAATATATGAAACCCTTTCCCCTCCTTATTCATGTGATTAATCTTGCTCTTGTTTACATTTGAATTCATGTGTTAACTATCATCCTGTCAGTTGCTGGACTGTGCAAGTTTTAAAGACAGTTTCTGCCTTGACCATCATTTAGATTCCATATCTATTACTGACTGGGGTCAACAGATCATTTCTTTAATATGCTTCATTAGCTGATAACATGGAAAACCTAGTAAACAATATAATAATAAGAAGATGTGGAATGATTGGTAATGAGACAACAATGTGTCAGAGATCAAATGACTAGGTTGTAAGCAACTGTATGTCACTGTTCGGCCTTCAACAATGAGCAACACCCATCTCCCCATCTCTTTTCCTTGAAATTATTTGGCCCTACATCTTCAGTCACGGCTCATTTACTTTGAATATTTTTCATAATTTAGGTGTTGCAGTATTGTCATTTAAATTTAAACATCTGCATTTTACTATAAAAATAACATACAAGCGAGATATAATATAGCTTCTGTCCTTTGATATATTAATCCCTGTCTACAATAGTAGGAGGCAGTTCGTTTTCTTGCCTATGTGTCCATCTTTTTGCCAGTCAATCAGTCCTCTATCATGGTTACGGTTACAACTTTGAATATTTTTATATGAAGTACAAGTCTGGCTTGATTGAACTGGTATGTCATCACACATTTATCTCTTTGTTAATTGATACAATATTGATTATTCTGAGAGAAATGTTGCAGATGTTTATTTACAGTTTTTATTGTTATTAAATTGTTATGTGTTTTTATCAATAGACTGAACATATCAATAGAGTATGAAACATCACCAGAGGCATCAGCATTCCAATGGTTGACAGCCGATCAGACAGCAGGGAAGAGGCAGCCATATTTGTTTAGTCAGTGTCAGGTATGCACAAAATGTTTTATAAAATACAAATGCACAAAATTTTTTTTATAGGTTTCTCACTGATTTTTCATACTGGTAATCTAAACCTGTTTTTTTTATTAATTGAGTACTTAAATCTACTTTGAACGACATTATATATTTATTCACCAAATATGCTTGTTACATTGTTACACCAAGAAACCAAGCTTTTCTTGATGTAACCTGTTATATATTCCACTGATTACCCAGGTTAGGAATCAGCTGCTGGTATATATGTATATATTATAATAATATGTATAAATTTCTTGAAATACAATTGTACAACATTTAATGCATTATGTTTTATTCTATTCAATCGTCTAAACTTCTTTTTAGTGACTTCAGTAATGTATTAAATTTCATTGTTCTGTTTTCGTTATATCTTTTAATGTATTCTTGAACAAAAATTTGATAAACATTTACATTTGTCAATTTCTGATTAGATACATAATATGATTTATATATAGAAAAACCTAAAATTGTTAGGAAATAATTCAGACCAAAATATTTTTTGTCAAAAATTTTATAGGTTTCTCACTGATTTTTTATACTGGTAATCTAAACCTGTTTTTTTTTTTAATTAAGTACTTAAATCTACTTTGAGGTTAAAATAAATCAGTTATACTGATTGGGATGAGAGGTTACACAAACGTGATACTAATGTGTGCCTATGAGAGTAAATATGAATAAAAGTAATGGATACAAGCAAAATTTTTTATTAGATGATTTAATTATTTTGAAGGTTTCCCATTTCAAATCATAGACTTTTCCATTGCTTGATGTAGGGGCAGAGAAATCATTTGTGAGATTTACACAGTGCATTTTGTTGTTCATGGAGTACATATTTTTGTGGATTTCTTTGTTATTGAAAATACAAATCAGGTATCAGCATAAGTACAATTGTTCCATTATCCACAAAAATTGGTACAACAAAATTAACCAATTCATACTATCAGAGTTCAATATTTATATTGATAAACTGGCAATGTAGCAACTATCAACGCATTAATTCCTACAGAAATGCCAAATAAAACACCTTGTTTTAACATTTATAAAACCATTAAATAGTCTGACATTGACAGGTCAAACATTATGATGTTGTTGAAATGTCTAGTTAAAATTTGAAATCTGTTTGATTTCAAAGCTGCATATATTTCCTGAAGAGTTCATCAGAATGAAGTAGGGCTTTTCAATAACTGAAAGAAGATATGCATGTAGTTGTATAGGGAAAATAACGTTAGTATAACAGTGCTTAGGGTGAGTACCAAATATGATTTTTTTCCTTTTTTTCAGGCAATTCATTGCAGAAGTTTTGTACCTTGTCAAGATACCCCATCTGTGAAGTTTCCATACACTGCCACGGTAAAGTACTGTCTATCTGATTATACATGTAGTGTTTGTATGCCTGTTTTTATTCATGTGAAATGGACAGAGGTAAACATGCAACAATAGACAAGGTCTAATAAACAACCATGACAGCTGAATCAAGTTCGGCTAAAGCCCATCTAATGACTTCATGGATTGGGACTGAAACCTATAGTAAGGCCTAGCAAATGACATCCCAATATGCTCATAGTCTATAATCTGTTCATAACATTTCTTGTTAGGTCAATTTTATAGGGAATTAATTAGTCCAAAATATTTGAATACAGAATCTACATCAAACACTTTATGTCATGTAAAGATGGGAATATTATACTTAAATGACCAAATCTTCAGGAATCATTGCAATATAAAAACAAATAAAAATTTATTACCAAATTCCCAAAATTATAGATTGTGATCCCTCAATGAGTTGACCGTACTATTCAGATGACACAAAAATGTTATAGATCTCAAAGCACTGTTTTTTATGTTATTTGGGTGGTATTACACTTTAGTAACCTTGATGACGAATTGACAAACTTGTATTTTGACTTAGTTGATGGCCACTTATAGATCTTAGATTTACCTGTATCAGAATTGTTCAGAATTCTGGGGAATAATTCAAAGCAAAGTTTTAGGTTACGTTTGAATTCTTTGATATAACAATTATAAGTAAATCAAGAACAATATTATTTTATATAGATTTTATTTTTGATACTAAATAAAAGTAAAGCTTTTTTGTTACATTACTTTTTTTTTAAATTTATTTTGACAGATAACAGCTCCAAAGGAGATTACTTTACTGATGAGTGCCATTAGTACAGGATCGGAGACTGATAGTAGTGATAACAGTAAATCTATTTATAGATTTGAACAGAAAGTACCAATACCATCTTATCTTATTGCCATTGTTGGTGGTGATCTAGAGAGCAGGTAATATCAGCTTTAAGTCTTTTTGTCTCCTGTGCGACACATTGCAGGGACTTAAAAATACTGGGTGTCCGTCCATCCATAAGTCTGGTCTTGTAAGAGCTCTCATGTGTACAATTCTTGCCAAATTTTCATCAAACTTATATCAGAGGTTTATATCAGCAATGTCTCAGACAAGTTCGAAAATCAGTGCTGACAAATGTTTTTAAAAGAGTTGTGCCTTGTGGTAATATTAATTTTATGTGAAATTGCATTGTAAGCACTTTTAAGCATAATTTCCTTAAGATATTTATAAAAAAAATTAAAGAACAAAAATAAAAATCCTCTTAAGTTATTGACCTTGAACAGATAAAATATTTGCAATGTGTGGGACATTGGAAATCTGTTCTTTTACTGAGCACCGAAAGGTGCTTACTTTCCTGTCATTCATGTACTGCATTTTCATTTGAAAATTAAATCATTCTTTTTAGATGGCAAAAACGATTATTTACAAAACATCAAAGAAACAATTTATATATATAGTTTGCATCTATTTCCATTATCATATAAAGTATAGAGCAGCCTTATAATTCAAGATCTTTCCTATATCATGTGTATGTCATATATTGATTTTTAAACAAATTATATTTTGAGCTCATAATGAACGTTTTAATTTTAAGACAGATGCTCAAATATTTTGAAAATGCATCTCTTAAAGAATTTTTTGATGTGTTTTTTGTTCTTGCCAATAAACCAATATGGCCTCACTGTTTTAAAATTTAACATCTAGGTAAAATGCATTTAAAATGTCTAATATCTTGAAAACCATAATAGATAGAGAAAATCCAACATAGCAAAAATGCTCAAAATGTGAGTGTTATTGTTGTTCTTTATGGGGAAACTGCAACAACTGTAAAAGAGGGCAGCAAGAATAATTCTAGACAAACATAATTACATCAAACCTTCTAGAAAATTGTTTCACAAATGGGACATTGTGCCAATTACAAAGAGAATACAATATCATAAATCATTACTAATGTATAAGGCAAAAAATGGTTTAGCTCCAGAATATTTTCCAAGTCTAATTATATCAGCTTCTGCAAACCAAAAATACAATACGAGATTTTCATCATCTGATAATTTTATAATTCCAAAGCCAAATACAGAGTGATATAAGTGCAGTTTCTAGTACAGTAGACAAAAAGTTTGGAATGGTCTTTCTTGTACAATTAAAAAATCAAACACAGTATTAGAATGTAAAGATAACTACAAATCTATGTACTTTTAACATTGCCATAATAATTGTACTTTAATGCCATAGAATAATTGTTTTGTTACACCTGGGACATAATATATAGGAATACTAATCCCAGGTTACATATCGATTATAATTATTTGGTAATCATAATATTGATTATTATAACACATACATAAATAAAAATAAATTGTCTTGCCGGGTCAAATGTGATATATTAGAAAAACCAGGTGCAATTTTTATCAAATCGTAGAAATTTCTGTGGTCAGACCTATAATGAGACAGTCCTAAAATTCAATAATCCTGTTATCCATCGTCCTATCATTCGACAGCTTGTTATCTCCGACGCGCAGTTACTTGACTCGGCTGAAAAATATACCTATTGATGGAGAGTTGTCTCCTTGGCACTCATACCACATCTTCTTATATCTATAGACATGTACTGTTTGATGATGAACTTTTTCACAGAGACGAGAGTTTTGTGCTTGTGGTCCATAGGTTCTAGTAAACTATTTGATTACCAAGACTTTTGAAAAATACTTTCTAATGTGTAAAATTTAATAATTCATGCACAGAATAATCTACTGATGAGGAAAGTTCAAATCAAGTTTCGGCGCCCCCTTATGGAGCTTTATTTATGGTTAATCCAGACTTTTTACCACTTCCATTACAAATTTTGTCAAGTTTGGGGGCCTGTGCCCCTCCCCCTTTTCAAAATCCTGCTTCTGCATCTGATGTGTGGATCTTCTATATAAAAAGAGGCTGATGCACTGTAGTCATCAGATTAATTTTCATCGATTAATTCAAGTTTTTTACAGTCGTTTCACGACGTGTTAACATTCGTCTACCAGTGTAATTTTACTTTCATAACAATTTTTATTTGAAAAAAAGAAAAAAAAACAGATTGTGTGCAGTCGGTGCTGCTGTGCCATCCAGAAAAAAATGTCCGGACCATTCAAAAACCTGTTTATGCAAAGTTTTTATGTTTATAGCTTTGGTCCACTCAAGTTTTGTTGGCTCGTCAGAAGGCATCAAATGAGACTTATTCATGTTTTATGGAATCAAACAAGGGCAGTCATTGTGCAACTCATTGTGTAATTTAAATATTGATTTTTTTTCCACATCTACAATTATTTGTACAACTAGTAACTGCACAAGAAATGCCTCCACCTTTTTTTATAACTTTCGGCAGTATCCATAGTAAAACAAATCATAAAATGAAAGAAATACAAATGTAAACAGAAAATTAATAATGTTTTGATCAATACACATGCGTAATTTTTCACGGTTGTTATGGCTGATCAGTCACGTGAGAGGTTAATGGATTTGCCCATGTTTTCTAGGTCAGTTATATATAAACTCGTCTATACAAACCTATACAATTTGCTTAAATGTCTGAAAGAATAAGATGACTCCTTATAGCAGTAATTGACCTAAAATGTCAATTTTTGACTAATTATCAACTTTTTGCATATTATCTGGAAAACTATGATAATTGATAGGTAGAAAATGTGAAGAGCAAAAATGATCAGCTATACAAAGCTCTTTAAAAATATTTATATGGCTGAAACAATTTGATGACTCCTTACAGGAATTATTGCCCTTATTTACGATTTTTTTGTTGAGCCTGAGACTTTTGTCGCAGAAAGCTCAACATAGGGATGGTGATCCAGCAGTGGCGGACACAGAGGCGTTAACTAACTACTTAAAAGCTTAATATTTCAGAAGGTAAAAGACCTGAATGCTTCATACTTTGTATATAGATACCTTATGTTATGAAGTTTCCGTCTGTCATATGTCCTCTGTCCTTGACCTCATTTTCATGGTGATTACTTGAAAAAAAAGTTCAGATTTTTTGTAATGTTAATTTCTCTCTTATTATGAGTAATAGAATAACTATATTTGGTATGTGCATACCTTGCACAGTCCCCATGCCTGTCAGACAGTTTTCACTTGACCTCGACCTCATTTCATGGATCAGTGAACAAGGTCAAGTTTTCATGGTCAAGTCCATATCTCAGATACTATAAGCAATAGGTCTACTATATTTGGTGTATGGAATGACTGTAAGGTGTACATGTACAACTGGCAGGTGTCATCTCACCTGCACCTCATTTTCATGGTTCAGTGGTTAAAGTTATGTTTTTGTGTTTTGATCTATTTTTCTAATACTGTATACAATAGGTCAGCTATATTTGGTGTATGGAAATATTTTATGATGTATATGTCAGTCTGGCAGGTTTTATTTGACCTTGACCTCATTTTTAAGTTTTTGTGTTTTGGTCTGTCTTTCTTAAACTATAAGCAATAGGTCAACTATGTTTGGTGTATGGAATGATTGTAAAGTGTACATGTCTGTCTGGCAGGGTTCATCTGACCTTGACCTCATATTCATGGTTCATTGATCAATATAACGTTTTCATGGTTTGGTCTGTTTCTTGTATACTATAAGCAATAGGTCAACTATATTCAATGTATGGAATGATTGTAAGGTGTACATGTATCTCTGGCTTGGTTTATCTGACCTTGACCTTATTTTCTTGGATCATGATAAGTAAATGTTAAACTTGTAGTAAAACTTTATATTTAGTGCTATCAACATGAAATCAATGGTAGTAAAGTAGGCTAGACATTTCAGCGTGTGCACTCTTGTTTTCAATTATCTTGAAAACTATAATAGATAGGTAGTAACTAGTAACAGTAAACAGCAAAAAAAAGACTAACAATGCAGGATATATTTTTGACAGCTGAGTAATTAAGGCTCTTAGGAGCCTCTTGTTTAGTGTTAAATATTCCTGAAGGATTTTAGGAGCTTCAAGACAGCATGTCATCTCTGCAATGATTACCTCTATCTTCATTTAATATTAAAAGAAAATAAAAATCTGTTCAGGTGAATATGTATAAGGCTGTTGGTTTTCTCTTTTGCAGGGTCCTTTTATATCTTATTATTCAGTTTGGGTTTTGCTCATTGTTGAAGGCCATATAGTGACCTATAATTGTATACATCCTTATCCTTTTGTTACTGATAGTTAGTTGTTTCATTCGAAATTATGCTACATCTTTTATATATATTTTACATTTTATTTTCAGAGATATTGGACCACGATCAAAAGTATGGTCAGAGAAAGAATTTGTTGATGCAGCAGCTTTTGAATTTTCTGAGGTTTATATATTCACTTGCATTTTGCTTAGCAGACTATAAAATCTAATATGGAATTTTTGTGAAGTCAAAAGAAATGTTCAAGTGGTATCTTTTCTTACCATCAAACAAAAGAAAGAAAAACTAATGACTGCCAGTTATTACTCATCAATATTGAAATATAGATTTCAAAATCTATAAACAGATATCATTGTGAAGACTTGTCAGTGAGTGTCACTGAAAAAAAGCTCATAGAGAGAAATAATGAGTAAAAAAATTCAGCAAGATAAGATCCACAAATTAACCATATTAAATGAAAGTTTTAACTCATTTTTTGCATTTTTCAAACTACAAAACATGTATAATGAATAGAGAGAAAACAGCAAAAATTCTCAGCTAGATAAGATAGGCAAATGGCTCAACATAACTGATTGGAATTAAATTGAAATAAATATCAAAATAACATATGTTTTCCCGGTAGAAGATTCTGGTTCTTAGGATTCTCTAATTTTAGATCAACCTTCTTTAGGAAATAAAAGGAAAAATGGTGGTACCTCTTGTTTCTTAAAAGTTTACAAATTGGATGATTTTCAGTAAAGTCCACTATTAGTATATTCCACTTAATGTACACATTTGATCAAAAAGAAACACCCCCTGGCAAAATCACAGGTTTTGGGAGATGTAAATGTATATGTCTAATGAAAATCATGAGGGTATTAAAGATAAAAATGATTTGTGTATTTGTATTTCACAGATAGTATTAATCAATAATGTTTTGTCACACTATTTGCAAATTTAAGAAACATAGGATCCTGGAATGTGTTTTCTAAATTTGAAACACATTGGTATGAAACAAACACATTGATATGAACTCTAATTTTTATTTAAGTTTATTGGTAAATATGAATTTGAAGTGAACAAAGATTCTTTTTTATAGACAGAGACAATGTTAACGACAGCAGAAAAGCTATGTGGTCCATACGTCTGGGGACGATATGATCTACTGGTTTTACCTCCCTCTTTCCCATATGGTGGAATGGAAAATCCATGTCTGACGTTTGTGACACCTACTTTGTTGGTAAGTTATAACATAGGATAAGTCAAATCTAGATAGCATATAAACATATAAAGGTGATGTGGTATGGTTGTCACTAAGACAACTATCCATCAGCGACCAAGTAACTTGGATGTATGCAACTATAGGTCACCTTATAGCCTTGAACAGTGAGAAAACCTGTATGGTACAGTCAACTATCAAAGATCCAAACATGACAAAATATGAAATAATTCAACAAAAAAACCAGTGGCCTAGCTTATGGTAAGACAACAAATGAAAAAAAAAACATGACAAAAAGCAACCAACAACAACCACTGATTTACCTGACTTAGGTCAGACACAAAAGAATGTGGAAGGGTGAAACTTGCCTGCGAGAGCATTTATATTTTCCAAACACCTTTTACTTTAGTCATGTAAGGGTTAATATGAAATCATGCACAGTAAATATTTAATTTGCACTAAATTTTGGATCAAATTGGGCCATATTGCCCCTTCTCCTTTGACTTGAACAAGATCACTAGTAGTTTTATAACATTACAATATATAGGTATGCTTCTCTTATAACAGGCTGGTGATAAGTCTTTAGCAGATGTTGTTGCACATGAAATCTCTCACAGCTGGACAGGGAACTTAGTCACCAATAAAAATCCTGAACATTTTTGGTATGTTTACATGGATCTATTTAGACTCTTTTTTTTATCTCATACAGCTGAGTGCACAGATCCTAACCTACCTATTAAATAACGACGATGTGGTTTGAATGCCAATGAGACACTCTCCGCCAGAGACTTAATGACGTAGAAATGATGTAAAAGGCCCCAGCATGACAAAAGTTATAAAATTCATACGAGAAAACTAATAAACTGATATACAATGTATGTGCAAAACAATAAAAGAAAAGCAAATATGATATACAGCAACAAACAACAACCACTGAATTACAGGCTCCTGATTTGGCACAGGCACAAACAGAATGTGACAGAGTTAAACATGTTTTGGGTCGCCCAACCCTCCCCTTAACACATGAACAAATTGTACAAAACAATAAACAAAAAGAAATATGATATATAGCAACAAAAGACAACCACTGAATTACAGGTTCCTGACTTGGGACATGCATATACAGAATGTGGCAAAGTTAAACCCTCCCTGAACCTGAAACAGTGGTGTAACAGCACAACATAAGTACAAACTATAAAAATCAGTTGAAAAGGACTTAACTCCTCAGATCAATACAAAGCACAAATGTAACTAACAAAGACACCAAATAAAGATCTGAGAGTACTCACAGTTCCTGAAAGCTGGTAACTTATAAAAAAAATCATATATCTAAGACTAACTCACTGAACCGAATTAGTAGATATAAACTGGATGTCAACTTTTGTAAACTTCCCTTTTGTTAAGTTGTGTTTATGCAGTGGACATTACACTAAACCATCCCCCTCCCCCTTTGAGTGTCATGCGTACATACACATTGAATAAAGCATCAATCCTTCCTTTTACATCTTCTGTTTTAAAAGAAAATGTACATTTATTTAACCTTGACCTTTTTGTTATTAGAAATGCCCATGTATTTTCCTTTTTTCTCAAACCATGGAAGTATTATATTGACAGGAACTATTACGACCTGACTTCAAATGTTTCATCATGACTTGTTAATTAACTTGAGCCATTTTCGGTTGTTTCTGCGATTACCGAAAATAAACGAAGAAATCGGAAGTTGTCTTAATTCTAGGGAAACATGTCATATATTGATGAATGTGTGCGATACATCATTAAAAATTCTAGAAAAAAAACGTTGATGATGGAGATGTCTACCATATCTGTTAAATAAATACACAATAACTTGGCTTCGCTCTAAATCCTGGATTGGATTATTACCAGTATTATGATTATGAACATGAACCTAGATATAAATCCTTAATATGTAATATGTGCATGTGATCTCAATATAAGTATATATATAACAAGGTGCCTCTTCTTTCTTTTTAAGAATATTTATAATATATTATTACTCAGTGTCATTTAGCACTGGCTCGATTAATTTTCGTATTTTAAACTTTCCTGGCTTATCATGATTCATGGCCTTTAACTATGTATGTTACTCGATTCTTCACAGTGTCTATTTTCATAGGGAAAATTATTGTGACTTGGCCGTAACTGGAAATTACCCTTATGACTGTTATAACTTAATCCTTGAAGAAATTAAGTATTGTCACTCACTATTTTAAAACGTTGCAGTATAAATAATTCTGGGTCGATTTTCATTTTTAATGCATCAGTCAATTTTTTTTAATAAGTTGTTTATGGCTAAAGGTCAGCTGACAAGATTGAAATAAGCTAAGGTATTTTCCGACAGATATTAGTGTTAACCTGTCTCAATAAAAACCATGTAATTGATAAGAAGTATCTCTGGTCATCTTATGACAGCGGCATCGCAGATAGTCACAAAAGGAAATTAACGATAGCACACTAATTAGACAGTTTCCATATCTTTTCTACAACACTCCTCAGGTTATAAATAAGTTCTATCTGATACAAAAATTTAACAATACTTTTAGATATTTGGATGATATATTGGCTCTCAATAATGACGACTTCAGTGTATATACTAAAGAAATTTATCCTGTTGAACTTACTTTAAATAAAGCTAATACTAACAATGACCACTGTCCTTTCCTCGATCTTGATATCTATATCATTATTGGGAAGCTTAATACAAAAATTTATGATAAAAGAGATGATTTTTCATTTCCTATTGTTAATTATCCATTTTTAGATGGTGACGTTCCCTTGTCACCATCTTATGGTGTTTATATATCTCAACTTGTACGATTCGCTCGTGTATGTAACAACGTATTAGATTTTAGCGAGAGAAATTTATGTATCACTGAAAAATTATTTCACCAGGGTTTTCGATATCATAAACTAGTCAAAACATTTACTAAATTTTATCATCGGTACAAGGACATCATTCGTAAATATAACTCAACATGCAGACATCTTATACGTTCGGGTATTTCACATCCAATCTTTTATAGTAATATTCTTTACAAAGCACAAAAATGTCAGTATTCACCTCAAAAGCTAACAAAACCTTTAAACAGACTTATTAAAAAGGGATATAGTTACGATATGGTGTCAGGTCATTAAAGATTGCATATTCTGGCTTTAATATTGATTCACTTATAGGGTCTTTGCATCGGAATTAAACACATTTATTCTAAAACCAGTTGTTGGCATGACACAGGTTATGTTCTTCTCATATATTTTATGACAGTATAATACTAAACCCCTAACAGGAGGGATTGTGCCTGATATTCATATGATGAAGACATAATCTTTCAATCAGTTTAATTGAGGTCTGGAGCTGGCATGTCAGTAACTGCTAGTAGTCTGTTGTTATTTATGTATTATTGTCATTTTGTTTATCTTTTTTTTGTTTCCTATTCTGACATCAGACTCGGACTTCTCTTATACTGAGTTTTACTGTGCGTACTGTTGTGCGTTTGTTTTTACTACATTGGCTAGAGGTATAGGGGGAGGGTTGAGATCTCAAAAATCATGTTTAACCCCGCCGCATTTTTGCGCCTGTCCCAAGTCAGGAGCCTCTGGCCTTTGTTAGTCTTGTATCATTTTTAATTTTAGTTTCCTGTGTATAATTTGGAGTTTAGTATGACGTCCATTATCACTGAACTAGTATACATATTTGTTTAGGGGCCAGCTGAAGGACGCCTCCGGGTGCGGGAGTTTCTCGCTGCATTGAAACCCATTGGTGGCCTTCGGCTGTTGTCTGCTCTATGATCGGGTCGTTGTCTCTTTGACACATTCCCCATTTCCATTCTCAATTTTATCTAATAAATTGTTGTAGTTCCTGTCAATATAATACTTCCATGCTCAAACTAAATTTGTATTTCGATCTCATGCAGCATTCTGAAACTGTTTTAACCTGCGTCGCAAAAGGTGAAAGCAGGTCTAGTAACAGCTCGACTTCATCTGTCTATCTGTCTGAAAGACCATGTTTCTTCAAAGTTTTCATGGCTTCTATGAAAGAAATGATTTAATATTTGGTCTGCAGCTTGATAATATTGAGTTGTAGTGAGTAAGCTATTTTTACATCCCTGTTGCAGCCACTTTAAAACACTCATTGTACTAGAAAAATTTTCATCAATTTTTACTTGGCTCCTATTGAAGGGAATAATTTTATATTTGGTCTGCAGCTTGATAATGCTGAGTTGTAACAAGTAAGCAATTTTTACATCTCTCTTGCCTCTTGTTCACACTTTGAAATTTTACAACACATAGAAAATTTTCTTGGCTTCAATGAAAGGGAATGTTATTTTCCATTAAATATTTTACCTCAATCAATTACATGCAGCGACAAAGGTCCAGACCCGGTATTGGTCTTGTTTATAGCATAAATCTCACCCTCAGGAATGCCAAAAATTATATTTCCTTGCAATCAACTCAGAATGGTAATTCCAATAACCGTAGATAAAGATTTAGTTATCAAGGTCCATTCCTTAACCAGATAATAAACTTGCAAGTATTAAATTCAGGGGTAATATAATGTTATTCTGGCATTTCCATGGTAGGTTAAATGAAGGTCATACTGTTTTTGTGGAGAGGAAAATAAAGGGTCGAATGTATGGTGAACCTTATAGACAAATTAGTGCTGCTGAGAGATGGATTGAATTACAACAAAGTGTGGTAAGAACTATTTAGATACATAAATATACCTCATCAGATATTAATCTTTATGGTCAGGTTAAATGAAGGTCATACTGTATTTGTGGAGAGAAAAATACAAAGTAGAATGTTTGGTGAACCTTTAAGACAGTTAAGTGCTGCAGAAGGATGGAATGATTTACAACAAAATGTGGTAAGAATTCTTCACAATTTTTTGCAGTGACTGTGTCTTTTTCACTGTTTCCATATATATAATGAATAAATGTTACAAATAGTAATTGCAAAAAAAAATTAACTGCTTGTTTTAGAGATGAATACTCTAAAGGAAAACTCACTTTGCTAAATGTATGAAATATGTTTGTCTAATGCAGTTCTAGAGTTCTTCATAACAGCTCTTGCTTAGGTTATTAAAGGTTTATCTATGAAATGAATACCTTTTATAGCATCACAAATTTATGTGACTGTTATATGGTGTGGGATTGTCCTCAAAGTTGTTATTATGAATCTTCAAATCAGTTGTCCTTGGCACACAACTCTTACTTTTGAACTGACATACTTAGCTGGATTATAAATGTTCTGTTCCAAAGATTTGTTGCTATACTCAAACATAATGTTCTGATTTTGAATAAACAGGTTTTGCTTTCACTTCCATAATCTGACAGAGAAAAACAGCAAATACAAGTTTTTAAAAATTGGTTTCAACAGGCCAGAAACAAAAACCTTCAACCTCCTAAATTTGATGTAAATATGCTACAAACAGACTACCAAGGTAGTCTGCAGGAAAGAGAAACAAGTTATTCTTATTTTCAGAAAAAAAACCATCAAATCCTTTAAAGGTGCTTAAGTTACGATTAAGGACAAAAATCAAAATCAGATTTTTTTGTGTCAAACATTTATAAAGACAGAATAATATTTCACCATTAGCAGTCACTTTGGTTCAGTTTTGTCAAAATAAGCTAAATATCATCTCTGATGTTTTATTGGCTTGCAAGTCAATAATTCAATCATTCAAATCTATTCATGCGACCTTCAATTTCAACCTTAGCTGGAGATGGGTAGCGCATGTATAATTTTTGAAAAGAAAAGATTAAAGTACAAAGGAGCTACCAGGATGAACCACTTTGTTGCATATGTAGATCATCTGGATGGTTAATTAGATAGCATCTAGTTACAAATGAAATGCTTATATATTATAAAGAATCCATACATGGTTATTTGTTTCTTTTGTTTTTTTTTGTAAATAAACACACTTGTCCTTGAAAATTCTAACATTTTTTATTTTATATGATTGTTGATTTATTGATTGATTGATTGGTTGGTGTTTAATGCTACTTTCAGCACTATTGTGCTATTTCACGGCGGTCAGTTTTTGTTGGTGGTGGAATCTGGAGACCCCGTAGGGAACCACTGTCCTTCATATTTCATGTGAAAACATGCATTTAAGTTTAATAATGTATGATATATGTTGGATATTTTTTTGCAGGTGGATGTTTTAAAAAATGGTCCGTACACAAAACTGATACCAGATTTGAGAGGAGTGGACCCTGATGATGCTTTCTCTATTGTACCATATGAAAAAGGTTTCACATTATTGTATTACCTAGAAACACTTCTAGGTGGACCAGGTAAGGAGTATTGATCAATTGAATATTCATTACTGTAATTATTCGTAAGGGTTACCAATTTTTTGTGGATTGAGGAAAAATTGTTTTTCATGGCTATTTGATTTTGTGGTTTTACCATTTTCTGCATAAAGTCCTATAGAAAATTTGTACTTTATTGAACATTTAAGTTTGTGGTTCACCATTACCCTTGAAAGCTACAAAATTGGTATCCCAGGAATAATAATGAATCCACAGTAACTAAGAAATTAAATAGATCTTTGTCTTCCAATATTAAATTATATATATAAATAAGAAGATGTGGTATGAGTGCCAATGAGACAACTTTCCATCTAAGTCACAATGTATAAAAAGTTAACAATTATAGGTCAAAGTACGGCCTTCCAACACATAGCCTTGGCTCACACCGAAAAGCAAGCTATAAAGGGCCCCAAAATGACTAGTGTAAAACAATTCAAACAGGAAAACCAACGGTCTAATCTATATAAAAACCGAGAAACGAGAAACACATATATGCATGAATACTGTTAATGGTATATTGAATTTGTATTATTGATAATATGACAAAATTGGCCAGCCTTATTGAGAATTAAAAAAAATTGTCTGTGCATTTAATATAGCAATTGTTGAGCAATGGACAAAAATATGAGATTAATTATTATACCCCCGCTTTAAATAAGTGGGGGTATACTGTTTTACCTCTGTCTGTCCTTCTGTCAGTCCATCCATCCGTCAGTCCATCCATCCGTCAGTCCGACGTCTGTCCCATGAATATTTTCGTCGCATTTTTCTCAGGAACTACTTGACAAGGATTTCTGAAATTTGATTTCAGGGTTTATATAAGTAAGTTACACCGTGTGATGCGTTTTCAGATTCATCACTCGACAACTTCCTGTTTACCGAACACTTGTATTATTTTACACATGATAGCCAAGTTGAAAATTTACGTCTCATTTTTCCCAGGAACTACTTGACAAGGATTTCTGAAATTTGGTTTCAGGGTTTATATAAGTCAGCTATACCGTGTGATGCGTTTTCAGATTCATCACTCAACAAATTCCTGTTTACCGAAATATTTCGACGGGGGTATCATCAGTGAGCAGTAGCTCACAGTTTTACTTGTTTTATTTTCAGAAAATGCTGCATTAGAATAACAATTAAAATGAAAGTGGTTTTTTTTGCAAAGTTGAAAACATCACAAAGCCTTCTGAATTTATAGTACATAAAATTGTATAAACTTATTTATGGAATTAAACTTGATCTTATATACATAAATCTTAGATAATTGTTGAACTTAAACCATATATTTTAGATGAATTTGAACCATTCCTGAAGGCTTATATTGAAAAATTCAAATACAAATCTATAGACAGTAATCAGTGGAAAGATTTCCTATTCTCATTTTTCCAATCAAAGGTAGGTCTGTTGCTTTAAAACATCCTTACTATGATCACTTAAAATACTAGGATATATGTTATAAGATTATGTCATTATTTTAAGATTCTACAACTTTCAGAGGAAGTACCTAAAAAGTGATAGCCATATTAATTAAAGATGTGAACAAAAATAATCAGTTTTGTTTGTGGTCAACATTTCAGGTACTCCTAGCAATGACCATAAGGTCTAGAGCTAGTATGGTTCAGATATTTTACCATCTTTTTTGTTGTTGTCATGAGGCATATCAAACCAACTCTTATTACAAATTGTACAACTTGATGATGGTCTTGATTTAGACTTAATGATCTTGGCTCCTTGCACATTCAACTTTCCTCAATATTTTATAAGCTCTCTGGTGTTTTAAGCTGTAATTTTTGCTTAGCAATATTTCAATATTTATGCCTTTTATGTACATTCCATACATTTATTGACCTATTTCAAAAAAATTTAATTGATTGAATTTATGGGATTATAAATGTTACATACTGTAAATTCAGAAATTATTGCTATCTTTTCATTATTGCGAAAATTGTGATGTGACTGGTTTTGCAAAAATAAAAACTTGCATTTCAAATTTTGATAGCAATATGTGTAGGCAACATATCCTGAAATCACAATGATTAGTCTCACAGTGTTGTTACTGTAAATTCAGAAATTATTGCGATGTTTTTATTAGTGTGAAAAATGCAACAGAGTTATAATCGCAATAAATTTAAACTCGCATTTTGAAATTTTTTATATGAATTAAACAGGATTTTTCTCAATATCGCAAAAATTTAAATCGCATTTTAGTCTAAAATGACAAAATTACAATAATAAATGCACGCAATAATTTCTGAATTTACAGTAATTGTTTAACAATCGTAATATTAAATGCACACATTAATTCCTGAATTTCCAATCTCATCGAAATCGTAAATAGTAATGCATACTTTGCCATTTTTGTCTGATTACCCAATGTTCTTATGTACTTCTGTTGACATAGGTCTATTTTATCCTAGAACATAACTAAGCATATGGGAGTGCCTTTGATATCATCCATTTTAACACAGGTGATTCAAATATATAAAACATTATGATTTAAGATGACTTTTTGAAATCTTGCCTATCTTTATGTTGGTCATGGGATGAATTTTTTAATGTAACCTGGCTATCTTGATTTTTTTTTTTTAACCTCTTTGTAGGTTGATGTATTGAACAAAGTGGATTGGGACACATGGTTTTCTGGTGTTGGGATGCCACCCATTAAACCAGAGTAGGTTTGATGTACTAATAATTAACATTTCATTTTCATTTCAAAAGCACTGGATGCAGACTAATATGTGCATGATCAATAGCTATCAAACTAGATTTATCATTATGCAGTGACAGTTACAGTTTTGTTTAGATATAGTGTCTATTTTACTTTCTTTGAATGATGCAAAAACCTTCAAAACACCACATTTCCATGAAATGACATTATCTATGTGTGTGCTTATGTCATGTGTTTATTTTCAAAAAAACTATAAAAGACATGCTTTCTACTTCCAAAATAAGTGGCCTGATCAGCCTTCTCCTTCCTATGGCAAAATAAGTGGCCTGATCATTCCTCCTCCCTCTTATGCCAAAATAAGTGGCCTGATCAGCCTTCTCCTTCCTATGGCAAAATAAGTGGCCTGATCATTCCTCCTCCCTCTTATGGCAAAATAAGTGGCCTGATCAGCCTTCTCCTTCCTATGGCAAAATAAGTGGCCTGATCATTCCTCCTCCCTCTTATGGCAAAATAAGTGGCCTGATCATTCCTCCTCCTTCTTTAGGTAAAATAAGTGGTCTGATCATTCCTCCTCCCTCTTATGCCAAAATAAGTGGCCTGATCAGCCTTCTCCTTCCTATGGCAAAATAAGTGGCCTGATCATTCCTCCTCCCTCTTATGGCAAAATAAGTGGCCTGATCAGCCTTCTCCTTCCATTGGCAAAATAAGTGGCCTGATCATTCCTCCTCCCTCTTATGGCAAAATAAGTGGCCTGATCATTCCTCCTCCTTCTTTAGGTAAAATAAGTGGTCTGATCATTCCTCCTCCCTCTTATGCCAAAATAAGTGGCCTGATCAGCCTTCTCCTTCCTATGGCAAAATAAGTGGCCTGATCATTCCTCCTCCCTCTTATGGTAAAATAAGTGGCCTGATCATTCCTCCTCCTTCTTTAGGTACAATAAGTGACCTGATCATTCCTCCTCCCTCTTATGACAAAATAAGTGGCCTGATCATTCCTCCTCAGTCTTATGATAAAATAAGTGGCCTGATCATGCCTTCTTCTCCCTTTTATGGCAAAATAAGTGGCCTGATCATTCCTCCTTTCTCTTATGGTAAAATAAGTGGCCTGATCATTCCTCCTCCCTCTTATGGTAAAATAAGTAGCCTGATCATGCCTTCTCCTTCCTATGGAAAAATAAGTGGCCTTATCAAGCCTTTTCTTTCCTATTGCAAAATAAGTTGTCTGATCATGCCTTTTCCTTTATATGGGAAAATAAGTGGCCTGATCAGCCTTCTCTCAATGCCAAAATAAGTGGCCTTATCATGCCATCTCCTTCTATTGCCAACATAAGTGGCCTGATCATGCCTTCCTGGACTATTGTGTGTTCATCCTTGATATTTATTATTCAGATTTAGGAGACTAAAAGTTATTGTTTATGATATTTAATATTGGTTTTATTTTATCCAAATAGATTTCTATTAGGTAAGTTATTATACTTTGTGCAATAATTATAGTTCTTTATTCATAAAGATGTTTTTATTTAATTCCATATTATTGTAATTATAGATATGATGAAAGTCTTGCTGTGCCTTGTCAAGAATTATGTGATAAATGGTCTGCCACATCAGATAGTGACCTGTCTCAGTTTAGTGCAAATGATATCCTGAAAATGACATCAAACCAGATCAGAATCTTCCTTTATAAAGTATTGTTACTGGAGGTAGATATTTTTCTAACATATGTTTTGTTAGCAATGCAGGGGCCATTAAGTTTTACCCTTGTCCGTCTGTATGTCCATCCGTACGTCCCAAAATAAGTTTCTGTTGTTCAACTTTAGTTTGCCTCAGCCAAATGTTTTGAAACTTATACACAATGCTTATTATCACCAAACACAGATAAAGTTTGAATTTGGTTGGCATCACTTTAACTGTTCTCAAGTTATGTCCTTTATAAATGGAAAAGTTGCAAAATTTGCTATTTCAGCACTCTTACTTTATTTTGCCTCAACCAAATGTTATGAAACTAATACACAATGCTTATTACTACATAATACAGATTAAGTTCGAATATGGGTGGCGAAATTTTCACTGTTCTTAAGTTATATCCCTTTATAAATGGAAAAATTGGCAAATTTGCCGTTTCCGCAATCTGTTTGTTATCATTTTAATGATTTTGGGCTGTACATTAATTAATGAATCATACTATTTAATCAACTGATGAATAGCAGTTATCCTTTTCAGAAATTGAAAACACTAATAGTAAGACTTCAACTCTGTATTGATCCAGCTTTTATATTTTAAAATGAATAAAAAGATGTCTGTATATATGAATAAGACAGCAACCCATCAATAAAACAGAAAAGACACGAGGGGGTCAACATATACTGGTTACAAAATTAAAACAGTTTCTTCTTTTACGGTACCATACCTCAAGTTCTAAAGCATACAAGTCTAAAACCACCAAATGTCTGCCATCATTACCTAATTCTTCAAAGGACAAAATCACTAAGATAGGACTAACAACAATCCCTGATAAAGTTACTGATATTCACATTAGTATGTGGCAGGTTTAAAATAGGTTTGTATCTTGTTAATGGAATATCAAAGCAGTATATAGAAGATCATGAAATACTAAAAATTACAGATGAGAAAACCCAAGGTACAAATAAACCAATTCTTAATAATACCACATCAAAGAATGCTTGCAGTAAATGTTAGGAAGCACACAAACTGTTACTATGGGGAAATACTTAATCTACTGATAGGGAAATACCTGTATGTTATTTCATGAAAAGTCGATATATAGAAATAAGAATTTATATGTTTTAAATTTCAGAGTCCATTGTCCTTAATCAAAGTAAAGAAAATGGAAGAATTATACAAGTTCAATGATAGAAAAAATTCAGAAATCAGACTAAAGTAAGTAAATGATAGAAAACTGTCCAAAAGTGTATCATAATGACAAAATCTGAGTATACCATGAAGGTATTCAAACTGAATGTACAACAGAAAATTGCTATATCCTTGGAACAAAAGCCCAAAACAAAGGATCTATATTTTAATTAGACTGTAATCTTTGACCATATATTTTATTTAATAAATAGTATATACAAGTGATAAACCTTTGTAAAGGAGAACTATTCATGTTTCTGTATATAACCACTTCCTGACCAATGATAAGTATCCAATTGAAACACAATAAAATGACAAACTTATCTGTTGTGTGATTCTGGTTTTATACAATATTAATGTTAAACTTGAAATCTGGACTGTTGTTGAATAATGTATATACTCAGCACAACTTTATGTTTTTGAAAATCAAAAATTTTGCACACTCACTATTAAATTTCATCCCAAGAACATTATTCTACTTTGAAATGATGTATGTAGGCAAATGGGAAATGAAGAAAGAATTCTTATGTATTTAAGATATGAGGTTGTTGAAAAAAAAATTTTATAAGCAAATTAAATTTCTTAGTATGAAAATGATGACAAAACTGTGTTTGAATCATTTTACTATCAGGATGCATCTTGAATCTTGAAATGTACAATCGCCCTGTCACACACAAAGTGCCAAATGTTTTTAAGTATAGTAAAGCTGGCAGGCTGGGAAAAGGGTTCCTATTTCTTTTATAGTCTAATGGCACGGGAGCTAGACATTGCAATCCTACATTTCATCAGTGGTTTACATTTAGGCACAGTCTGTTGTTTAAGTATTTTTATGCCCCCGCCGAAGCGGAGAGGGCATTAAGTTTTACCCTTGTCCGTCCGTACGTACATCCCAAAATTGGTTTCCGTTCTCTAACTTAAGTTTGCCTCAACCAAATGTTATCAAACTTATACACAATGCTTATTACCACAAAACACAGATCAAGTTTGAATTTTGGTGGTGTCACTTTAACCCTTTTAGAGTTATGCCCCTTTATAAATGGAAAAAATGCAAAATTTTTCATTTCTGTTCTCTAACTTAAGTTTACCTCAACCAAATGTTATGAAACTTATACACAATGCTTATTACCACAATACACAGATCAAGTTTGAATTTTGGTGGCGTCACTTTTACTGTTCTAGAGTTATACCCCTTTACAAATGGAAAAATTGCTAAATTTTTCATTTTTTTTCTAAAAATATCAATGATGTCATTGTTCAAGTAATTTTTAAAATTGGAGTTATCTTCTTTTGTCCATGATTATAGTTGAATCAACTACTATAGTTGAATCAACTACAATCAATGCTTTATACAATGCAATGTTTAATTCTGCCTTCCACTGATAAAACACAGATCAAGTTGAATTTGGATAGTGTCACTTTAACCATTATTGAGTTATGCCCCTCTATAAATTGCAAAATTGCAAAATTTTTAGTTTTCGTTCTGTAACTTAAGTTTGCCCCAACCAAACATGAAACCTATACACAATACTTATTACCACAAAACTAAGATCAAGTACAAATTTGGGTAGCGTCACTTTTATTGTTCTTGAGTTATGTCCCTTTATAATGTTGTATGCAAGCGGGGGCATCATCTGTGTCCATGGGGACACATTCTCCATTTATTTACACATAAATAACTAAGTCAAATTTTGAGAGAAAAAAATTTTCTTTTTTTTCTATATTTTATTTTACTGATAGATGGACTAAGTTTTTTACATTGACATTTTAGTCTGGTATTGAAATTTTTAGATTTTACATTCATGGAATGCTATGCAACTTTATAGACAGAAGCTTCTTCAAGACCAAGAAATAGCATCTGAAGAAAAAGTTAAAATTTTTCTTATAAATGGACTTAGTATTTGGCAGTCAACATTACACTATACACTAACAGCATCAATAACATGGGAAATACAGGATTCAATGGAACCATTTACAAATTCTCATGTAATAAACTCTTTCTACAGTTTTCAGTGTCCATTGTTTGGAAAAATTCTTTGCAACTTGTTCATTTGAGTCTTTGATCAATATTTATCCTCAAAGATTTCATGTTTTAGTGATGCCTAAATAAAAGTGTGCATTTGTGACTGCCACGTTTGATATTTTTAATTTCTAATTCTTTTTATGTTTATTTCAGATGGTTGTTATTATGTTTGAAGGCACATTGGGAGGATTCTATTCAGTATGCTTTAAAATTTGTGAATGAACAAGGGAGGATGAAATTTGTCCGACCTATTTACAGGTAATTTTCCTATTAAGGTGCATAGTTAATAACATACTATGATGCCTAGTCTGTAATTGTTTGAGGCTCGTTTGTGCTCGTTTTATTTTTGGTTAATTTAATGATTTACATACATTTGATTTTTCAATAGAGAAATATTCAAGACAGAGTAAAAGGGTTTTTGGTTTAGTCAATGTATTGAGTTGTACGATCAGCCTTGGCTTTGGAGATGTGATGTAGGTTTCAGAGGTTGTTATTGGTTGCTGTCTGTCATATTTGTTTTTTTCGTTTGTTGTTTTGAAATAGGTCAGGCTATTGTTTTTTTGTTTGAATTGTTTTACATTTTGTCATGACAGGGGTGTTTATAACTGACTAATACAGTATGGGTTAGCTCATTGTTCAAGGCCATAAAGTTACTCCTAGTAGCTTAAATCTGTTTCACTTGAATAAGTTGTCTAATTGGCAATAATACAATATTCTTATTTCATATTCAGGAAAAGAAGTTTTCCTTTATCATCAACTTTCTTCATTTTTGCAAGTTTTTAAATATAGAGTATGTCAAACTAGGTTATACTGATATAAATTTGATGTTGCATTTTAGAGAAGAATTAATCATTTAATTTCTTATTTTTCACTTTTTAGAGCCTTATATGCATGGGAAGGTTCAAGAGATACTGCCATAAAGAATTTCCTATCAAAACGTCCAGAAATGCATTCAACAACAGCAGAATTAGTGGGCAAAGATTTACATTTAGGAAGTTCATAATCAATTATAAGAACAATGTTTATGCTGTTAGAGCTGTGCTAGAGAGTGAAATTTGTCTCATATAACCAGAACATGTTTATGGCTAGGCAATGACTATTTGCATGCAACCCTGTGTAATGATTTATAAAATGTATGGTAGCAATTTGATTTATAAAATAATAGGATATTTACTTACAGTGAATAGTTCTAGATTGTCCTTATTAAATGATATAATATAAACTTTCTTTATTGATGTTAAAGATTATACATTCTGAAGTATCTGTGTTAACAGAGATAATATATCCTTAATTATTATTGTTTATATGGAAGATATGTACATGTACTGATTATTATTGGTAAACAAGGATGATATATGTCATGAAAGGATAAGTTTGGTAAGTGCCATATTTGGCCCTTATTATTAAGTTCAATGTTTAAAGATAATAAATGTTTTAAGTTGATGAAAAGACATGTGAGAAAGTCAAATAGAACTATTTTTATCAAAGTTTTATTGTAAAGTGTTGATTTTTACACCCCAAGTAGGTCAAAAGTAGAGGTTTTTGCGAAATTTGACAAAATTGTCTATATTTCAACTACATTAAGGCCTAGGAAACACAGAACACAGACCTGGACTAACTAAATATTCAATTCAGATATGTAAAATGTCAAAACAAACTTTATTGTAAAAGATATTTTTGTCGACGCGTGTGCTCTATCTATGTTTCTTATCCAAAAAATCAATGAATATTTATCAGTTTTCTATGAATTTTCGCAAAAAATCAAAATGAGTGATATTTGTGATGTCATGAATAGAACGCAAAAATGTAAATTTTGAACAAAAAAATATGTTTCCTATCTAGTCTTTGGATTTGCTATGATTCAATTTTATATTGGTCCATAAATCCTGATTTTAAAATTTAGCTAGAAGTAGGAGCCATTTTAGATGCTTATCAAACCTACTCCTTTCAATACACTACTTTACATACTGAGTCATGTTTTATAATGACTCAAAAGATAACTAAATGTCAATATTTAAATAAACTTTTAAAGTCATGTTTTATGATGACTCAAAAGAGAACTCAATGTCAATATAGATATAGTAAGTCATGTTTTATGATGACTGAAAAGAGAACTTAAAGTCAATATAAATATCATTTGTTAACTATATGGATTTTTCATATAGTTAAAACTAGATATCCTCAGACATGTGAACACTTGTATCAATCAGATCATTGTCTTGTGACATACATTATATATGTTTACTCACATTACCAATTTATATTTAGATCATTACTTATATTTTTTTTAATGACTAAGTAAATTTGAACAGTCCATCATTTCCTATGACATCATGTCTGGGTCAGATAATAAAATTTAATTGCTGTTTCATTGACATTTACACAACACATTCATCCATATTTATTTAGAATTAACTTAAAATGAAGCCAAGAATGTTTTCTTACTGTGAAGCAGTTTTTAATTTTCTTCTTTAGTTAGTTCAATCACTTGTTTCCCAAGTTTATACTTCAAACATTTTACAGGTAACAAAATATTATGTAATGGCGTACACAATTAATTAAAATCAAACAGAAAAACTTCGCCTAATAATTGGAATTTCAAACCTTTCCTGATGGGTTCATGGAAGAAGTATTTATGATTACTACTATTTGGTATGCTGTTGTTTCTGCCTTTTCTCTGATGAGACTCATCTTTCAGTAATTTAGATGACATCAGTGACTGAGTTACATGAATAGTTTGAAAGTGGTTATATCTTCCTTATTTAATAATATACATTATATTGGACTGTGCTTAAACACATCTGTGACTTTTTTTAGGAGCAGATGGCTAGAGATATTTGGCTGCAAAGGTTTTTTGTTTTATATTTATTAAAGGTAAGATCTGTTGGTTCAGTTAAACTGTATGTATTGGTGTAAGTCATATTGGTAAGTAATGGTTGTTGTGTAGCCATGGGTAAAGTAATAATGCTCCAATCTCAAATAAAATCTTTGTTCAACAAGTCCTGTGCTATATGACAGAAAGGGCTTCAAATTCTCTTCCATTTCAAATTTTACAAAGGTAAACAAGATCTAGTTAATTAGTTTTTTAAATGAAGTTTCATTCTTGTTCATTTTTTCTAGGAAATTTACATGGCAAATTGATGTAAATGAAAAAGTCTGATTAGTGGAGATATGTTTAATATATCTATTGTCTATTTGGTTATCCAACAAGTTGTTCAGCATTTTTGTTACATTTAGAGTTGGTGCAACATTGAAAATGTTTGAACTCTTGATTGAGATATGTCACTTTCCCAGCGGATTGCAGTTGTGCTGGTAACACCACACATGCCTTCAAAGACAACATAAGTATTGTTAGCATTATTATTTAATCACGAAGTCAAAAGTTACATGAAAAAAAATAAAGACAAAATGTACTTTGATCTCTAAGGTTACTAAAGTTTTTACATGTATTATAGACTATGTGTCATTAGTTAATTATTCTTTTTAAATTGTGACTTTGTACTAGTCTGGTGAGTATTTTAATCTTTCAAGCAAATATATTACTTTTGACTTTGTCATTTAAAGCTACATACTGGTGAAGGTACACAGTCTAGGTAATATAATCCACTTATCAACTGTCCTGTTAAACATGACTGAAACATATAAGTATTATTAATGATAGAACATAAATTGTATATATAAGTATTAATGATGATAGACCATATAAGTTTTAAGTATAATGTAAAAGAAGGCATAAATGTGCTTATTTGTGACACAAAATCCATACAGCCAAAAAATGACAAACGTTGAGGAGTTATACAAAAAGCCAAACCTAGACAAGGCATCAGAGCTCATACATTGCTTTTCTGTGATTGATGTTTACCTGGATATGTTTTGAGATGATTTGTCACTGGTTGTTACGTAAAACCTAAGTGTACTGTGGTATCAACATTTTGAATAGAAGTGTCATGTAAGGTAAAGTTGAAGTTATCCTCTAGTTTTTGTTTTCCATTTTTGAAGATTTTCCATTTTGTAGGTTGTAAGGAGTATTTCTCTCCTGTTGATTGTATCTATGGTTGCTTTGATTCAGTCAAATTCCATAAGATAGAGGCCTTCAACAGTCACCAAACTTTAAATTATACATCTATATAGCAAAACGTGAAACAAAAGGATAAACTTTTTTTCATTCTTCCTAAGAAGCTCCTGTATGAAGCATGCCTCTATGAATAAAGGAACAAGTCAGCAAGAAAATTATTAGAGTTGGTTATTATAAGAATGTCGATTGTTTATATTGAAAAACATGTCTTCCAGAAGTAACAAAAAAGCTGTCAATAAAAAAAACAAACATCATAGCGGTTTTTTTACAAAGTATGATTTAGCCCATCTACATTCCGACAAAAATGTACTTTTTGTTGAATGAAGACGCACTATTACTTTGAATCTTAGGAAATACTAATATTAATATCATATGCAGGTACAAAATATATAGATTATATAAAGTGAAGTATTAAACAAAGTTTAAGCTCTCTCTGTAGCTAATAATTGTCGGACTCAACCAGATTTTTAACGCCCTTATATGGTCTTAAAATGGAATTTAAAAAAAAAAGGCAATAACACGAAACAAAAACATATATATCAGCTACTTACAGATCCTGTTGGACAATGCTTGGCAAATCGACAATTGTGTAGATTTGACAGAAACTTGCAAGAATAACAGCTTAAGTGGTCAGAATGTGCTGGTGTTGTTGGAGACCTGGTGGTTGATGATGTTGTAGAAGTCTCCATCGATGTGTCTGTGGTTAAGCAAAAAGATAATATACTGTATTAAAGTAATTTTCAAAAACATTTAAAAAAATATGTATCAACAATAAATCATGTGCATTATATCTTTTCACGTTTATATTACTGCAATCACTAGACTAGATTTGTCCATGTTTTTTTCTCTCTGTGACAAGATGAAATGTGCGAGATATACTTATGCTAATCTGACAATGACATACATTATTTGCATAAAGCTTTATATTTCATGGTTCAATGATAAATGTTATGTTTTGTGATCGGGTCCGTTTCTCAAATATTATTAGCAGTAGGTGAACTTGTATTAGGTGTATCAAGGATTTATGTACTATACAAATCTTTGGGTGTATAGAGTTATTGTAAGGTGTAACGCCATTTATATCCAGAACCCTTGCTTATATCAGGGCGGTCAGTTTTTCATTGGTGGAGGAAGTCGAAGTGCAGGAAGAGAACTAGACTTGCTACATGTCCCTTCCTTATTATTTGTTTTTAATTTTGCCCCTTTAACAATTTTACTGCTATAACTAGGAGATTACCATTATACTAACATCTGCAGCCTTTCTCCAAGGGCAATCAGTATACTGGAAGTTAACAGTAAACATATAAATTAGTAAGAAAGAAATAAAAGAAAGGGAATTGCAGCAAGTCTAGAAGAGAACCACCGACATTTCAGAATTGTGTAAAAACAAAACAAATACATTAAGGTGTAATTCTTATATAATTTGCATATCTACAAAATTAATACTTGAATGTCATTGGTCCGTTAGAATTTATTCCTGGTTTACTCTTCAATAGACCAATGACAGTCAACACTATTTTGATGTTACTGTGGTAAAGTCAATTGCGAAACATATGAATGGAATCCTGGGGTTCATGGAGAAAGTTCGGAATAAAAAAAAAAAAAAAAAAAAAACTAATGACAGTTTACACATCAATAACCTCTTGAACAAATGTGTTTAAACCTTTAGTAATCTCGATTTACCTGGTGTCTGAACTAATGCAGCCGTAGATGTTTCTGCCTCCACATATGATTTTAGAACAAACAAGCAAGCTAGAACTAAAATGTATGCTTAGGTTTAATCATTAATATACGTCTTTGGTAAACGAAAACTAAACTTAATGCATCTACATTTATGTGGAAAAAAACAAGAAGTAAGTTACCTATTAAAACTGGTAGATTGAATAACTAGATATTCTAACGTTTTGTAGTAAAAATATTCTTTTTTAAAGATATCGAGAAAAAATAAAATACCATACCAAAATATATCTTAATTAGACCTGCTAACCTGTAGATTTTTTTTTTTTATTTTAGATAAAACTATATACTTCAGGATTAATCTACTATGAATTCATCCCTGTTTTGATGAAATAGTACTGTATATAATGTACATACCGTATATGTAGTTTTATACCTTGTCAAATGGTGGTTTATTGAGCCTAGATATATATTATATTACAGTGAGTTTGTAAATTTTGTGATTTTGTCATATCCCTGTTGGATAAGTTTTATATAGTCACTAAATTGATTTGTAAGTACATTAACATGTATATCCCTGGTTTTGCTTAGTAGTTTTACAAAATCACTGAAATAACCGAGAAGTTTGTACAAAATATTGGTTTAATTCATGGAATTTAGAAGAAAAAATAGATTGAGTTATATTTATAGCATAGTATTCCGAGTTAGACAAATAAACTTTTGAACGCGAAGCGTGAGAAGTTTGTTTGGCTAACGAGGAAGGCGTTGCTATAAATGATTTGTGACATGACTTTTCCTACTGACTTGGAGGCGGATCTTAATCAAAACTTACTCTCTGTGATTAAGGCAACCCTTGTAAAAGTATGTTAAAAAATCTATAAATCAAACAGATGGTCTTATCCTACCCCTCATTTCGTGGATATTAGGCTACATGAAGATATACAAGACTTTCGATACACGTCTATTTTTCTTTAACATTTTATAAAAAATTAGCCGCGAAAATAATTATAAGTAGATTAAGTATACGGAGAAACACAATAAACTATGGGCTAGAAGTAAAATGTCAGTCATTTCCAAGACTAAAGTTGGAAATTCCAAGATAAAAGTTGATAATTCCAAGATTAAAGTTGATAATTCCAAGATTAATGTTTGATAATTCCAAGATTAAAGTTGGAAATTCCAAGATTAAAGTTGATAATTCCAAGATTAATGTTGATAATTCCAAGATTAATGTTGATAATTCCAAGATTAAAGTTGATAATTCCAAGATTAAAGTCGACAATTTGAAAAAATAAATAAAAAAGGATGGCCCTATTACGCTTCAGTATTCTGCATAGAACAAAATTATTTCCATCAACAAATAATATAATTGTGATAAAGACAAAGGAGTAACTGGACCAAAATACTGGGTACTAGGTACTGGACGTGCATTTTAACGGACAGTTATTAGTCCACGCGAAAAGAAACCCATCAATTTGTACAACAGACGCTCGTGTCATCTAAATAAGACTCATAGGTGGCGTTTGAATCAAACAGTTGGGAAGGCCAAATCACTGATACGAACGATACGAAGTTTAAGATCCAAAAATTTCAAGTTTTTGCTAAATATGGTTTAGGCTAACTATGCCTGCATGGAGGTAGTAAAACCTTAGTGTTTAAGATAATTCAACATTTTATAAACCGGAAATTCACAAAAAATTAATATATCAATGATATTTCATGTCAACACTAAAGTGCTAACTACTGGGTTGGTGATACTCTGTGGACAAAACGTCCACCAGCAATGGCAACGACTAAGTTGTAAGAACTCATGAAAATACCGATATATTAACTTGCATGGATGCACATAAGATGGTCAGATACTGACAAATTTTCAAATTATTTACTGTTTTATTAACTTAGATCAAGGTCAGTTAAAATTTATAGTGTAACGTATAACCTGTTCAAAACCTAAATATATAGATTCCCAAAATGAAACCAAGATAAGAGTTAAACAGTAAACACGTATTGAAATACCGGAGTGTATGATATGAACGTACCAGCAGGTTCAAGACACTGAACAATCAGTGTTCAACCTCATAAATATATTCAAGAAATAAATCTAGGCATTGTCAGACCAATTCCTTCTTAAAAATAACCTTTGCGTCCTACTCAGTATTAAAATATACTTTTAACCAGCTGTAATGTCTCCCATATCCTTTGTTTTTCTATTCTATTAAAAATTATAGTTCGAATATGTTTTTCTATCTAAGAAAGAAATAAATGTCTGATGCACTTCCATAAGTTTTAAATATAAAATTATTGACTTTACAAAATTCCTAGCAATATTTTCAGTGATTTAAAAAATTCCTACGAAAAACTCACACATTTTTAAAATCATTAAAACTGCAAGCGACATTTTTATAATAATCGTCTGGATATGGTTCATTTACATGCATGTCATTAATTGACGTTTAATCACGAAAGCACAACTACTGTTTTCTATTGCCAGAGTTCTGCCTTTATTAATTCTGTTACATGAAATTTCAAGTCAATGCAAATGAAGTCAAATTGCTCGTATTTATTCACATTTTTGTATCTCTTTTTGTAAAAAGCACTTTTCTTAAACCGTGTATTACAGATTTCGAACCAGACCCTTTGTAACTAAAACATTTGCATAAAACAGGTGGTCATAAAATACATATTAAGCCTGATTTACTTACCAGACAAGATCTTTGACGCCATTGTAGGTTACGTGATTTAGAGATACGCATTACAGTTATATGACACACGAAATAAATAGGACCATGATAGCAATTATCTGTAATATATATCAGGAAGGTTTATGGTTTTCAAGCCATGATATACGTACCTGTGACCAATAGATAGTGTGTTGTAGTCCCAGTGCGAACGTACTTTCTGTTTTAGAGAAATGAATAGATAAATACTAGCGGTAGGTTTTATAACCAAAAGAAGTTATTTCAGTTGTTCGTATCTGTGCATCAGTCTTATTGATTATTTTTGTTTGTTTATGGATTTCCATCGGAATTCCAATTTCTAGACAGCCTCTCATAAGCGAAGTTTTTACCTTACCAAATCAAAAATGAATAATAAACTTACCGTTAAAGTCAAAATTATTTTTTTTATTTTTGCTAATATCTGTCCAATGCACTTCTGAAGCAAGTCAGTTTCTGTTTATAAGAATACGTAGTATAGTTTCCGTGTGCACAACATGTATTTCTGGAATAACTTTCGTTGGGTATGCTCGATACCAATCCTGCGGAAAATATTTACTCTGCATGGATAGACTTTACATGAAGATTTGTTTGAAACACTTAAATCATCATACTTTTTAACTGACTTAACCTCCGACTCCTATAAAAACAGCAACACCCGACTCCTATAAAAACAGACCGAACAAACAATCAACATCCGACTCCTATAAAAACAGAGCGAACAAACAACCAGCATCCGACTCCTATAACAACAGACCGAACAAACAACCAACATCCGGCTCCTATAACAACAGACCGAACAAACAACCAACATCCGACTCCTATAAAAACAGAGCGAACAAACAACCAACATCCGACTCCTAAAACATCAGACCGAACAAACAACCAACATCCGACTCCTATAACAACAGACCGAACAAACAACCAACATCCGACTCCTATAACAACAGACCGAACAAGCAAACCAACATCCGACTCCTATAACAACAGACCGAACAAACAATCAACATCCAACTCCTATAACAACAGACCGACCAAACAACCAACATCCGACTCCTATCAAAACAGAGCGAATAAACAACCAACATCCGACTCCTATAATAACAGACGGAACAAACAACCAACATCCGACTCCTATAATAACAGACCGAACAAACAACCAACACTCGGCTCCTATAAAAATAGACCCGACAAACAACCAACACCCGACTCCTATAAAACAGACCGAACAGACAACCAACACTCGGCTCCTATAAAAACAGAGCGAACAAACAACCAACATCCGACTCCTATAACAACAGACCGAACAAACAACAAACATCCGACTCCTATCAAAACAGAGTGAACAAACAACCAACATCCGACTCCTATAACAACAGACCGAACAAACAACCAACATCCGACTCCTATAAAGGCAAAGCGAACAAACAACAAACACTCGGCTCCTATAAAAACAGACCGAACAAACAACCAACACCCGACTCCTATAAAAACAGACCTAACAAACAACCAACACCCGACTCCTATAAAAACAGAGCAAACAAACAACCAACATCCGACTCCTATAACAACAGACCGTTCAAACAACCAACATCCGACTCCTATAAAAACAGAGCGAACAAACAACCAACACTCGGCTCCTATAAAAACAGACCCAACAAACAACCAACAATCGGCTCCTATAAAAACAGACCGAACAAACAACCAACATCCGACTCCTATAAAAACAGAGCGAACAAACAACCAACATCTGACTCCTATAACAACAAACCGAACAAACAACCAACATCCGACTCCTATAAAAGCAAAGCGAACAAGCAACAAACATTCGGCCCCTATAAAAACAGACCGAACAAACAACCAACACCCGACTCCTATATAAACAGACCTAACAAACAACCATCATCCGACTCCTATAAAAACAGAGAGAACAAACAACCAACATCCGACTCCTATAAAAACAGAGCGAACAAACAACCAACACCCGACTCCTATAACAACAGACCGAACAAACAACCAACAGCCGACTCCTATAACATCAGAGCGAACAAACAACCAACATCCGACTCCTATAACAACAGAGCGAACAAACAACCAACACTCGGCTCCTATAAAAACAGACCCAACAAACAACCAACACTCGGCTCCTATAACAACAGACCGAACAAACAACCAACATCCGACTCCTATAACAACAGACCGAACAAACAACCAACATCCGACTCCTATAACAACAGAGTGAACAAACAACCAACATCCGACTCCTATAACAACAGACCGAACAAACAACCAACATCCGACTCCTATAAAAGCAAAGCGAACAAGCAACAAACACTCGGCTACTATAAAAACAGACCGAACAAACAACCAACACCCGACTCCTATAAAAACAGACCTAACAAACAACCAACATCCGACTCCTATAAAAACAGAGCGAACAGACAACCAACATCCGACTCCTATAACAACAGACCGTTCAAACAACCACCATCCGACTCCTATAAAAACAGAGCGAACAAACAACCAACACTCGGCTCCTATAAAAACAGACCCAACAAACAACCAACACTCGGCTCCTATAACAACAGACCGAACAAACAACCAACATCCGACTTCTATAACAACAGAGCGAACAAACAACCAACACTCTGCTCCTATAAAAACAGAGCGAACAAACAACCAACACTCGGCTCCTATAAAAACAGACCCAACAAACAACCAACACTCGGCTTCTATAAAAACAGACCGAACAAACAACCAACATCCGACTCCTATAAAAACAGAGCGAACAAACAACCAACATCCGACTCCTATAACAACAGACCGAACAAACAACCAACATCCGACTCCTATAAAAGCAAAGCGAACAAGCAACAAACACTCGGCTCCTATAACAACAGACCGAACAAACAACCAACACCCGACTCCTATAAAAACAGAGCGAACAAACAACCACTATCCGACTCCTATAAAAACAGAACGAACAAACAACCAACATCCGACTCCTATAACAACAGACCGAACAAACAACCAACATCCGACTCCTATAAAAACAGAGCGAACAAACAACCAACATCCGACTCCTATAACAACAGAGCGAACAAACAACCAACACTCGACTCCTATAAAAACAGAGCGAACAAACAACAACACTCGGCTCCTATAACAACAGATCGAACAAACAACCAACACTCGGCTCCTAAAAAAACAGACCGAACAAACAACCAACACTCGGCTCCTATAAAAACAGACCTAACAAAACACCAACATTCGGCTTCTACAACAATGAAAGACCCTGGGTAAAATCTTTTATCAAATTTTTCTCTCTTGGCTTCTATGAATTGAATGATTTTATATTTGTTCTTCATCTAAATAAAGTGTAAGCAATTTATAGATCTGTCGTGCAGCTATTTCTTGTTTCCTGAAATTTCAATCAATTGTACACAGCGACGCAGGTCCAACCTCGGTATTAGTTTTCTTTACATAAATGAACAGCATTATATAAAAAAATCTTTATTACAATAAATAAACTACATTGTTTTCTAAGAAAAAGACGAATACACAAACTCACATAACAAAATATCTACGAGGAAAACATTTAATAAACGACCAAAGGGAGTGAGACTCGGTTTTATCGGAATCCTTAATGGAATAATTAATAGTGGTATTTTTCTTAATTTCTAATGAAACTTATTGAATTGTAGGGGGATTTTTTCTTCAATAATTCTTTCTTAACTTTTTTCTTCTTTTGATTTTGTAATGATTGATTTGCTACTGGGGACTTTTTTGGTTCTCCCGTTAACATTTTTGGGTCCAAGGAGATAGTTGATTTAGTAATACTTGGTTTTGTTTGGATATTCCATATGTAATCTCCAGTTTTTCTCATTGTTTCTGTCCGACATGACAGACACACGTTAGATTCAGTTTGATTGTTTCTCCTATCTTTTAAATCGTTTCCACACGCGCTGACTTTCTGGTCAGAATTGGATTCTTCTGTAGACTGTAGTGAGAGTTCTATTAGTTTTTTGCTTACATTTTGATGATTTTTTGTTATATCATCATTCATATGGCTATTTATATCTCTTACCATTGGCTGATTTGACGATGCAATCGCGTTGCAATCGTTTGTATCAGAATACTCCCTATTCATATCTATAGTCCTAGAATCAATGTATTTAGGTTGTTTTTTATTGATAGAGTTTTCTTTCTCGTATACTTCTATGTCCTCTTTTTCTGTACTATTACTTAACCTATGATCAAACTGCGTATTTCTGTTTTCAATTTCCCTTAATCTGTCATTGCCATTATTCGAATCTCGAGGTTTTAACTTTTCAGTTACCAATGGATCTTGAAACAAACCACTGTTTACACTTCGTTGTTCATTCGTCATTAACTCTGTATAATCTTTCATCACAACTTCTTCATTTATATTTTTGGATTGATTGTTTTGTGCATCAATAGAGTTACGGAAATGAAGTTTTGGGGCAGTATCAGAAATATTAGAACTTTTCACATTTTTTATTTGATCTTGTGTAGATGCATGTAATGTGTTTTCAAATGTCAGAACTCTTGCTGATACTTCTACAATATTTTGGGAATTGTCGCTTCCCTCTTTATTTCCTTGTTTTAAAAAGGGTATAGGTTGCTCTACCATTGTAGTAGGCAAAGTATCATTATTGTCGTTGGCACGTTCCGTGTTATGTATTTGATCTTGTGTTGGTACTCTTTGAAGTTCAGGTGATGATAATGTGTTTTTTTCAAATGTCTGAACTACAGATGTGGTAGTATTTTCGGAATTGTCACTTCCTTCTTCGTCATTTCCTTGTTGTGAAAAAGGTACAAGTTTCTCTACCATTGTAGTTGGAAAAGTATCACTATTGTCGTTGGAACTTTTCATGTTTTGTATTTGTTCTTGTGTTGGTAATTTTTGAGGTGCAGGTGTTGGTAATATGTTTTCAAATATCTTATCTACAGATGCGCTAGTATTTTTGGAATTTTCGCTTCCCTTTACATTGTGTCCTTGTTGTGAAAAAGGTAAAATTTGTTGTACCATTGTAGTAGGCAAAGTATCATTATTGTCGTTGGAACTTTTCGCATTTATCATTTGATCTCCTGTCGGTAGTCTTTGAAGTTGAGGTGCTGGTAATGTGTTTTCAAATGTCTTTTCTACAGATGTGCTAGTATTTTTTGTATTTTCGCCCCCCTTTTCATCGTGTCCTTCTTGTGAAAAGGGTAAAATTTGTTCTACCATTGTAGCAGGTAAAGTACCGTTATTGTCGATGGAACTTTTCACATTTTGTATTTGATCTTGTGTAGATAATCTATTAAATCCAGGTGCTGGTAATGTGTTTTCAAATGTCTTCACTACAGATGTTCGAGTATTTTGTAAATTATTTCTTCCCTCTACGACGTCTCCTTGTGAATAAGGTACAATTGGCTCTACCATTGTAGTAGGCAAAGCAACGTTGTTGTCTTTATAACTTTTTACATTTTCTATCAGCTCAGGTACTGGTGATGTGTTTTCAAATATCTGAACAACAGATGTGCTAGTAATTTCGAAATTATCGCTTCCCTCTTTTTCATTTCCTTGTTGTAAAAAAGGTAAACTTTTATCTACCATTGAAGAAGGTAAAGTACCATTACTGTCGTGGTTTTTCTCGTCGTAGTGACTGCCTCTGCTTGCACGCATAGGACTCATTTCGGAATGATACATTTCAGTTTCACCAGTCATCTCTCTGTCTTCAATACTTGTGTGGACAATCAATATGTCACTTCCATTCTGCTGAACAAAGGATTTTTGTCGTTGTCGTGAACTACCCATGCCAGTTGTTAGAGCTGCCCGTATGTCAAATACAAATCGTCTTTTACGTGGCAGTGCTATAAAATTACAAAATATAGCTATCTTATCATTTTTTTTTTATTAAACCTCTTGCAATCTTTTTTTTTCATACGTTTTCAATATGATCATTACATTGTATTAGTTAATGAGGTCTTTTCTTACTTTACATAACGCTATTCTCCTTGGTAACAGTCACTATATCGTATTGAATATATAAACGTTTGCATCGGTGAAAAAAGAAATTAGATTGTCAGAGACGAGTAGAAATTGCAAAAATTGACGTACCCATTGCGGACGAATTTCACATCGTTTACCTTGGTATCGGTAAAACATCATTTCTTTAAATAACATTCGATTGAATAGTCAGTCAAAATAACATGAAATGGTAATTATTCAGATTACAAAAGTACAAAAATCCTTTAAGTATGTTGTATGCATAAATTATACAAACCAGAAATTAAGTAAAGATTCAAATTCTCCATAAGCTATTCTTTAGAAATAATGATAACATGCATATATACCGTATTTTAAAAGACTTATTGAACTTGAATAAGTTATATACAAATAAGAATATGTTGTATGATTGCCAATGTGACAACTCTCCACCAGACATCAAATGACATAGACGTTAACAACTATAGGTCACCGTGCGGCCATCAACAAGGAGCAAAACCCATACACATAGTGAGCTTTTATATGTTTACCTTGATTTTTCTCGTGTACTCTTCCTTTAACTTTCTTCCACCAACATATAAATGCAACAATACCCACAACAACTAACAACAGGACCACTACCAAAACAACAGCTATCACCACTGTATTGCTGGACGATTCTGTTTTAAAATATCATGTGCATTTATTTAACAGAGATATCAATGCACTGCCTTAAGTCCATAACGAATTTTGTTATAAATAAAATACCTTCATGAGCAAATGTACAACCAAACATCACTACACAAAGGTGTAATATTTTAAGCGTATAAGGAACATGACAAGAATGAAAAGCTGCATTGAATGACTATTCGAGTAAAGGTGAATATGAATGATTGTGATAAATACATACTTTGACCTATAATTGTTAACTTTTTATACAGTGTGACTTGGATGAAGAGTTGTCTCATTGGCACTCATACCACATCTTCTTATTTATAAAAACAAAAACCCCTTTTCATTATTATTTTCCTATTCTTCCGTATCACTTGTTATTCGAAGAATGAAGAGAAATGGGTTTGCAATATTTCATAATAGATCTTTATTGTCCTTCCCAATAACAAATCATAAAACATCTGATTGTAATTATTGTCTGTTATTATGTGTTATTCTCTTATTGTTTTTCCTTATGACGAATGAAGAGATATTGAGCTCAATAATTAAAAAAAGTTGGGGGCAAAGGTTTCCGGTACACTGCTTATCTGTCTGATCTGAAGATCATTTGGCCGTTGAAAAGATAAAGGGCAGCACAAAATTCATAACCATATGAGCACAAAAAAAAGGCTAATCAAACATTTTTAACTCTGTTGACCAGGAAAAACATGAAGCATCTCCTATCGTGTTGTTCTATACCATTTCCCGGCAATACCGTTGGTAAACATATATGGTGTATGATTCATTTTATAGACAACCATTTCAGTTCCATTCCCAACACCTGAAATGTACTCAAATTCTGAAAACGAACGAATAAAAACTAGGGATTTCCAGGACAGAAGTATTCGCTGAATACCTATTAAAAGCAAAACACTGTCACATGATTAAATACAAAATTGGACAAGACGAGCTGGAAATTTATCACCAAGACCTTATTTATTTATATGTGAATTAACTTCATGGAGATCTTACTTTAATCCTTTTCGTAGGATACGATTTACCTGGGATAATGAAAACCATCATACCAATCTCAAAGAAAGTTTATCTTATCGATTTTGTATTATTCATAAAAATGGAAAGCTTATGTTCTTACCAGGAATAGAACTGGTGCTTTCTGGTTTAGGAAAGCAGTTGGCTTCTTTTGAAATACCATTGCCTATTTCAATAAAGCATGAAACATTAGATACACTATATAACATGTTGCTTGTGTCTGATTTGATACCATTTATAATATTAATTCAACCAAACAATTTAGTTTAATCTATGACATTGTCGCGATCACGGTCGCGTAGATTAAAGTTGACAAAAACTGAATACAGAAGAAATCTTAAATACAGGTATCGAACCATTTGACATTGCTAATATATAAAGTATTGTGAAAGCGCTGTACGATATTCCATCGAAGCAAGCATTTTTATTTTAAAAAATCCAGTATTTTTTTTTCTATATAGCAACATCCCAGCAGCGCCTGAGTATGGAAGTATATTTCTCAGTTGATACGACATCCCTTGGCGTTCTTCTCCTATAATGATATTATTGGTAGAGGGTTGCTTCTTGAAGCTATCACGGATTGTTAATGAAATTTGAAGAAACCATCATATTTTGGATGACCTTTTGGAATATCTGTGTTGCAACTTTCCACAAAAAAATTACTTGTCTGAAAATCATGGCGGTGCCACTAGAGGAGGATGAATGCACCTCAGACCATTCCTAGTTTAGTTTAAAGGAGTTCGTGTTACTATGGCTTTATTTATCTCTTTTGTATTTTACTTTGTATTATTGTGTGTGTTGTTACATGTATCATTGGTAACAGTCTTGTCTATCCTTTGTCCAGAAAAAACTGTTCTCATTTCAAGTCCAGTAATGTTTACGGTTAGATATAGATGTATTGGGTATTTTTTTAAATCAGCAGAGTAATTTGTATCAAATATTATATATATATAGGAAGGTCTGTTAGTGAGGGGGGTCTTCATGTCCATATTCTTTAAATTTTAAAGGCAATTATCTTTGTTATCTATCTTTTCCCTATTTATCTCGTTTTTTTATATTTTAACACCACATTATTCTCTAATCTTTATTTTTTTCCTTATTCTCTATTTGTAGCTCATTCATTCTTAGTTCTATAAACCCCATCCAAACCTTCAAATAGTTATATCCTTGTCTATTGTGAATATGTGTCTCATCCATTGTCATCAGCGATCATAACGTACCTCTTTGTTTTTATGAAGATACATTCGTGCATGCCTTTAGACGCACAAAAAAATGTTATAGTAATAAATTGTCATAAATATGAAATACGTTATAATAAACTAACCTTTAGGAACGAGATACAGCACAGCCGCTACGACGACGTTGCCAATAGGATGTAACGGTGTTGTATCTGGCATCGTATCTGCTGTTTGTTCTTTATGACAAACTCGTGCACGCTGAGAAATAGTAACATTATCACCATCAGCCTTTGAAATCTGCAACGTAGAAAAATAGGGTTTCTGGTCAGTGAAAACCATCCTTATGGTCAATTACTATGATAAAAATATTGACCGCAACAAGGACGATCGATTACGTCACGAACGTAGTGAACTTGTGGGTTTTACTCGTTGTCGAAGGCCGTACGGTGACCTATAGTTACTAACCTCTACCACAGGGGTTTGTTACAATTTGCCGAGTTTACTATCCATACGAACCCCGAAAAAACCACGTTTTTTCGGGGTTCGTATGGATAGTAAACACGGCAAATTGTATAAAAACCCTGTGCCTCTACGTGGTCTCTGGTGCAAGGTTATCTGGTCTCTACTGGAATGGTGTCTTATTGGAAATAATACCACATATTCTTAGTTTTAAATTTTTCAGCAAAAAGCGGTTTAGAAAAGCTACTGAAATTTTAAGCTACGATAGTTTGCTTTGGGTTACTATCCTGTTTAAGGTAACTCTTTCTTCATTTTAATATAAATTTGATTGAAACTTGATTTCAGGACTATGTATCACCGGTAAAATTGTCTTTTGCAACGACCGCATATAACATGTATGATGAATATGATCATAGACAAGTATCATCAACAATTAACGACAAATTAACATTATCAATGTTATAATAAGAGTTCTGACTTTGTTCCTACCATGCATGTAAACTTGTAGTATAGTGCATTGTTGATATTAGCATCAAGATTAATAATGCTTGTTATATAGGTATTACTTGTCTGTATACAAAGTAAACATCCAACATTGCTGTTTTCTACAAAATACAAAAAAGTAACAGCATGAACGTATTACTAGTACCAAAAACCGATAGTCTCTTTCAAACTTGACACTTCTCACTTCCAAAATAAGGATTATTTTTTTCCTTCCAAATAGACATTTCTAAATCCCAACTATAAATTTTTGACCTCCAGCTCAACACTTCACAGTTGCGAGTGGACATTTCTGACTTCTAACTTGACATTTCTCACTTTCACCTTGAAAATTCTTACATGAAACTGAACACTTTTTAATAACGAGTCCTAACTCTTATGAGGACTTCGTAGGTGGCTTACTGAAAGGCAAAGACAAATTATTTCAATTTTTTTCAAGGGAATCACACACTTTTCAGAACAAATATAATTTTATATTTTATCTTATCTAAACAATGCATGATATATTTGTCACTGGACTCTAAGTGAACAAATTAATTAAATCATCGGCTGTTAAATAGTTTACTTCCTTAGATTTTAAATTCGCAAGTCAAAATATATTAACAAAAATATCATACCGGAATGTCCGACTTTAACACTACAACTTGTAGACCCAGTATAAGTTATATTTAAAGATGAAAATGATTCATCACCACTATCATATGCCCAATTTCCAGAATTAGTGTTACTACTACAGAAATCTGTAGAGGCGAGTTCAAACTGGAACTCCCCAAGCATTGGTGATGAACAAGTCTGTAAAGCTTCAAGTTCATGGCCTAAAAACGAAAAAAAAAAAAAAGTTTACTATACAAAATTAGAATATACTAAGTACTAGATACATGTATCATGTGGTTGTTTTTTCCTCCTTTCCGTTTTACTTCATGAAGAGTTCTTTATTTCCAGGTGTGTCAATCAGATTAGGATACTTTTAAACAAAAATCACTATCTACAATCACAATTAGTGAAATTTTGCAACAGTATAAAAATGTTCTTGACATCTTTTAGCAAGTATAGATTCGCATATTATGTTATCTAATCATAGAATGAGACGTTTACCAAGTGTTCGCACCCGGTCTCGCTCCGTGAATAAGAATAGAATAAGAATAAGAATTTTATTAGTTTAAAATCCAAACAATAGGATTGTTACTAAATAAACAAACCAATACAAAACCAAAACAAAACAAACAAACAGAAAGACAGACAGACAGACAGGCATATTAATGACAAAACGATAGACATTAAACAATACAAACATGTAGCATGGAAAAAAAAATAATAAAGATTATTAATATTAAGTATTATACTATTTTTGACAGCATGCCTCCTCTATAAAATTATCAATTCGTGTGAAGTGTTAGGTTCATGAAATACGAAACTTCCTAACATTTGTGCAATGAATAAGGATAGAAAAACCCTTGTGTTTCGAATCTCTATATTCTAAATAGTATATTTATCGAAAATGGTCGTATCAATGATATTTCCTGTCGACAAAAAGTTCTGACTACTGTGCTGGTGATACCCTCGGAGACGAAAGGTCCACCACCAGTGGCATTGACTACTTATCCATACGATATTTACTAAAAATTGCTAAAATAAAGATACACACCATTATTATAAAAGTATTTTCAGCTAACAAGCAAGCTAACCATATCTCATAAATCACAGGAATTGTATTCAACAGACAACAATGTAAGTGTTGGTATTTTTTTTATTCCTTTAAATTAACTCGTAAAAAGAGATTTTGGACTTTTAGTCACATTGTTGCTGGCGTTTCAAATAAATAAAGTATTCATTTATTTACCTAACAATCTGATTAAAATTGAGACCTATATTAACTCGCGTGCTCGTACATATAAGTATAACGAAATCAGAGAACTATATTTTAATCAGATTGAGTTTAGACACGGTCTATAGTTTTGCATTTGCTAGTATTCCTTCAAGCATTTGCAATATTTCTAGATATATGCTTACCATTTTTTACCATTATATGAAACTGCTGTAAACTAATAGTCGTCTGACAAAACGTAGAAATATTTTCATCAGAAATATCAGCAATTATAGCTATTGTTCTCTCGTTGTTAGTGTCCTCGCCTGTTTAATATACAAAATAAGAAAAAGGTGTATAGATAGCCCACTATTTGTTGTATATTTTTCTTTCTGCTAGAGTCTATAATCAAATGGCAAAATATGGCAAGATTTATTCTTCTACAACTTTCTTTATACACCGGAAAGATAGGCTAACATGCATTAATTATTTATTATATATCTTCTGTCTCTTTGTTGGTCTTGCAATGAAAAGCAAAACATATAGAGGTCTAAAAAAACTTTGCATTAATAATGTTTGACAACTTCGACTATAGAGATTTGAAATGTTAGGAAGTGCAACAAAACCTGCTGTACGATACACGTGATTTCTTTTTAAAGTTGAACAGTATTGTATAGTAATGTTTTATCGTGCTGCTGAACAAGCGTGTCATTTTAAAAAAATTGTCTCGACATTATTTTGTATCTCGAATGAAGTTTCGGACGTACCCCTACAAGAAAACGTAGACATTGTTCATAGATAACTAGCATTTATTATACTTTCAAACGATTTTATACTAGTTGTTAATAAACTTTACCTGCAGTTACATTTGAAAGAAAAGAAATACTACACAATTGAAAGCTGTAAATAAAATCAAACAACAAAAAAGTTTGACTTAATTTTTCTTATTATCAAAACGACAAGTTGAACAACTGACCCCATGCCAGTGATTTCAACTGATAAACATGTCCATGGTAAAATATTTTTCAAGCATTGTATAGATATTTTGTCGTCAGTTTGATGCGAAGTTTTTTTTTCTGGTAGACAGGTTAAAATAAACGCCTCTTGTTCTTGGTTAATTATTATCGATTCACTATTCTTTGAAACCTTCCTTTTCGGAACATTGAAAGACAGGAAACACTTCCTTACATTCAGTTTTATCTTTGATTGTACCTTCAAACGTTTTTTTTTCTTTTTTTTTTGTAAATGAATTAAAATGTTTAATGTTGAAGTCAGACCTCAGACAACTTTTGTAAGGAAGTTTCAAACATATCTCGACTAAGGACTATTTTGAGCCTGACTAAGGACTATTTTGAGCCTGACTAAGGACTATTTTGAGCCTGACATATGGTATAGTCACTTGCCTTCTTGGGAATACCGTTTGTTGACCACTAGATGTCTTCTTGTATTGCTGTTAAGGTTCTGTCTCATATACATATATTATATATCTTCTTTAATTCCTAGTACTGTAAGGTCATCTAAATATACATGTCTCACCCTGAAACCGTTATACGTATTACTTAACAATACTCCGAAAAAGTCAGGTTCCCGGATTGTGAAATTTTTGTATCAATATGTAATGACTGATATGGAAACGTGGTTCTTGGAAATGCAGCTTTTACTTACCAGACTGAAGATAATAATAAAAAGAATAATCAGTAATCTGTGTGACTTCCATACATAAATAGTAATAATACTGTCCTAATGTACCACTTACAGTTCCTTCGACGCTCTCTGTTGTTCTGAAAACAATTAGTACTCTGAATATCTAAATACAGTTAGTATGGATCAAACGATTAGTACTCTGAATATCTAAATACAGTTAGTATGGATCAAACGATTAGTACTCTGAATATCTAAATACAGTTAGTATGGATCAAAAGTTATATTCAGAATAACACCGACACCTTCAGTGAGAAACTAGAAAGTTGCAAAACTGGCCAATATAGTCAGGTCAGCACCCCCACCTAAACAAAAAAAAAAAAAAAATTAAAAAAAAAAAAAAAAAAACAAATCATGTTTTGAATTTGCTACGTGTACAGAAATATGGTATTTTCCTGCAAGATTCTTGCTGGGATTAGGGATGGGGGAGATTTCCGTTTTACCGTTAGGGATGTCAAAACTTGGAGCCATTTCTGGTAGGAATGAGACTCTGTATGCTAGAAAACCCTTACAGCAACTTTTTGAGTGATCTGTAGGTGGCCTGTTGAAGGGATAACTGTCTGGTCATATTTTTCGAATGCAAGTCCAAATTTTTCGACCTTCATCTCGGTATATCCACATTACAATACCTTCTTATTTTATGCTTACATCTTATATTGTCCTCGCTATTAGATATACCTTCAATGTATTGTAGTGTAAGTGAACGTTAAGTTAGACATTCAATGTTTTACTACAATTTCGTTTCATGTGTGTAATTCAGTTCTTAGAGGCATGTATTGTGTTCAGCTTAACCTTCTGTTTCAGCCTTTAAAATATAACATAATTATAACATTCTGTATATTTTTTTTTTTCAAAGAAAAAGAGAAGACGATTTAGACACCTGTCTAATATTGAAGACTGAATTTACCCTGAAGATGTCTTTTGATTTCAGTTTTGTGCTGGGTTGCTGTCTCACTGACGTATACGCAGCATTCGCTTTTATTCATATTACCTGACAACATATTTATTGCCCTCTGTCACATAACAGGTAAGATTTGTAGTGGTTCCTGCTCGGCTGATAGTGTAATCTGAAAGGTACATGTGTGTCCCTCCACTGAACTGAACGTCATAAAACTTGCTGTCAGACCAGCTTCCCGTCATATACGATGGAAAGGTACAAGGCGATACAGTAACTAACAAAACAATGGTATGTATCATATTATAAACAATTATTTTGATATATATTCGAAACATAAAAAAAATGCTATGTTAAATGCATTTTGGACATATATCATCCATTCTTACCCATATCCAATTTCTGAATATTCTTTTGCAAATTCGAATTCACTCACCTTTTTTTTCTTATTTGTGTTGAGGTCATTGTTTCGACTTACTTAAACACATTAACCTCAGTCGATTTAAGATTTCTATTATATTTATATACTAATATCTTTTTACAACTCTAGCTATCAAAATCTTGGTTCTGAGCCTTCTAGGTGATGATCAGTATAAAACGTTTTGAACGCTGCTCATTTTTTATCTTTTGTTTTTATTTTAATAGAACTTTTGAAGAAGAAAAAATAATTAAGATACATTAATGAAAATGTTATTTAACAAACTGTATATTTTTGTTATGTCGACTCTTATAGTAGTTTAACAATCATTACAAAAAGGAATACATTACCAAAAGAATTCAATAGCACCACACAATTGATAAATCTCATTCTGTTTCATATAATTGAAAACAAACGACATATTTTGATGTAGACAATATTTTTTTTAATTAGAACAATTATTCATGAAATCTGACAACGGATTAATATCTGAAAGGAGTTGGTCACGCGTACATGTCCCTTTCTTTTAACTGAATGGAATACATTTGAATGGGTAATGTGGTGATCGATATAACATTAAATTAAGCTAATATATTATATTTCACTTAAAATAAAAGAGTGTAATACAAGGGCAGCATGGGTTCATATCAGCAAGTTAAGTACTTTGAGCTTAATTTAAATAACTGCAAGCATTCTTTGACACGTTACTGTTTATCATTGTTAGCTTCTTACTGGTGGCCTGTAATATATTCTACTGTTATTACAGAGTTGGGCGTTTTCATGTTCTGATTTTTATTGCATGTCCTTTTATAAACCTTTGTCTATGACATATTATAGTGTTAGTTATACTATTCCCAGCCTCTGTATCGAGATTAAAAGAGGGTGGTTTAAATTTAATTACAGGCTGTTATCTGAATCCCTACTCTGGCTAAACGTTGCAGATTTGATATTTGTTTTCACTTGTTTCATGGAAAAATATGTTTTCGAACAAATCATTTACTTTTCGAGTGTGCTTAAGTGAAATATAGACCTTTAAGAGAAAAGTGTTACAATGCTCCCCGCCGATGCACATATTTTATTTGTCAAAGGGTTATAAGTGCAGTATATACTTTTTTTTAGAGTTTTTAAAAACTTTTTCATGAAATTCTAACAAGAAATGTAGGCTTGAGATATCTTTTATCCATATAATTTCTACTTCTTTGGGGGCATAACACTTGAAAAAGTCGATCAGAGCTGATTATCGAACTCGTCCAAAACCCTGCTGGTATAAACATTTGATATATGTTTTTTTTTCAGGGACAACTCCGAAAATTAGTGTAAAATTTTCTGAAATTTTCAGAGTACATGATCATTTTTGCAGTTCTAGGGCTTCTATAGTTTACGAAATAACAGCAAAAGAACAGCGGAAATTGGAAAACATGAAATTTCAGGGCAATAAATCCAAAACAGTTTGGCAGATTTACGGGGAATTTACAGGGTAAATAGATCTTGTACTGATAATTTTTTACTTCATTTTAAACGTTTAACCTAGCTTCTATAGTTTTCACGATAACAGCCAAAAACTGCTAACATTGGAAAACAAATTGATATTTCAGGAGACGAGTGGAGTTTTTAACGACCTTGACTACCCATGAGGGTCTGGCACGGTCGGATTTCAGGAGTAAAAAATCCATAACAGGTAATTGGATGTTTCACAAATTCTCATGGCAGATACATCTTGTAGCATTAATCATTTTTCAATATACACATTAAAACTAACTACTATAGTATTAAAGACAACAGTAAAAAATTGTGAAAATTGGTAAAAAAAAAACCAAAACAAACCAACCTTACATTTCAGGGGCAATAACTCCCTATAGGATCTAATCTTTTTTTCTGAAATATTTCAGGTAGATAGAACTTTTTGTTTATTATTTTTCTAGTTTTCGAAATAATATCCCAAGAACTATCAAAAAATATTTGATGGACTTTCAGGCACAATAAACCCATAACAGGACGACATATTTTTCTAAAATTTTCAGGGATGATAAATTTTGTTATGCTGACCATTTTTTGTTTGTTTAAATTGCTATATTTTCAGATATAAGCAAAAACTTCAGTTTGATCCCTATGTTCTATTCTAATAATAGTGGCCATGTTAGATGATCAACTTAAACGAAATTACCAAACTTCATAGACGACATCTATAGATGAAGCATACAAACTTTGATTTCAATCCATTGAACACTTTCAGAAGAGAAGATTTTGAAAGTAAATTTTAAGGATAACGGACGAAAAGTGATGATAAAATCTCACATGGTCCTTTTATTTGCGCCCAGTGAGCTAAAAACTGAACATCGGTATAAATTTATATTTCAGAGGCAATAAGTCTTAAACAAGTTGCCAAATATTTCTTAAATTTCCAGGTGAGAAAAATCTTGTTGTGTTGATAAATTTTGCAATTTAAAGTTTAAACCTAGCTCTTATGTTATTTTATATAACAGCCAAACAGTGCAAAAATTTGTCACCGCATATTAATCATATATCAGGGCCAGTAACTCCAAAACCGGTTGAAAGATTTCCCTAAAATTTTAAAGTCTATAATTCTTGTTGTGCTGATTATTCTAGCAATTACATTCTTAAACTAGCTCATGTGTTTTTTAAAGGAAGACAAAAACTGTGAAAACCAGTAAAACCTTATCTTTCAGGGGCAATAACTTCCTATGTATTGTAAGATTTTTCCGTTCAATTTTGCAATTCAAACTGTTAATCTAGATCCTTTTGTTTCGAGACAATAGCCAAGAACTGCCAAAGCAGGTAAAACAAATATTTCAAGGGCCATTTCTCAAAAAAGAGGTCGAAATTACCCTAGATAACCTAGCTAAGAGTAATTCAGGCAAATTTTGGTTGAAATTGTTGAAGTAATTTCATGGTAGAATTATTTGTTTTAGAGTTGACAATGACAGATGAAAACAAATAATGGACACCAAGTCATGCCAATAGCTCACGTGGCTCTTTTCGATAAAGCTAGAGACTTTAAAATAACTCACCTTACATTTTGCATAAAATAAGCACTGCAACAATATTTGTGTTAAATGTAAACAATGTTGGTAAAAATCTTGTATTGTTGATCATTCTAGCTGAATCAAGCTTCTCTATTTCTATTAATGTTAAAATATTGTGATTTAATGGAGTCCATTTACTGTTTATTTCATAGTAGATATTGTTTTTCTCATCAGTTTTGATATTCAAATTTCAGTCGATCTACTTTTCAGAATATGCAGTACAAAATGCTATAAAGTTGATAAAAAAAAATCATCATTTAAGGGCAATAACTCTTGAAATGAGTTGACAGACGATTTTGTTCACTTTTTATTACATGTAGGTCTTATTTTGCAGATCATTTTTGCTATTTAGAATTTCGCTCTGTCTTCTTAAGTTTCACCAAAAATACACAAATATAGAGAACAATGTCATGTCAAGGCATGAACTATAACTCCTATATAGAATTGACTGGAAGTTTCAGCCCTGCTGACTTTTATGTAAATATCATCTTGCTGATCATTTCTCCATTTACAAAAGTTTTTGCAGAAACACAAAATGGGTAAAAAAATACCATTAAAGGGTAATAACTCCTAATGAGTCAAATGACTTGTCTCTTTTCTTCTAGTTTCAAATAAATGTGTAATAAACTGTTGAGGCAGAGATATGGCATGCCTTAATGTAATTTGATAGCTCAAATGTTAAAATGGCAATACTTTAACATGTAAACTATGCAAAAATTAAAAGTCAATGAATCTTGACTGAAAGTGCAGGACTAAATAACCCCTGCGGAAATGAGAAATGCCAATGCTAATACAACTGCATACCCATACCATTGACTTACATATGGAGTTTCCAATAAACTGTCCTTAACACAAACTTTAAAATGTAGACAATGCAAACATTTTTAAAGTCACTGAACCATGATGAGGGGGCAGGGCCATATAATATCATGGCAAATGAAACAGGCAAATGCTAATACAGAGGCATACCAAATATCATTGACTTATAATTAGTGCTCCATCTCAAACTGACCTAATTACAAACATTAACATGTAAAATGTGCAAAAGTTTATACATTGTAGTTAATATACAGTGGTTGAGGGCAACATAGCCTCCTTGGAAGTGAGATATGACAATGCTTATACAACTGCATACCAAATATCTTTCACTTGCCAAAGAGAAAAAAATTGTCATTAAAGAGCAAAACTCCTTTAAGGAGTCGACAATCAATTTCAGCTATGTTGAACAAATAGAAGATCTTTCTTTGCTGATCATATTTGCTGTTCAAAGTTTCTCTCTATTAAATATAGTTTTTGTTAAAAAGTACCCAAAATGTTATGTATAAATTGAAATTCAAGGGCACATTGGCAAATTTTAGCTATTAAACTTAACTGTAGATCTTATTTTGTTGATATTTTTTTTCTGTTTACAGTATCTCTCTATCTATTATAGATCTGGCAAAAACAAATGTGTTATTATCATCATTCAAGGGAGTCAACTGCTAACTACAAACATATTTAATTATCTGTGCATATTATTTTGCTGATCAGTTTTGCTGCTACAAATTTCTCTATATCATATATAGCTTTCTGTAAAAACAAAAAAACAACACAAGAAAGTGTAAAGAATTCTCATTCTGGGTAATAACTACTTTCAGGTTATGATTTTGGTCATGTCACATCTGCTTCTGCAGATAATTTTTTTCTAGCTAGTTTCCCTCAATCTTGAACAGTTTTCAAGATAAAAGTCTAAATTGCAAAAAAATGTTAAAATTGTCATAAAGGGCAAAATCTCAAATAAGGAGTCATCTGACAATTTTGGACAAAATAGACAGTAATAAGATAAACATTTTCATTATTTTTGCTGCTCCCAGATTTTCTTTATCTACAAATGCTTTTCAGAATAAAATATTTGCATTTTAACCCCATTTTCTTTTCTAGCCTTTGATGTCATGTTTGTTGCCAGGGATCATTGGACAAAACTATATACCACAAGGATGACTGTAGAAAAGTTTGGTTCCAATTGGCAAAGGAATTTCACAGAGGAAGATTTTTTTTAGCTCTCATGACCCTCATGGAAAAAGTTGGCCCAGATGAGCATAAAAAATAATAAATGCATAAATATAAATTGATCACATGTCATTAGCCATTATACACTTAATCTGAACTGTTTTTAAAATGTTAGGTTAACTCCTAACTAGCCTACTGCCTGTCGATACATTTATTTTTGGCATTGCACAAGTCATGTCTTCTTTGACTGTCCATGACGTTAAAATACTAAATCCCTGGGATGTGTTTTAGTTGATTTTAGTCTCTGATGCATGATTTTTTTATTATTAATTGTTTTTGGTTTTTAACTAGCTGTCAGTACCTGTGAGTACTCTCAAATCGTACTTTCTTGTTTATGACCTGTTGATACTAATTGTAATGCTTTTTTGTTATTTAATGTTATTCAGGGTTAAATCTGGTCTATATACCTGCTTTGATAAGTGTTTGGTATTACTATAAATTTTCACTTCTTTGTACTATGAACATCAAAATTATTTATTTTGTAAAAATATTTCCTTTCTCTATTTGAACTATACACTTATACCTAACAACAAAATTATTTTTATTTACCTGTGCTTAAAGTAATTGCAAATGGATGATATTTTTGTTCAAGTATATTGTTTTTACTTAAATTGTTTAACATTTCACAGCGGTATAACATGTTACTTTAATTATTCTTCCCTTAGTTTATTTATTTTGTATTTGCATTGTATCATAGATCAAATTTATTTGTTCAGTGTATGTTCACTGGTGTTAATATGTCTTTTGATTGAGTTAAGCCATTTCAATTGATATTTTATAGTGTGTTTTTCTATGTTGTGATGTTACACTATTGTTTCAGATAAGGGTGAAGGTTTGGTACCATTAAAACGTTTAAACCCGCTGCAATTGTTTGCACCTGTCCTAAGTCAGGAATCTGATGTTCAGTAGTTGTCGTTTGTTGATGTGGTTGATAAGTGTTTCTCGTTTCTTGTTTTTTATATAGATTAGACCGTTGGTTTTCCCATTTGAATGGTTTTACACTAGTAATTTTTGGGGCCCTTTATAGCTTGCTGTTCGGTGTGAGCCAAGGCTCCTTGTTGAAGACCGTTATTTGACCTATAATGGTTTACTTTTATAAATTTTGACTACATTCTCGTTCCTTGTTTTAAATGGGCTCCGTGTTGAAGACCGTACTGTGACCTATAATGGTTTACTTTTATAAATTTTGACTTGGATGGAGAGTTATCTCATTGGCACTCATACCACATCTTCTTATATCTATGTAAGTGTTTTTTACTAGAACACACTAATCAACATTGATGCCTCTCATTTTTATTTAAAGTATGATGTTCCAATTTTCCAAAACTTGCTGCAGGTTTCAAAAAAGCTCTTAATTATGTTTAATGAAATACTATTCACATCGAAATAAAAGATTCTCAAAGAATTCATTGAAATAACTTAATAAAAAGTCACCAAATTTTGTGTAAAATCCAGGCATTACACAAATACCTTTGTTGTTATGAGATTAAACCTGATATATCTAAAGTCATTTCACCCCCAAGGGTGACTGGGGAATAGAAATATGGTCACTACAGGTCTTCTTCCGACCGGCAGTAAAACCCTTGCCAAAGTGGGGCGTCTGTTTGGCTGTGTGGGATGTATCAAGTACGCAGCCACGTCCAGTCAGAATGGGGACGTTAAATCCGATGCCTCGTGTAGAGAGTGTGCCACGCTCTCTGCACGTTTTAAGAACCCTTGCAACAACTCTTTGAGGGATCCGTAGGTGGCCTGTTGCTAGGCAAAATTTCTGTCCCTATCCAATTTACCCTCATTTTCCAGTGGCAGTCTAAATTTCCCCGACCTTCATCCCGGACGGCCTCTGTTACATAACCTACCTATTGTATTTATTGTTAACTTGTTCTCGTCCTGAACATGCATGAAATATTTGCCACTGGACGTTAAGCAACCAACAATCAATCAACAATCAGTCTAAAGTCATTTCTTAACATCATATGTTTCTATTTTATAAATAAGAGGAATAAACATGACTGCTGAATATGGCAAAACATTCTAATAAACGCAAGTGTCAGTCAGTAAGTTTAATTGAATGACATGTAACAATTATGTTGAAATAATGACTTTTTTTAATATCACAGCAAATAAGAACATAATATACAGATAATGACATTTGTCCCCATTTAATACCATCCCTGAACCTGCAGATACTCAACCTTATCTTATATAGCAACATCTTGCTAGTTTGCACCTTTCTTTGTAAAACTGCATTGCCTTGACACGATAAACTGTTATGCATCTAATTGTTGTAGTTGCAAATAAAAAATAAATAAAACATTTAATGAAAATAATTAACATTAACAAGAGATTGTTTCCATTGACTTGTTATTTTATATAATAATGCCATTTGTATGCTGCTCATATCAAGTTTTTCCAAGTAAAATTCTAATCTCTTCAGAAGTCTCTAGCTCTGACGGTGATAGTCCATCACTATCTCTCAGTGACTTGTCGGCACCATGAGATAACAACATCTGCACAACTTTTGGATGTTCACAACTAACAGCTAAAAGAAAAGATAATGATTCTTATTACTTCAATTATATGCATGAAACATGATCTTTAAATATAAAATATGAAAGTCATAAAAAATAAAATGCATCAGTATAATGCCTTTCATCTATGAGATTGCAAGAAAATAATATAATTCATGCAACATACAAAATTTGACTTATGAGAAATATTTGTAAGTTATATTATATTCATTAAGAAATTAAATAAAGAATAGTTAAATATAGTATCGAACAAAAAATATATTTCCTTATTCCACTATAAGTATAAATATATAAGGTTTTGGGAAGAGCATATATAAAATAAAATTCCAATAGTTAACATCTGTCAGATGCCAAGTCTTATAATTACTAAGAAATATCCATTTTAAATGATATCTGATAAAAAACTAGAGGCTCTCAAGAGCCTGTGTTGGTCACCTGTATTTACTGATGCTTTGGAAATCATGTAAAATAAGGTTAAAATCATAATTAATAGTATTAGATATTAGATAATAACAAAAAACTGCAAAATTTTTGTAAAATTACTAACTCAGGGGCAGCAACCCAACAACGGGTTGTCGGATTCGTCTGAAAATTTCAGGGCAGATAAATCTAAATCTGATGAACATTTTTGCCACCTGTCAGATTTGCTCTAAATGCTTTAGTTTCAGAGATATAAACCAAAAACTGCATTCATCGGACAAATTTTTTAAACTAGATACCCTAATAATGATTATTGCCAAGTATGGTTAAATTTGTCTCAGTAGTTTCAGAGAAGAAGATTTTTGTAAAAGATTACAAAAATTTACAAAAAATTGTTAAAAATTGACTATTAAGGGCAATAACTCCTAAAGGGGTCGACTGATAATTTTGGTCATGACAACTTATTTGTAGATCTTACTTTGCTTAACATTATTGCTGTTTACAGTTTATCTCTATCTATAATAATATTCAAGATAATAACCAAAAACTGCAAAATTTCCTTAAAACTACCAATTCAGGGGCAGCAACCCAACAACAGGTTGTCAGATTTGTCTGAAAATTTCAGGGCAGATAGATCTTGACTTGATAATCAGTTTTACCCTATGTCAGATTTACTCTAAATGCTTTGGTTTCAGATATAAGCCAAAATCTACATTTTACCCCTATGTTCTATTTTTAGCCATGGCGGCCATCTTGGTTGGTTGGCGAGGTCATCGGACACATTTTTTAAACTAGATACATTAATGATGATTGTGGCCAAGTGTGGTTAAATTTGGCCCAGTGGTTTCAGAGGAGAAGATTTTTGTAAAAAGCTAACGACGACGGACGCCAAGTGATGAGAAAGGCTCACTTGGCCCTGCGGGCCAGGTGAGCTAAAAAATTAAATCCTTTTTCTTAAGCATTATATGCTTTTATCTTATATTCTTGAAGCATTTTAATATGTCAGTTCATACAAAATTCTCATTATAAGCATTTTATGCTAAACAAGTCAGGATAGCAATGCTTAACTCACAGTTTCTTCAGACTGTTAATTAAAAAAATAGTGCAAAGTAATTCTTGTCATTTGTCTAAAAATGTGGTGAAAAGGATTAAAGTTGTTGTGATTTCTATTTTAGATTAATAAGAACATTCTTGTTTAAGACAGTTTCAGATGATTCATTTCTAGTCTGGTTAAATATACCTAATTGTTTGAAGTCAATGGTTAGTGTACTAAATGCATACAGTCCGCTTAAATTCCTATTCTCTATTTATAGTAACAACAGCCATGTAGTCTAGCAAACAAATGTCAAGTCAGAAATTTGGAAGATATATGTGTCTTTGAGTTTCATTAATAAATATTTGAGAAGATATTTGAAGTTTACAATTCAGGAACTCTTACTCTGACAATCATGTGTATGTGTACTAACAAGAAAATACTTATGAAATAATTTTCTTTCCATTGTTCCTTTGGTGTTTATTTCCTTCCATTTAATCCATTTATATCTAAAAATCAATCTCAAGTTTGCAAATGCTAAAACGTCTTGCCTGCTTTACAGATTACAATAGACTTTTTATTTGGAATTCTTTAAGATCAATTTCTCACTATATTTATCAACCAAACTTAACATAACCAATGATCCATGAAAATAAAGTCAATAGAAATAAGAAGATGTGGTATGAGTGCCAATGATACAACTCTCCATCTAAATTACAATGTGTAAAAAGTAAGTAATTATATGTCAAATTACGGCCTTCAACACGGAGCCTTGGCTCACACCAAACAGCAAGCTATAATGGGCGCCAAAATGACTAGTGTAAAACAATTCAAACAGGAAAACCAATGGTCTAATCTATATGAAAAACGAGAAACGAGAAACACTTAAGAACCATCAACAAACGACAACCTCTGAAACAAGTTCCTGACTTAGGACAGGTGCAAACAAATGCAGCGGGTTTAAACATTTTTACAGGTGCCAACCTTCACCCTAACCTGAAATAGTAGTGTAACATTACAACATAGAAAGACACACTATAAAATATCAATTGAAATGGCTTAACTCAATCAAAAAGACATATTAACAAAAACAAGTAAACATACACTGAACGAATAAATGGTCAAGGTCAGATGATTTCTGACAGTTAGACGTGTAGACCTTTCAGTCATTCTTAACACCTAATATTATGTATTTGACATTTTCTGATGATCTGAGAATGTAATCTTTGAAACATTTTGTTGACCATTGAATCATTAAGTGGAGGTTAAGGTGAAATGAACCCTGTCAGACTATCATGCACACTTAGCAATCATTCTATGAACTGAATATAGGTGACTGCATGTTACTTATCGTATTTGAGAAACAGACCAATTATGAAAACTTAACATTAATACTGAACCAAGAAATGAGGTTGAGGTGAACTTTATCCTCAATGACAGACCTGTATAAGTTGCAATGATTCTGCATTCCAAATGCTGTTGTCCTTGAACTCATTAAAACATAAAAGTGAGATCAAGTATAACTCACTAATGTCAGAAGGAACTTCCAACCATAAGGCATATAACAGATATGGATTATCCAGCTCTTCTACCTTTTGAAATATGAAGCTTTTCAAAGCTAATGTTTCTGCAGCTGCCACCAGATTAGCATGCCTATGCCTCTCATTCTGCAACATTTGCTAGAAAATAAAACTCACCATAGTGAAGTGGAGTCTGTTTGTCTTCATCCTATCAACAAAAAGATTTTCTTGTTTACTGTGGATTCATTTATTTTCGTGGGTACCAATTTTCGTGGATTGAGGAAAACTTGCATTTTCGTGGATATTTGAATTCGTGGTTTTGTCTATCTCTGCACACAAAGCCCATAGAAATTTAGTTATTCGTTGAACATTTGAATTCGTGGTTCACCTGTACCCACGAAAACCACGAAAATTGGTATCCAACGAATAATAATGAATCCACAGTAATATCTTTCAAGTTCATCAAATATTTTACCATTTCATTTATAATTAGCATTAGCTATTTGTATGCTAATAGGGCAATTCTTTAATTTATGATTGAAAACACTATGCTCCTATTCCATATGAGAATTTGACTTTTTTACCTTTCAAACACACAAAATAAATTGGTTCTCGGGCCAGCATGCATGTTGTTTTTGGGAACTGCTTAAAGTGCTAATTTAGTCTGACTTGATTGATGTCTTTGTTTCTCTTTTCATAGCCTGGGATCCTGGATTACTGCACAACAGAGATTTGGCAAGGATCCCAGGCTAATATCAAATCACAAAAAACAAGCCAAAAAGTTTTTATCCTGATTTTCCCATGCTTAAAGTATCAGGTCTTTGTCTAATTTGATTAAATCAAATCTTTTATATGATATACATAATTAAGAAATTTTGTAACCGTCTAACACAGATGATCACCACTATACATATATAAGGTGTATTCATATAATAAATGCAGATTATTGATAGAATCACCAAAAAAAAAACAAATCATCTTTTAAAGATACTGTAATTACTAAGAATGGAAGGAACTATTTTATATTTCGTTTCTTTACTAATTTCAATAGTTTCATATACTGATAAAACTTTGATTTTAAAGACCATAACACTTCAAACACATTCATTCCATACAGGGATTACAGAAACTGAATATTTCTTAAAATGGACTAAAATGTCCTTACCTGGATATCAATATTTGCCTTTTTATTCAGTAGACATTCTACCATTTCACTTAAACCTCTGTCACAAGCCCAGTGGAGTAAGGCCATTCCCTGCAATCAATTTATAAAAAAAAATACATATTAACATGAGACTTAAGTGAGACAGGATTAAGATTAAACAGTAGTTCACATTCAATTTTTCAAATTCATTGTACATTTGTATTATTAAAACCTTTTAAAACTTAATAATAAATTTTCATATATCCAATGAATTTTTTTTAAAACTTTTGTTCCATGAATAATTTTATAATGATACTATTGATGATTGTGCAATTTCTAGTGGTCACTTGTCAAGTGATTCTGCCACGTCTTGAGATCAATATTGTGTCTGATCAATGGACTCTGAACAATGATATTACATCGCTATTATTAAAATAACAAGTTCTTTTTTGAGCTGTTAGCATGAATCTTCACTGAACAAAAAAAGCATGAAACTGAACTGTCATGGTTTGTTGATAAACATTGACCAAAAAAACAATGCAAACTAATTCTTTAAAAACTTGGTTTAAATTGGCTCAGTAGTTCAAATTTGTCAAAAGTATTCCAAATTTGGGTTTGGTCATTATATGAGATTCTCAAAAAAGGAACTTCTTTGTATGTTCTAGAAAACATATAGGTCAAATCAAATTATTTCATTGATGAATTTTATATATAATGCACCATCAGTCTTAATTTTTATACAAAAAATGTGTAACCTTTGGGAGGGAGTAGGGCACTTCCTATATACAAGGTGATAGGATGTGACACTGGAATAGGTCACATTTTCTAGCTTGAAAATATGTGAATAGGTGGGGAAAACTATCAGAAATATATGATAACCACAATAAAGTTCTCATTACTTGTTATATGAAAAGCCCTGTAACTTTCTTGGTGTTCATGGCTGTGTTTTTATCCACAAATTTTCCCTTAAGTCATGATATAATTTCCCAGTTTCATGTAAGCTAGCATAAAAAAAACATTGCAAAATTGGCCTCAAGATTCTTTAGTTTTAAGTTGTTTTTTTTGGTTGGTTTCTTTCTCATTGGTGTTTACTCTACTTATCTTTTATTATTCTAACATGCAAACAAACACTATGAATACCATTTTCATTGTGTTTCAAAACTGTTTTAGAAACATACACATTTACAATAAAATACATCTTCTTCATTCCAAAATTCAATAAGAAATCAGGGCAAGTAAAATTTACAATTTCACTTGCCAGGGGACAAGTGGTCAACAAATATTTCCACACCCCTGCCCCTCCCCGAGATTTTTTCTCCTTTCTATAAATGTAACTGATATGAACAAAGCCATAATCATGAGCAATGCCATATCCAGTCCTTTACATAATAAAATCTTTGATTACTAACTGCATCATCTAGGCCATTGATGTCAATATTTTCACTTTGTAGTATTCTGGACATTTGGTTAACATCTCCCTCTTTACACCAATCAAACACTGTCTTGTTTTGATTGTCTAACTCTGGGTCTGTGTTTGACATTGTGCTGACTGATACCCAGGAGGATCCACTACTAGATTTTTTATCATCAATTGTGTCTATCTGAAATCAAAACTGTTTTTAAGATTTTTTATGGATAAAGCTTCATAAAAAAAACTAATTGGATTTAACTTTTGACTTTATCCATCACTTTCAACTAATTAAAAGCATCAATAGTACTTGATGACCAGAAAACATGGACTATTCTTATGAATTGTTTCATCTGTGAAATCTGTTTTCACAATATAAAGAAATAGGATTTTACATTATACTATTTAAATCAATTAATAAAATACAACTACTGGAAATATTTCACATGGTTGTGATTCAGTTTTTATAATCCACCATTTATCAAGCTGGATAACTAATGCAGCGCTATTGTTTTATTCACCTCTGCCTCCCATCCAGGGTAAAGTGAAGTCATATGTGAAATATATTCCAACATGGCCATATCTCTAGGCTTGTCTCCAAGTTTCTTCCAAGCTTCCCTATAATACAAAAAAGGTTTTTTTTATATAACCTTATTAAACACAATAAGTGTAAGAGGTTAATTCAATAAACAAGAATCAGTGTCGGACACCATGCCCCTCTTCCACTTTATTTGGATGTTCTGTAAACAGTAAAATTTTGGTTAAAGCCAAGGTTTGGTACAGTGTATCTGATTCACATCATAATGAAAATATAAGTATAAAGTAAGAAGTTGTAAGCTGGCCTGGTAAGCAAGCAGTGTTGACATGTGTTTTGTATGATGGTTGTAAAGACTATTTATATACATATAGCTTGATTTGATTTTTGATTTTTGGTGTTTTAACGCCACTTTTAAGCACCACTTTTGGGCTATTTCGTGTGGCCAGTTTTTATTGGTGGAGGAAGCCGGTGTGCACGGAGAACACCACCAACCTTCGATAGGAAAACTGACAATCCTAGTCAATTAAGATTGGAGTCGAGAGCACCATATAGCTTGAACACTGAACAGATATTCTAATAAGTTTAACATTTTGACATATTCAGCATATATCATGATCTATATAAATGATAAAATATTGACTAATAATCAACTTACAATGTCACTAGCATGTCTAACATTACTTTAATTATATTTTTAGAGTGATCTTAAATAATGCTAACACTTAAATTTCAATTTATAATACAAATAAAACAGAATTAATAGTTTTGCAATTAAAGGTATCAACTCTGGTTTCAATGTAAACAAACATGATGTTCTGTTATGCTTGCAATTAAAAAGTTTGGAAGAAATTTCAAACGGTTAAAGATGAAACCTTATTAAAATATTTATTTAATAGCAAATCTGCATGTGTGTAAAGAGAAAGGGGTGTATGAAACTTGGCCCAATTGTTTTGTAACTGGTAAAAAAAAATTGTATGTTGGGGAAATTTCTGATTTTTTGGAGGACAATGTCTCTGACATACTGGTAAGTTGTTTAGCTCTCTAGATTTGCAAGCAAATCCACCTATAATACAGTGTATATGTAAAAAGAGCCTAAAATGAGTCAAGAATGTATAAGTCAGTTATTATTTATTTGTTTCATCATGTTTGGCTCTTTTTGCCTGTAATAGTTTGGCTGTTTTTGTCCATGATTTTGGACTTTCTATTTGCAATAGTGTCCCCTTATATTACTACATTTGTTTAAGATTTCCTATTATTACCATTTCTGTTTGCCTTGAAAATCAAACATCCCTGGTTTTTTGGAATTACACTGTCCTTCTGTTGCCTAAAATAGAATTGGAAAACTATCACATCACTGTCATGTTGAAGTTATTTTGCATACAAAAAGTCAAATCAATACTGATGAAACCAGCAAATCTTTGGGTTATCCATTTCTTTAAAAAAATATACATGTTTACTGCCGAAATTTACCCAAAGGAACTTACTTTAAATAAATCAAATATAAACGGTAATAACCGTCCTTTCCTAGATTTAGATATTTCAGTTTTACACGGGAAACTCTACACTAAAATTTATGACAAATTCAAAAGGGACGATTTTTCGTTCCCTATTGTTAATTTTCCTTTTTTGGATGATGATGTTCCTTTGGCACCATCTTATGGAATTTATATCACAACTCGTTCGCTATGCCCATTTCTGTTTTGACGTTTTGGATTTTAATGAACATAATCTATGTATTACTGGTAAATTATTAAGTCAGGGATTTCGTTATCACAAATTACTTAAAACCTTTACTAAATTCTTCCATAGATATACAGATTTGGTTTTGAAGTTTGTTTTTACCTGTAGAAAACTTATTTCAAATGGGATAGCACATCCTCATTTTTATGGGGATGTTGCTTACCAAGCCCAGAAATTTAAAAACAATCCGTGTAAACTCATCGATCCTTTAAACAAACTTATTCTAAAAGGCTACCAATTCAACACTGTAACTAGATCTTTGAATATTGTTTTTATTGGTATTAATATTGATTTTTTTATCAGTAAATTAAAATCAAACTAAATATTATTGTTATATACATATGCACATTCATGGCTCTACAATCTGTCGATACCTGTATCTTGGCATTGCACAAGGTCATGTTTTTCTCTAACTGTTTATGATGTCTTTACACTAAATCCATTGGATGTTGGATGTGTACTGATTGAAAACTTAGTCTTAAATGCATGATTTTTTTTATTAGTTGTTATTGGCTTTGGACTAGCTGTCAGTAACTGTGAGTACTCTCAGATCTGTACTTAGTGTCTTTTTGTTGTTTGGATGTACAAGCACCCGTCCACGTCCTCTCTGTGTTTTTGTTAGATGAATTTCTATTTGTATCCATCTGATGAGTTAAGCCTTTTTCAACTGATTTTTATAGTTTGTACTTATGTTGTACTGTTACACCACTGTCCCAGGTTAGGGGGAGGGTTGGCGCCTTCAAACTAGTTTAACCCCACCACATTCTCATCTGTATGTGCATGTCCCAAGTCAGGAGCCTGTAATTCAGTGGTTGTCGTTGTTTGTTGCTGTGTAGTACCATTGTGATATCACGTTTCAATTTATTACACTCAGCAATATTCAAATTATGGTGCAACACAATAAATGATCAGTTTGTTAGGAATATGCATATATACAGGAATCAAATCTTTTCCAATAATGTAAGTACACTTTATCATTCCTTTTTTTGCCTTTAATTGGTACATGCTCATTTCTTTAGTGTACGGCATCTGTCATTTCAGATTTTCACAATATTCTTAATTGACCTTATAAAAAATGAAAATATAAGCAAAAAGACGTTAAATAATGAAAAGATAATGCAAAGGGAATCCGGGTCCGTTCGCCCCAAAACATGTTTGCTCCCATTCACATTTGCCCCTTTCATGTTCGTACCCCACAGTTTGCGCCCTTGGTCCATTCTCACCCTTTTTATTGGTTTTGAGTTGAATACTTTTAATCGTGTTTAAGTTGGTGTTTTGCTATAAATAAGTTTTTTTATATTGTTTCCTCAAAATAAAAGTCACATTCTTAAAATGTAAACAGGTTTCCTTTAGCGTTTTATTAATTATTTTGACGAAATGAATCATGATTAAAAGATTGTCATGAAGATTAAGGAAAAGTTCATTCATCTCAGACTTGTATTAAAAAGAAAGTCAGAAGATACCAAAACTTCATTGAGTTTACTTTAATATACCAAGCTAGCTACATGCAGTATTTACATCAAAGCGTAGTTACATGTAAAACAAAACAAAACAAAATAGAAATAAATAATGAAGAAAATTAAACTGAAAAAGTATATATATATCATGTTTAAAAGCTCAGTTTCTTTATTTTATAGAAAATGCAAAATTTATTTAAATAATATTTTCCTTTTCCCCTTTAAGGTATAAAACCACTAATTCATCAGTTAGGGGTATTACTTGTACAAGTAATCTTTATTTACTTGAAGAAGGAAATAATAATATACTTATATAAGTTAATTATAATGTTTGAATTATCTCCCCTTAATTTACTCAAAAATTTACTTCTATAAGTAATTTTTTTTAACAATCCCACAAAAATTCTCAAGTTTTGAGATGTAAAAACATGCCTTTAAAAATTTTTCTTATGTAAGCTCATAATTTTTTATTAGAGTTCAATGTTTCATCTCATTAATTCAACAAAGAAAATGATTGCGCAATGATCTTAAGTATTTGCGCAAGGCCTTCAAAAATTGCCCCTTGGGGCTTGTAAATGAGCAGTGTTCTGAAGGTAACAGACAAATGAGATTTTCACTGTCCATGAAATTACACTTAAATGATTAGTAAAGACATCTGCAAAGGACAGACAATTAAAAATTCAATTAGAGCAAAGAAGTGCTAAGAATTCAAGAAAGAAGATACATGTGTAAGATGACTGTTTTACTTGTATAAGTAAAAAAATCTGAATGTCTAAGGGACATAACTTAGCCAAAAAAATATTTACCTATACAAGTAAATAAAATACACTTGTATAAGTACATGTATCCTACAAATTTACTTATATAAGTATATTAATATTTGCTTCTTCAAGGAAAATAAAAATTACTTGTACAAGTAGCACCCCTGACGGTTCATAGCCCCATATCTTTCTATGTTAAATTCTGCAATTTCAAGCATTAATGGCTACTTTGTCCTAAGTTCAAATAAAGTGGCAGTCATTTCATGTCAAAACTATACCTTATCCTGACTTGTGTAATAGAAATCAACACCTTTAATTTCATATTAGAGTGTAATGGTTACTGGAAGTTTGATAGTACAAAAACAGGTACTTTTGATCTGAACCACAGGGTAAAGGTGCCCTCCTATTATAATTTTATATATTTTTTTTTATTATTCAAAAGAAACTTTCAACACGGGTTCTACAGTGATCCCAAGTTCCAAAGATTTCATTTGATACCAAAACTACCCAAACAGTTCACCTATTGACAAAGATACAGCTATGCGTAGGAACTATTTTGTTTAAAATATGTACTACTTTATTGTATGTTCTTTCCGACTGGGCTGGAATTAGTGGTTCTATACCTTAAATCAAAATTTCAAATTATTTGCTGATAACATATTTGTAAAGAAGGTAAATAGTTATGTAATCTAACAGTTTATCTGTTAAGGCGAAGTGTACGTAATTGCACGCCTCTAGCGGAATTTAGGATAAAAAACGTGCGTCGTTAGTTACGCGGGTTATCTCACCTACTCCAAGAAAGGAAAAATGGGCACATGAAAGAAAAATGACTTTGTGCGGTCTATCATGAATCCAAACAAGTATTCATGTGCTATCTCAAAACTTCAAAGAAATTATTAGAATGACTCCAATCAGAAATCTGAGTATCCTATTGTGAGTTAGTCTGACTTTATTACCACTGTTTTTGTTTTAGACACGCAGGAGCAGGTACACAATACGACTTTTTTTTCAACAGAAGGTAAAAACGCATAAACAACAAAATTATAACCAAATAAACAAATAAACCAGTGACAATTCTGTTTCTATTCGTATCAAATTCATTAAAATCAAACCAGAATTGACCCCACAATATTTTTTGAAAAACCATAGTTTTGAATGAAATTCACAGTGTAGCGTAAAATTGTAGGTAACGAATAATTATATTGCATGTGAATTTGTGTGTTGAACAAGAAAGACGTTGGCATGTCCGTTTTTATGCAATTGAAAATTTTATGATGTTTTATATTTTATTATTTATGTAAAAAGTATAAAAGATACTAAGGGGTAATCGACAACTAGTACAACATAATGAACATTTATAAGCCGAAGGCGAAGAAAAAGCCAACAGCAAAAAAAAAAACCATCAGATTCCGTCCACAAAACATTACACACTCAGAAACTAAGAATTGAGCACTATTACATTTATCTCAGAATAAGTAAAATATATGTCATCCAAATCTCAGTTTTCAAGGTGCAGAAAATAAACAGGTGTCTTCTATTCCGTCCGCAATTTTTGGGGAAAGTAAAATCTGAATTTAGAACCATGGTTGAAACTGAAACTACACATGTATGATAAAAATAGAACGTGTTATTTTTTCTTTATCAAATATCAATTTCGAAGGGATAGCGAAATATGTTTTCTTTTGTTGTGCTTTTGTGTATCATTCAGCAGTAGTATAAGGTAGGGGAAGAAGGGGTAGGAAGAAAATAAGGTCTACAATGTCGGGGCTTTTTATAACCGACTATACGATATGGATTTTTCTCATTGTTGAAGGCCGTATGGTTGCCTATAATAATTGCTTACATCCACATCATTTAAGGTAGCTGGAGTGTCTAAATGTTGGACGATAAATTTTTCTTAAACTTCTGTAAAAGACTTCTGGGTCAATGTAATTTCAAATTTCAATATAAAAACTGGGGATCACGGACCTTGTTTTTTCGTAATAACACATTGAAATTAACGAAATTTGGGTTATTTTATATTGTTAATATAGGGGAAACTTAAGTTTTCCTTATTGCGGAAACATTAAACGATAGAAATGGCTAAAATTCGATGAGAAAATTGCTTTTCATTAATAACTCCGAAATATCAAATAAAAATAGGGGGTCACGGGCCTTATTTTCTTGAAAAAATCCCCAAAAATTTTAAATATACTTTACGACACTTAATTTTTTGATAGTTCAATCTTTAAATTTCAAGTTTTAGGTATTTTGTTGTATATTAAATGATACTTGGTAAAATATTTTTAAAACAAAAAAGTATTTTTGCAACATGATCAGAACGGACGCTCAGAAAAAGACACCCGATCTACCTTAAACTGTGGCAGATAGTTGTCTCATTTGCAATCATACCACATCTCCTTATTTTCATATTATATTAACAAAACTGCAATTCATTTGCATTATATACAGGGACAAGTTATATCAAAAACTCCGATCTGTTTTACTTTGCTAAGATTCATATGCGGGTTCTTCTTTTGACCTTATTACAGCAGATGCAGTTTTCTTATTTTGTGGGAGTCGTGCATGTGGATATTCAACAAATAATGGTACAAGAAATTATTTCCTTTTTTACTTAAAATCTCCAGCAAACATTATATTATGCTTTGTCGTGTAGTTAAAGAAAAGGGAAAGCGATCGAGACAGGAAATTTTTAAAATAAAATTGCAGAGTTGTGTCACGTGCACGTGTGTGAACCTGACAAATAAAATGGGTTTTGTGCGCAATACCTCGAATAGCGCCGGAAATGGTGAGGATGAAAAGATGCAGCAAATTATATACACTTTTTTAAAATACAAACATGCAGAAATAAGATTTAAAAAAAGACGTGTATACGCGATCCCAATATTATAACCGATTATTAAAATACGTATAGAATCATTCTGTCAACGCTGTGTTAACCGGGACAATTTCAAACTTGATATTTGATTCATAATTATTAGAACAATACAATATAAAAATAAGAAGATGTGGTATGATTGCCAATGAGACAACTCTCCACAAGAGTCCAAATGACACAGAAATTAACAACTATAGGTCACCGTACGGCCTTCAACAATGATCAAAGCCCATAGTCAGCTATAAATACAAGCATTTCAAAAAAGATGTGGAACCCTGTCTAATTAAGAAAAGATGGAGTTAAAGTCTATACAGTAACTTTCTTTCACTTGCAGTATATTTATTTGCCAATTTGCTTTTTTTTGGCAGCAGAATTATCCTTAAAAAATACTCAGTTTATTTCCTTATCAATTGATTACGCTTGAGCATTTGCAATAATTAGGAAAATGGGTTATAAATAATTCGTAAATATAAATCAACATGTAGACATCTTATACGTTCAGGTATTTCACATCCAATATTTTTTGGTAATATTCTTTACAAAGCACAAAAATGTCGGCATTCACCTCAAAAGCTAACCAAAACTTTAAACAGACTTATTTGGAAAGGATATAGTTACGATACTGTTGTCAGGTAATTAAGGATTGCATATTTTGGTATTAATATTGATTCACTCATAGGGTCTTTGCATCGGAAATAAACACTATTATTCTAAAACCAGTTGTTGGCATGATACGGGTTATGTTCTTCTCATATATTTTATGATTGTATGATACTAAACCCCTAACGGGAGGGATTGTACTTGATTTTCATATGATGAAGACATAATCTTTCAATCAGTTTAATTGAGGTCTGGAGCTGGCATGTCAATAACTGCTAGTAGTCCTTTGTTAATTTATTCATCATTGTCTTTTTGTTTAGTTTCTTTTGTTACCTATTCTGACATCGGACTCGGGCTTCTTTTAAACTGAGTTATACTGTGCGTATTGCTATGTGTTTCTTTATTCTATCATTGTCTAGAGGTATAGGGGGAGGGTTGAGATCTCACAAAACATGTTTAACCCAAGTCAGGAGCCTCTGGCCTTTGTTAGTCTTGTATATTTTTTTAATTTTAGTTCATTTATATGTTTTGGAGTTTAGTGTGACGTCCATTTTCACTGAACTAGTACACAATTTTATTTAGGGGCCAGCTGAGGACCACCTCCGCGTGCGGGATTTTCTCACTGCGTTGAAGACCCATTGGTGGCCTTCGGCTGTTGTCTGCTCTTTGGTCGGGTTGTTGTCTGCTCTTTGGTCGGGTTGTTGTCTCTTTGACATATTCCCCATTTCCATCTCAATTTTATACACACTCACGATTTTGTTTTGACACTGTACGGTATAATAGCGTTATAGAGTTATATCTAGTAGAAATTGTGATGACGTTACAGTAGACATCAATAACGTCGCCGAATGTTTTTTATTCTTTCCGCTAAAAATCAAACTTCCACAGGATATAGCTTGAAAACTAGCACGGTTGCTAAGGACTTTCTTTGCACCAATTGGTTCGTCGTTCATTTTTGAATCGCATATCGATTTTTAAAAAAATTCTGTGGACCAACGAATTAGAAAATCTTGATAAAGTAAAAATATCTGCCGATTTTTATGATTTTCCCTATATATCCTTTGTATTTTTGGCGTATCATGCTGTTAATTTCAACAGCTTGTATCTGAAAAACGAAAACGGTTACCCCTTTTTTTTATTTTATTGTCTGATGTATTTTTACAAGCAGAATCCACATGTAAAATTAAAAAAAAATCTGTGGAATAGTTAATTACGTACACTTCGCCTTAAGTAATTTATTCATGCTCCTCGATTCAGGTAACCTTAATTAAAAAAACAGCATGAGATCACACCTGGTTTTTGTGTCTGTCCTCAAGACTGTCATAACAGACACAATGTCTATCAAAGTTATTAATCTCATTATGTCCTTAATGCTTAAGAGTACTGTATAACAACAATCATGATTTTCAAACGCAGAACAATGATAACAAATTTGGCTTTGTAAATAATAATTAACATCTAGTTATCATTCATAATTAACATTTAATAATTAATCATCAAATCACAAAAAAAATATTTTATTTAATAAACTCCCGAATTTTTATTAATTAAAATTTCAATATTTTGATAAATATATCTAAAAACATCTAATATTCAACCAGAATTTAAATAAAAATAGGGAGCGAACGAACCCAGGGTGCAAACGTGTATTGGGAGCAAACAGACCGGGTACCATGCAAAGGCATATTATATATATATAGAACCATAGATATAATAGACTAAGCTATTAAAAATATATTGAATAATTACAATAAAAATGATAAAAGTCAGCATGGTCAGAGGTTTGGGAAGTATCAGGAAAGGCCAACATGAGGTGCATAAGTCTGTGAAGAAGTTGTGTCAATTTCGACCATGATACGAGAAATATTTATAAATAAAATAGCATCCGAAGAAGTCATATTTTTTTGTTTGTAGTATTGTGTCGTGAATTGATACACATTACCCTATCCATTTTTTTCAATTAACAATAGAATTTTGCACCTGTTTGTATCGGGCATACAAATACAATAGATTTTCGCCACTCTGGGAACCGGCAACGTGTCGAAGATACTTAGATGCCCCCTCAAATAAATCTTTAATATCTTCTTGCGAACAATCGCCAAATTCGTCTGCCATGATAGCGATTGTAAAGGACAAACCGTTAACGGTTTTTCATTTCCGAAAATTCTAAAACAAATACTACAGTATCCGTAAGGATCCCGATTTAATAGACGACAAAAGTTTAAAAGGTTCATTTCATATATCAAAATGGAAATATGACAGATAAGACTAGTTCTTCTTCTGCTTCTTCTTCTTGAGAGTATAGTCGTACTGTTTATTTCGATGTTTTATGTGAGAAAAAATATATGTGCGGATAAGTGCAAATGATCTACAACGGTGTAACTGTACATGTGATCCATTAAAATAAGTATTTGCCCGAAAGCAATATATTAGACGAATGTCCTAATTATTCTATTATCAATAAGCCTGAGCTTTTCCTTATAGACGTATTTTGACGCTTGACTATGGAGACCAGAAAACAATTGTTCAAAACGTTGACTCCTTGACTGAGTCACAGAGTTAAGTGCAATTTATTTGTCTTTTAATGTAAATATTTTATGTTGAGTGAAAGGGAAGGCATGGTCTAGAAATTATAACTATCGAAAGACATTTTATTTCATACTCTCGAAAAAGAAGGGAAAATATCTGAATTATTTCTCCAAAACCCTTCTTAATTCAACTATCAAATCAGATGCTTAACTTGAACATTCTCGTTTTACAATTTAAATTCATAATCTGAAAATAGTGTCTAGTCGGAAATCATACACTGTACATAGCTCTAGTTCTCTCACTTTGTATTAGAAACTGTGTAGCAGTTTATCTTTTTTGCAAAGCCTTGGCTCAATTCTAAACATTAACGGCAAGTCTGATAATGAGGCTTTTAGACATGCGTTTTTGATTTTTTTCTTAAAATAAAAGACATTTGAAGCTTTATTGTATAAATGTAATACAGAATTCAAAAATACTTTTATGTTTAAAGAATTTGACAGATTTATAACACTTAGATATTCGAATTAAAGGGGCCAAAATTGACTATATCTAGAGTTATCTCGACAAGCAACTAAATATATTTGCCTTTTACAAACGTAATAGTCTTTTAAACTCGGAAACACTAATATGTTAATCTTCAAACATGGATACAATGTGATGTGGGAATGAGATCATAGTAATCCTGCAACGACACATTAACAAAAAAACACGTACAGGTTAATTGTCTTCAATAATTTACAGATGTCTATCTAATATGACCATATTTAACACGGAATTTTTTTAAAAATAAATAAATAAATATGCCATTAATATAGAACTTCACTGTTAAAATAGCGAGATCTGTTGCATTCCGATTAGAGTTCTATTAAGTTCTCGAAACTTATCATAGCAACCCTGATAAACGTTTAGTTCCTTTACACATCACAAGAACTTCCTTTTCACTTTATCAAATGTAAATAATATGGTGAAACCCCATGGTAAACATTTGAGACATAACTCAATTCAAGGTTTTTTATTTTTGTTTCGATGTAACTTGTTCAACTGCATTTTGATTTTAGTAAAGTACTTGTTAACATCACAGGGCACAAGTTTGATCTAAATCTGTATAAATAGAAATTTCAATACCTTCTTTACATATCTTGACAATTGAAAATTCAATTTTTCAATTCGATTTAAAGACCATTCACCGTTGCTATTTACCTTATCAACAAACTTTAAAATTTAAAAGAATTCTAATATTCAATATTTATAAGCATCACTTCATTGTATGCCTGTGAAATGAAAAAGTTATTCATTTGGATATTTAAATTTTTCACATTAACCGAGCCAACCGTCAAAACGAAATCATTTCCATTCAAAATTTCGTTTATTTCTTTTTGCTTCGAAAGAATACTAGTTTTGTATCAGTGAGAAGTGAATTCGATATATCTACTTCAGATGTCAAAGATATTTATGTAAAACAACCTATTAAATTCAGCGTAAAATAGTCATTATGTCTAAAACGAAAGGGACAGACAGTCCATCAAAATCTACAGTCCGATCCAAAACTGTGATTATGGAAAAATCTAGTTTAATCCATCGAAAATATGACGAAACTATCTTGATTTGTGGAATTTGTTCAAAATGGCTAAACACACCAAGAACTCTGCCGTGTTTGCATTCATACTGCGAAAATTGTTTGGCAACAAACATTAACGAATTCATTACACGAAATAGCGAAAAGAAAGATGAAAGCAGAAAATCTAGAGAGTATGAATGCCATCAGTGTAAAAAGGCCATACCACTAAAAAGTACCCCTACACCAAACAAATGGATAGAGGGATTTCCGATCAATTATTTTCTAATGGATTTATTGGATATAGAATTATTGCGAAGAGGCGAGAAAACATGCGGACCGTGTTCTAGAAATGGTGAAACATCGGATATATTGTCTTGGTGTAAAGAATGTCGCGATGGCCTCTGTCAGAATTGTGCCAAAGTTCACAAAGGAATGCGCATATCTATGGATCATACAGTACTATTAAAAGAAGAGTTTATGAAAGAGATGGAATTGTTAAAAGATCTTCATGAAGAATGCAACAAACATACTGGAAAGACGCTTGATTTGTTCTGTGTGTTAGATAAAGAACTTTGTTGTCCAAATTGTATTGCAGAGGAACACCGTAGATGTGACAGAGTTATTTCGATTTCTGATGCTGTCAAGAAAAGCAAATTAGAAAAAGAGCCAGATTTTCTCAACAAAACTTTGGAGCAATACGAAAACCATATAGACGGAATGATTGGTGATCGATCAAACCACCTCATGTACTTGGAAGAAGAAAAAACCCGACTTCTTGAAAATTTTGCATCGATACGTATTAATATCATCAATATCCTGGATAAACTTGAAAAAAATCTGAAACGGGATATCAGTCAAATCCACAACGCAGAAGTTAAGAAATTGCAGATAGAGATGGACATAAGTAAACGAATGCTTTTAGCTGTTTCTAACGCCCACAAGTTAATGAATGTGGCTGAAGTACATGCTTCCGATTCTAGACTTCTGCATATGATGGAATCCATAAGAACGCAATGTATTTGGTATGAGGACGCCATGGGAAAAATGCGGTCTCAAGTCCAGGATTGTCAATATTTGTTTGAGGTGGGCCATGCTATAGAAGTTATGCAAACAAAAGTAAAAGAAATTGGTAAAATATCCGTGCGGTACTCCCCGTCAAAATTACCGCCATTCCCAAATGTAATTTCTGTTGAACAGAATAATACCCATTCGAATCTTAATAAGTCTACTCTTTCCTTGCGTGGAAAACGTTCAGAGATGGTAAAAACTTTCAGTGCGCATGAACATGATGAGGTAAATGATAGTTGGTTCACTGGCGCTGCGTTTCTTTCAGATGGTCGGCTAATTTTAGTTGACAGACAAAACAGAAAAATTAAGCTGTTTGCAAAGAACTATCGACAGCTTAACAGTATGAAATTCAACTCTAAACCTTGGGATGTGACAACCATTAGCCCTTCCGAGATTGCAGTGACACTTCCAGAGGAGCGAGCAATCCAAATTCTAAATGTCAGCGACATCGGGTTTTCTCTTGGAGATTATTTCATTACAAGCGAAGCATGTTATGGATTGACATATGTTCGTGGTAAATTTTTCACTCTAGCCTACGATGGATTACCACCATCACTGAAAATCCTGGATTCTGATGGAAAAGAACTGGCATCAGTTGCATATGACGACGATGGGTCACAGCTATTTTCCCGTCCAATATATATAACTGCTAACGGGAAAGGTACTATGATTTACGTTGCCGACGAACGACGTGGATCTGTAACAACACTGATTGAAACAGCAGAGCATTGTTATTCTTACTCAAGTGTAGATTTAGGACACGCAGCGGGTCTTGCTCTTGACAATGAAGAAAATTTATATGTTTGTAGAAATCACGCAAAGAGTGTCCAAGTAGTTTCACCGGAAGGTGACAGAGTAAAGACTCTTATATCTCATGACATGATATCATATCCTCGTGCAATCGCATTTGATGTTAATGATGAACGATTGCTTATAACACAAGGAGATAAGAGTGAGGTGAAAGTGTTCCAGTTAGTATTATAATTAATTAAGTCATGAACTTTTATACTTCATGTAGTAAATATTTTTTTTATAGATATAGAATATACTTGAAAAATAGAAAAATATAATTAGTTGTGATGGTCTTAATTACAATAAAAAGAGTCAATTTTATCAACTACACACAATTATGATATAATAACAACCATTTATCTACCCCCTCCCCCCCCTCCACACACACATTCACTTAACAGACTCTTAAAACAATACATGTACTACAGCTAAACACATTTACAATTATCACATGCGCGCCTGTAGCACTGAGAGACAAATGTTGGACAACAGAAGTAATTCTATCATACATTGTCAACATGAATGTATTTAAAAACTGCTATGGAAAGATTAAAGGGAAATAAGTAATTTTTAAATGAAACTTTGCTATCTGATATACTGTCTTTAACATTTAAAACAAATGAATACATTTAAAGTCATTGTATTTATGATTTTGAAAACAAAGAGTGCAGGTTACCATTGAAAATAGTGGTTATTATAGAACATTTAACATGGGAAACCAAATTAACACATGTGTAAGTAGTATTAACATAATATCATAAATGTTTTAGATATATAAAAGGCCAACATTGCCAATTAGTATTAAAACAAATAAATTCATATTCGGAAATAGACCATTCGTGTTTGAAAAATAATTATACAAATTTTTGCATATAATTGAAGTGGTTAAACATTGATGACGTATAAAAAGTACAGGTATAATGCAATAGTTTGCTTAATTGGTATTGGTAAAGAATTTTTCATAAAAAGCGATTGAAAGACATACCGTTGATATACTGGTCCGAAATAATAGAATCCAACTTGTGCGTATTTGATTTAACTTATTTAATATTCGTAAGCAACGAAAAAAACATATTTACTTAATTGTTGGAAAAGAAAGGATTATGATGTACCTAGTCATGTGATAAAATTCCTACACGTACGTTACAAAATCTATAGTTAAAACAGTGCTATTAATCCCGTTCTTCATCTCCAAATAACAGTGATGTCGTCAACACCGAGCAATAGCTTACATCTCAGGTACAGCTTAAAGAAGACCTCTTGCACTGGTTATATATAGATAGATGTGTATAGAAGCATATAGATGTTGTGAATTGAGAATAATATTAAATTTTTGAAACTAATGTTGCTATTATATTTTTTTCGGCACCAAAATGTGAAGAAGTTTACATACCGTTTTATCTAAAGGTATTGGAAAATTTAACAGACTGCATTGAATGGGAGATCATGCAGTAATATGAATCAAAAGAGCAATACTAGAATGAGGCAAATCTATACAAACAAGACAGTTGCATGTACATACAAAGAAAACGTATATGAAAAGACAGCAGTTTAATCTTTTATTAATAAGAGCTCCTTTCAAAACTAGTAGTAGAAGCAGGTATTTCCGTGAGTAAGAGTATATCCTACTTTGAACGGTAATCATTATGCCCAGTGGTCAAATTTGTTAAGATCAAAATCTCTGCGACGTTTAGAATACTCAGGGGATTACTTGTGACATACTCACCTTATAACAATCGACCAAATAAATGAATATTATAAAAAAATAATGAGATGCGGTCTTATTGCCAATGAAAAACATATTCACCAGAGACCAACGGGCATGGATTTAAGAAACTATACGTCACCGTGCGGCCTTCTAAAATGAGAAAAAAAATCAACATGGTATAGTAAGCTATAAAAGGTCCCAGCATGACAGAATGTGAATCATACCAAACAAGAAAACCAAACAGCTTGAGTTATGCTTTTCTGAAAAACAAATATGACAGACAGCAACCAACAACAACGACGGATATGGGACAGGCACATAGAGAATGTGACGGGGTTGAACATGTTTATGAGCATTCAATCCTCTCTCTAACATTTGAAAATTGTGTAACAGTACATCGTAAGAACAAACTAAAAATCATGCAGTTTGAAATGGCCCAACTCAACAGATTGGTACAATGCACTAACAACAACTAACAAAAAAAAAAAGACACAAAGGACCGATCTAAGAGTACTCGCAGTTAATAAAAGCTAGTTCAAAGCCATTAAACCAATAAATAAATCATGTACCCCAGACTAGAGTATTAATCAGTACATATCAAACGGATTTAGTGTAAAGACGTCATAACCAGTCTGAAAAAATTATTACCTTGTGCAATGCAAAGTTTATTCAAAGGATTAATAAGTTTACATGGATTGTATCTAAATTTACCGACTCTATAAACAACATCACCGTATAAAATGGGATGTGCTTTCACGTTTGTACATATACAGCCAAACTCAAAGACCAAATATGTGTATCTATGAAAGAATTGTGCGAAGTTTTTGATATACTAAAATTGATATAGTGTTGTGTGATCAATGTAACTGTGTGCAGATATAAGAAACAGGAATGTAACAAATTAAAATTATGTGGATGAATGTAGATGTTATGATCACGGAAAAATTCCTATTTGGAAACTTAAACCACTTTGTTGCATATTATCAATCTTTTCACGTTCAAAGATTCCCGTGTTTTGATTGACTACTGTAAGGCGAAATATGAATAGCGATTCGGACGCATGACATGTATGTGTTATTTTCATTTACCAGCATTGTGTCTATACCACTGTTGTTGGACTGATAGTCCCAGAGAGTATCATCAGCTCAGTTGCCAGTGCTTCGGTAATGACATGTGTACCAAACAAAATTTCCTGATGATTATTTCGGAAATTATTAAGAAACTAAGGTTCGAAATCCCTAACGCAAAGTTGACCTTAGATTCATTTTGATATGCTTTTTATGTCCCTTTAATTCATATAGTTCCTAACGTTTTTACGTATTTAAACATTCCTCGCTTTCAAATGTTAAGGACTGGGCCTTCCTGGTGAAGGTAAATCCAGAAAAGTGCTTCGGTCGCACGAACATCATAAAGTATTATTTTCATTTACTAACACTGGATCGATAACAAAGCGGGTAGAGTGTAAGTCCCAGATGGTATCATCAGCTCAGTATTCAGTGCTCCGGTACAGACAAATGATTTTTAACATACTATTTTAAAATTTTAAAATTATTAAGAAACTTAGGTTTCCAACTCCCTCAGTCAAAGCTGACCCTTGGTCCTTTTTTCATATAGCTCCTAACGTTTTAACGTACTAATATAATATACATTCCTCCCTGGATTTCAAATGTCATGTTTGAGCGTTCCGAGTGGAGGTAAATCTAGAAAATTACTTCGGACGCACACAATTTATAAAGTGTTTTTTTCATTTCATGGATGTCCTTTTGAGTTCCCTATGTTTAAACATGGTATATACAAATAAGGAGATGTGGTAATTTCCAATAAGACAACTATCCACAAAAGACCAAATCGACGAGTATGTAAACAACAGCAGGTCAGCATTTATCATTTAAGAATTAGTAGAATCCATACCGTATAGTAGTCCCAATTTATGTTGAAGAAATTAAAAGAAAATCAATTGAGACAGACGAAAACCAACTACAAACACTAAACAAAAGTCATGGCGCAGCACGTAAAGAGCGTGACTGGATTATGTGTTTGTCAACGAAAACTCCCTTTCAGCATGGGAAAATGATGTAACAGCACAACATAAGAACAAGCTAAAAACTAGTTGAATAATTGTTGTTGTTTATTTCTTTGAAAAAAAAGAACATTTGTACAGAAACATTATGTTGTGAAAATATATGAAAATATTCAAAATTAACTCAAATGCATTTTGATTGTTTTGTAGTTTTCGAAGTTTTGATCTTGAGAAATGGGGAACAAGAACAGTGTATACGTGGATGTAAATCTGAAAGACGAATTCTTGTCAGATACTTTAAATTCACATAATAAATATAGATCAATCCATAACAGTCCTCCTCTAACACACGCAGAGGATCTCAGTGAACTAGCTCATAAAATAGCCTTTTATATTTCTACTAGAAACAAAGACCTAAGAGGTCGACTTACTAAGGATAGAATAGAGAATACACCTGGAGAAAATACAGCTGTAAAAATATTAACAAGAGACCAAGATTACTCAGGTAAACTCCAGAAAAGACAACAAAACATGAATACTTTGAAACATACATGTGTAACAACTTCTATCATTGAAGTTAATATACAAAATAATGTTTCAAGAATTTGTAAACCTACATTTTTAAAGCACGGAGTAATTAATTACAATGAACATACGGAAATTCGGAAATAGATTTCCAAAAGCAAAATATACAAATAGTTCTAAGATTGTTTGAATTTAACAAAACATCAAGAAATCAAACTTAACTCAACACATTTTTTCTCATTATATGGAAATATAAAGGTTTGTGAAGTTTGTATATTACACAACGAACAGTGTTTGTACCAAGTCTGTTATCAAATAGTCCGTTTCTATGTATGTTGGCATTTGTTTTTGTAGCAGTTCAATGTTTATTTTGTTCCGTTGTTTTCCTCTTATAGTTGATGTGTTTCCCTCGGTTTTGGTTTGTGACCCGGATTTGTTGCAGTTAAATCGATTTATGACTATTTATTTTGACGGTTCGAAAATTGTAACTAAGTATTATAATCTGAAATCCTGAAAATTTTACATTATTCAAACTGAGCATCATTCGGTAAAAAAGTTAGGCTAAGTTGTGTTATCTAAATATTATTCAAATTGAATACCAACCGAAGTTAGAAGGAAAATGTTGTGAACATTAGGGAAAAACAATATAAAACAAATGGAACATAATTTTATGTACAAGAACAGGGAAAAAAATACCTACAGACATATGTTTTCGTGACATAACCGAAAGTTCGAAACAAATGGCAACATATGCATCCATTATAGGCCAAATATATAGTTCTGCCTCCCTACGTACCCTAAATTTCCATGCCTAACCTACATATAACACATTTTATGGACGTTTTTGGTTACCGACCGTTACAGTCCGGACATTGTTGGTAAAGCATCGTTTAAGTCCGAAACATTTCCCTATATAATCTGTGTACAGTATTTTTTAAAATGAAATCATTTTACCTGTACCTAACCTATTTTTTCTGCCAGGAGAGAAGAATTAAGTATAAGTTATGTTTGGTGTAATAAAAAAAACTACAAAACACGATCCAATAAAGATATCAGACTTATAAGTTGAAAACAACTTCATAACGACGCATGTAAAGATATCGCTGATTAGCGTCAAAGTTTTTGTTACTCGGCCTTGTGAGAAAATTTTCTATAATGATCAAATTCAAGCATCTAGAACATGCAATTGCAAAAAAATATGACCAATGTAACAGACGTTTCACAATTAACAAGTGGCAATCACTTATTACATTACCTCCCGATGATTGTCGGACGTGCTGGCCCCGAGGGTATTACCAGCCCAATAGTCAGCTCTTCTGTATTGATATGAAATATCATTGTTACGTTAATTTTCTGTATATTCACTGTTAATAACATGTTGACCTATTCGAAATTCTAAGGGTTTTCTACTCCAGGCACATATAATTTTAGTCGTATTTGGCATAAAACTTTCGAATTCTTGGTTTTTAATGCTCTTTAGTTTCGTATTTGATTTGACCTTCCAACTGTTTTGATTCGAGCGCCATGCACGGATTAATCTGAAATAGTCGAAACGCGCGTATAGTGTACCAAATTATAAGTCAGGTATCTTTGACGAGTTTTTATTTGTATTTTGTGTATTTTGTTTGAAGTTTTCAGTGATTACTCATCTCAGTATTGAGCACCTTTTCATTTATAAAGTGTTTTACCTTACAGTAGTATTAGAACTCATTTGGTTTATACTGTAGGAGAAGAAGTTACTGGAGACTGGTATGATGAAATTAAGTACTATAGAAATTATTTTGATAAGGAGCCACCATCAGAGCTGAAAAATCCGGATGTTAAAAGTAAGTACAAACCCTTTATAGGAAATGCACATATGAATAGATGACTATAAAGTGGATACAATCTTTACTAGTGTAGCAGCAACAAAAATGCTCCTGTTTACTCATCGATATAACCCCGTTACAAAATCTGAAGTGTTGATCTTGAAAATACAAAAGAGGGGTAAAATAACCGACCTTGAAAGCGGATTCCCGATTCGTTGTTTCTAAAATGAGACGGAAGATACCAAGGGATATCCATAACTCATAAGTCGAAAGAAAATGACTTAGGCTTAAGTTAAAGTTAAGCCCATTATACAACAACTACAATTTTAATCAAACTGTGTTTCTATCTACAAATAAACTAATTCAAAACACAAATAAAAAGTCATAATACCGTGTTGTAAAATTCACAAGATTTACTTTGGCCATTGCACAAGATCATCTTTTTGCTCTGTTTGTGCATTTAATTGAATTCTCAATATATTCAGTACTAATTTACTTGTTGCTGTGGTTTCGTTGTCCAGTTTCCTTGTAGTTATTGAATTACGTGCTATTTAAGGTGATTATTATTTTATATTAATATATTTACCTTTTGTCATTCCACTGAAATATATGCAGAAAGGGGGGGGGGGGGGGGGGGGGGTTGATTATAAACAAGTTTAGCCTTACACTGGGTCATGGGTTGTCCCTTATCATAATCTTAATCAATGGTAACATTCTTTTATATCAAAGAACTGGATATTGACGATCAAACTTTGGTAGTCTCAACAAAATTTGTAAACGAACTTAGATTAAAGAGACAGGATCTAAGATTTTCCCTCAAACATAGGTTGAGCATGTTTTTTCAAGGATACAGTACATTTCGAATATAAATTACGAGCGACCGATATCTTGTTTCCTACCTTGACACTATTTTCGCGATATTTAATTTTTATCGGCAAGTTAATTTTTTGGTACAACAACAAATCATTCAAAACCGGCACATATTCATTTAACTCTCAATTGACCTGATAATGCAAAAGTGCACAAAATTCTATAGAATTAAACAATGGATCAACTAATACAAAATGAAATCTTTGTAGACCAACAATTGTGATGCAGTCGGCTCTAAAAAGAAATCATATATAAATTAATGTCATTTTTTAGAAGACCACGAAAATTATTGATAAAGTGATTATATATATGGTAAAGGTACGATCATGTCTTTTGCTGAAAATGGGGTTTGGTTGACATTTTAACATGTCTGTCTTTATTATGTTATTAGATCGCGGCTTATTGACGTATTCAGTGTCGCCTCTAATTCATAAAAACCTTTCTTTGTAAATAACTACGACTATTTTGGCATAAAAAACTAAAAAACTGAGAATGATATTAACACAAGGGAGTGATTCATTGACAGCACACTTGCAAGTGTTCAGTAGTGAAATAAATCGTAAAAGATTGCTATTCTACATTTACCAGCTTGCCCTTTTCTTAAATATCAAATACTTTATGCAACGGCAAAAGATTCACATATACAGCAACCCTCAATGACGTCCATTTGTTAAATGATTGGCTCGGAAAATCTTATCTGACTTATTGAGCTCTAAGTAGACCCCAGAATTTTAAGATTTTGAAGTATTTCCAAAGACTATGTTTCTGTTTTCTTCCCTTTTTTAGCCACGACGTCGTTCATTATTCTTCGATTTATAATGCCACTCCGTCTTAAACTTTTAAAATATGTTTGTTAGTATAAGCTTCATCTATCACAATAATACGTAAACTGTATTAAACGTAAATTCTGTTAATATTAATCGCTTTATACCCTACATTTTGCTATTTTGCCGCTTATGTCGGGCTTCTATATCAACGATTTATTAATTTTAAAGTTAGACTGAAGATTCTCACTCTCTTATTACAAACCAATGGATTAGGCAAAATCTAAGATTTTACCTCAAAAATAAGTTGAAGATGTTTTTTTAAGGATACAGTACATTTCGAATTTAAATTACGAACGACCGATATCTTGTTTCCTACCTTGATACTATTTTCGCGATATTTAATTTTTATCGGCAAGTTAATTTTTTTTGGTACGACAACCATTCGAAACTCGTCATATATTCATTTAACTCTCAATTTGGCTGATAATGCAAAAGTGCACAAAATTCTGTAGAATTAAATAACGGGTCAACAACAACAAAAATGGAATCTTGTTACACCAATAATTGTGATGAAATCCGCTGGAAAAAGAAATCATATATAAATTATAGCCAAATTTGGCAGAACCACGAATATTATTGATAAAATGATTATATATATGGTATAGACAATATCTTGTCTGTTGCTGAAAACCGTGTTTTGTTGACCTTTTAAATTATATGTCTTTATTATGTTATTAGGTCGTGGCTTATTGACGTATTCAGTGTCGCCTATAATTCATAAAACCTTTCTTTACTTCGACTATTTTGGCTTAAAGTACGAAAAACTGAGAATGATATTTACACAAGGGAGTGCTTCATTGACAGCACACTTGCAGTGTTCAGTAGTAAATTAAATCGCAATAGATTGCTATTCTACATTTACCGGCTTGCCTTTTTTTTCACATATCAAATACATTATGCAACGGCGAAAGATTCACCTATACAGTAATCATCAATGACGCCCGGTTATTAATTGATTGGCTCGGAAAAATCTCATTTGTCTCATTCAGCTCTAAGTAGACCCCAGAATTTTACGATTTTAAAGTATTTCCATAGACCATTGTTTCTCTTTTCTTCCCTTTTTTAGCCATGATGTTGCTTATTCTTCTTAGATTTTGATTGCCCCTCCGAATTGTCTTACAATTTTAAATTCTGTTTGTAAGTAAGCTTCATCTATCAGAGTTATACGTTAACTATATTAGATGTAAATTCTGTTAATATAAATCGCTTTATACTCTACATTTTGCTATTTTTCCGCTGACATCGGTGCTTCTGTATCAACGATTTATTATTTTAAAGTTAGACTGACGATCCTCACTTTCTTATTACAAACTGATGGATGAATAGATTATGTCAAAGATGCATGACAACATATTTGTTCCCTTTTTGTAGGCTCAGTTCAGATATAATTCTCGATTTCTTATTACCAACTAATGGCAGGATCTAAGATTTTCTCACAAAAAAATGTTGAACTTGTTTTTTTCAAGGATACAGTACATTTCGAATATAAATTACGAGCGACCGATATCTTGTTTCCTACCTTGACACTATTTTCGCGATATTTAATTTTTATCGGCAAGTTAATTTTTTTGGTACAACAATAAATCATTCGGTACATATTCATTTAACTCTCAATTGACCTGATAATGCAAAACTGCACAAAATTCTATAGAATTAAACAACGGGTCAACAACAAAAAATTGAAATCTTTGTAGACCAACAATTGTGATGAAATCCGCTCGAAAAAGAAATCATATATAAATTATAGCCAAATTTGTCAGGACCACGATAATTATTGGTTAATTGACTATATATATGGTATAGACAATATCTTGTCTGTTGCTGAAAACCGTGTTTGGTTGACCTTTTGAATTATATGGCTTTATTATGTTATTAGGTCGTGGTTTATTGACGTATTAAGTGTCGCCTGTAATTCATAAAAATCTTCCTTTGTAAAATACTACGATTCTTTTTGCTTAAAGTACGAAAAACTGAGAATGATATTTACGCAAGGGAGTGCTTCATTGACAGCACACTTGCAGTGTTAAGTAGTCAACTACATCGTAATAGATTGCAATTCTACATTTACCGGCTTGCCTTTTTTTCATATATCAAATACAGTGTGAAACGGCGAAATATTATCCTATACAGTAATCATCAATGACGCCCGGTTATCAAATGACTGGCTCGGAAAATCTCATCTGTCTCATTGAGCTCTAAGTTGAGCCCAGAATTTTACGATTTGAAAGTATTTCCATAGACCATTGTTTCTGTTTTCTTCCTTTTTTGAGCCATGATGTTGCTTATTCTTCTTAGATTTTGATTGCCCCTTCGAATTGTCTCACAATTATAAATTCTGTTTGTAAGTAAGCTTCATCTATCACAATAATACTTTAACTGAATTAAATGTAAATTCTATTAATATTAATCGCTTTATACTCTACATTTTGCTATTTTGCCGCTTACGTCGGTGCCTCTGTATCAACGATTTATTATTCTAAAGTTAGACTGACGATTCTCACTTTCTTATTACAAACTGATGGATGAATAGATTATGTCAAAGATGCATGACAACATATTTGTTCCCTTTTTGTAGGCTCAGTTCAGATATATAACTGGTTTTTTTTTCGTAGCGTTTTGTTCCATAACAATTATATATGCCAACATTTTTACTTTAAGTTCGTACGTGTTCTAGTGAATGAAAATATAGATCTGATTTGAGGAAAAAATTGGTCAGAAATCGCCTCTCCTCCTTCTATCATAAATTGTCCCTTTTTCTACACATATAGTATAATATCGTAAACTTTCGACTCGTATGCGTTTGTAGTAATCAATTATTCTATTCGACAATGTATATTTCTATCGATCATGGTTATCCTATTTTTGTTGGTATTTTTTAGGCTCCGCACTCTTAGTGGATGACGGTATATATTGTGTACGTGAATTATTTCGTCCATTTGTTCGTTAGGTCATTCATTTGTTCGTTAATTCGTTCGTTCGTTTATTCGTCCATTCATTTCTTTCGTTCCATCATTCTTCCTTCCCATCTCGGCATCCGCTTCTGCTTCTTAATCACTAGACAGGATGTAGCGAAACTGTCACATAATTATGTAACGGTCGATCATGTTTGCATGGGGTTTACATATTTTCAGGAGGAGTCAAGAAATGAGGATATTTCTATACTTCTGTCAACATCTAGGGTTTACTTCCTTAGATTTTTCTTTCATATACATGTATATAAATGAAAATGTTCATGATGAAATGACGGTATGTACAATATTACTTTTGTTGATAGACTTAAGTACTGGGACCTCACATAGCCGTTATGGGTAAACTAGAAAAATGTTGAGCTCTTTCGTAATATTCTCTTCTTTTTAGGCGAGTTTTAATACAATAGAGGCATCTAGTATCAATTCTAGTCTCAATTTTGCCAGTTTCAAGTTTCCCAAGAGATAAAGACCACACAAAATCGAGCAGTAAAACTGGTGTAGATGGAACATCACACAATTAAGAAAACCCGAAGTGTAATGGTCATCCCTGGACTTCTTCTGTCCGGGAGTAAAAAAATGCTGAAGAGGGCATCCGTTGGTCTTTGTAGGATGAATACATACGCAGCCGCAACCGTTCGGTTTAGGGACGTTAATTTGGACAACTCGTGAAGGGTGAGCGCCACTCAATCTGCATGGTAAAGAACCATTGAACAACTATCTTAGCAGTCTGCAGGTGGCCTGTTGCAAGGCTAAATTTCTGCCTTTTTCCAACATTTCATCATTTTCCAGTGACAGTCCAAATTTCCCTCTCTTCACACCGTCGGCCTATCTTGTCTGGCCTATCAATTATATTTATTGTTATTTTGTTTTCGTCCTGAATATGCATAGAAAGTTTTCCACGGGAAGTTAAGCTTACAACAACCCATCAATCAATCAATCTTTTTTTCTCAGGTCTGTTAGTCCAATTGTTTACAGATTGTGTAAAGTTCAAATAAACCTTATCGACATTTATTACAATCCGGATCAGTTATGAAATTACACAACTTTATCATGACGCCAGAAAGCAATTGAAGCTAACTGGGCACTGTTTAAAAAATGTATTGTGCATAAAACTCACAAAAAGAGGCTTATTAAGACCATCGTAATCAATTGAAACAAAGCATTTTTATTACTTTTGGTCTTTAACCAATTGGTTCATAAACTATCATAATTTCAATATGTTCCCTTTCTTAACTGTTTCCCTCCCTTGGCTCCTTACTAGTGATCTTTGTTTTACCGGTGCTTTGCTTTTGCGCCAATCGGGATTTCATTTGCACGACAAACTATATTTCATTTGCACGACAAACTATATTTCATTTGCGCCAAAATAAAACCTTTCATTTGCGCCAATATTACAGGTAAATACAGGTAAATAGTATAAAAATAGTTTTAATAAAAAGAGACTTTTAATAATAACTTTAAAACTCAGTTTTAACTCAGTTTTTGATTGCATAATAAAAAATATTCCTCCGAAATCAGTCATCGTAACCAAAATGAAATAATGTTAAAACACAGTTCGGTTATAAATTAACGATATCATAAAACCTAAAAGAAAGCACTATACACTGGAGTAAAACCAAAAGTTTGTTCTGACACAAGACTTGTAAGCAACGGCTCGGATGAGTATATTACACTGGATAACCTATATGTGTGGTCATAAAAAAAAATACAGACTTATTTCCTCTATATACAAATAAGGAAATGTGGTATGATTGCCAATGAGACAACTATTCACCAAAGTTCAAATGAAGTGGATGAAAGCCATTATAGACAAGTCAACCGTACGGCCTTCAAAACCCCATACCGTATAGTCGGTTATAAACAGCCCCAACATGAAAAATATGAAACAATCCATTTCTGAGAAAATTAACGGCCTGTTTGTCTCAGAATTGACAATGTCCATCTTGACACCTCAAACATGTGAACACTATACAATTTTAAATTTAAGTGGCTCTCAGTTTTATATTAAAAAATGAGTATGAACTTACTTATTTACCCAGGGGGAATACACTTAAAAAAATCTTATTCACGATGTAGCAATGAATATTTAAAAATTTTCCGTTATATGTTACCTACAAAATGGCGAAAATGTAGTTTTTATTTTTTGGCGCAAATGAAATATAACCTTGTGGCGTAAATGAAAGATTGGATTTTGCAAAAAATGGCACAAATGCAATGCGCCCTGTTTTACACCAACAAGACGTTGTCTAAGTTACTGTTTTTCTTTCGGATTGGACTAAATAGCAATAACGTCAATGGTATTGTTTACAATTTGTGCTTACAAAAGCATACACTGAATAGTGTTGCAGGATTGAAACGCGTACGATAGCATTTGTTTTAGTTTTTTTTGAGAAAAAGATAGCTCATCTGAGATTTGCCCTAATTTTCGTAAAGTTTCATTAATTATCACTAAATAATTTACATAGAGTTAAACATGTTAATATTTCAGATTTTATTGAAGATAACAATCCTACTTGACATATAAACATAGTTGCTATTTATCGCTATTTTCTTAAATTTTACTACCTTGATCTTTCTGCGCGATAATTTTTCATCTTAAGCTGCTAGATTGAGAACATTTTTTTCTCACTCGCGTAGAGTGTGAAATCGATGACGCTATAGTATAAGCCAATGTCAGTTACCCTAACCACATTATTTTGGGTTTACAGGCTTTTATAAGTTCAGGGTAGAAAGTTTAATAAGACTAAAATGATGTGATATCATGTAATTATTGGTAACAGAAAGTCGCAGACAGAATTCTTGCCAATACAAATACAAGCAGAATAAATCTACCGCTGGTGGATTGCATATTGCATTAGAAATAATTGGCTTACTGTATACATGGTATAGTAGTATACTGACGGACTTTAAAAACGCTACAGATATTTTATTGATTAAAATAAATAAGATTAATCTTCATTTAATTGATTTTCATGCTTACTATATTCTTTTTCTGATTAAAAAAAATTATCTGAACTAAACAATGTACCTGAGATAATTGGACATACCGGATTATTGACGTTGCACAAAGGAGAAGGTCCAATAAGGGCTAGTTTTGGCCTAATATTCGAAGTACATCTAATGAAAGATTTTTTGACATTTTTTAATCAATTTAGTGTCTACTTCAGTCGATTCAATAAATTTATGTTAAAGATTTAAACTGATTTGGTCATTAGAGAAGCTCAAATTCACACTTAAATATGCAAAATCTATCAAATATGCCATAAGATGTAATTTTTCAGATGTTTTTTTTTGTCTAAAATGGAAGTGGCCGCATTCTTGTTCAGTCTCAACCTTTACGTATGTTATGTATTGTCATCAAATACAATATATATTTAAATATAAAGACTGAACACAAATGCACTTCCAATTTAGACAAAAACTGTCTTAAAATTAGGACAAATGCTAAAATTGTGAAGATTTCAGTAATATTGCACGAATTTATGATGCTATTACCTGCTGCATGTGCATTGTATTGTCAAAAACAGACCATATTTATGGAACAGATGTATTCTAGTTTCCAATAAATAGCTAAAAGTTTGCATTTTAAGATATTGGTTAAAATGCTATATTTTGGGACCAAAAGGGGTCTTACCGGGCCTACTCCTTTCTTGACGCTAGATTTGAAACCATGCGTGATTTTTAAGGTCTTTTTCTTCATGAAACATTCCTTTGAATCCATACCTTAACTTAATATAAGAATAAGAAGATGTGGTAAGATTGCCAATAAGACAACTCTCCACTAGAGACCAAATGACATAGAAGTTAACCGCCTTCAGCAATGAGCAAAACCCATTAAGATTCAATCAGTAAGAACTTATTGCGTTTCCATTTTGCCGAGACTGAGCATGTTAAATCTGAATCAAGCTATAAGAATGTTGCATGCAGGAATAAGTCAAATTGATGTTGTTGGACAATTTCAAGTCAGAACTTAGAATAACGGTACAGGCAGACGGGATTTGTAATTGACCACAAATGACCAGTTCAACCTGTAGTTCCATCATCAAATTAATCAAATTTCATAACGCAACGCCATTTGCGAAAGAATTTTACGACTGCAAGTCAACTGCAAATCTAATTGCACGATGTCATCGCAGACAGATTCACGTCAGAAAACATTTTCCATTTAATGAAATTCAACAGAATCCATTGCAGAAAATGATTTTGAGATTAAGAGTTTAAACTGCATAATTGCCAACACAGACTGCAATGGGCGAGATAGAGGCATAATCTTCATGGACAAAACTGAGCTCAAAACGACTCCACATAACTGGTCTACGTCTCTGTCAATTATTTAGGCGTTGGTTTCAAGCAGTTATTGCCTTTTTAAAACTCGTCAGTATATATGATTACAGTAGTACATGTATTCGATGCAGTCGTTGTAAATATATAACAAATTATTTAGTAATTCTTATTTTTTTTTTTATTTATCAAAATAGATTTCACAAACTTCACACAACTTTTATGGAGGAATAGCAAAGAAGTCGGATTCGGTAAAATTAAAGCTAACAACCGTGTAATAGTTGTAGGCTGTTACAGACCAGCAGGAAACATAAAAGGGCAATATCAACAAAATGTTTTACCACCAGTCCAAAAATCTGGTTGTTGTTCTTGCTGTTAACTGTGTGAGGAATTCTTGAAATTTTATCAAATTTTCAAAATCTCATTTCTTGAAAGGTTCTTATCAACATCAAAAAGTTTTGAACTACATTTGTTGCTTTAGAATAGTTCAAGAACATGTATCGAACGTATTCAAGAACTTGTTTTGAACTACTTCCTGACCGGTATTTAATTTATGTAAAGACCTGTCGGGATTTGTTTAAAATTGGCTTATGAAGTAGTCTTAAAATGAACCAGATCTATAAAAATTGCTCAAGTAACTGAGAGTCGAAAATGAATGTAGAAATTCAACTCTTGATCAAATACAAAAAAATGATAAACACAACTATGTAACATGCATTTGCCGTATAAAGTTGAACTGTGATAACTTATTTGTATTAAATTAAATTGAAATAAAAACAAAACTTCCATTTAATGTTATCATTTTCTCTCCTTCAATAGCAAACGGTGAGTACAACAGGCTTAAAGAGCTTGGTGTAAAGTTGGTTTAAAAAGTTGCTATGTGAATAAATTCAATATATTTTTACTGGCTGTAAACCTCTTTGGAACATACCAATTATTCGTATATGTTTGCAGCTATATCAGAGAAGTTCAGGGTGGACATTCCAAATGAATCGACTGATATGCAGCAGAGATTAACATTTTTTAGATTTCAGATTCACAAGCTTCTAATGCAATTATCTCGATAAATTCTGAACATAAAACATCGTGTAATAACACAGTTTAACAAATAAATTCTTTAAAATGTACGAGTGTTATTAAAAAATAACTTTTGATCAGTGTTGTCACCGGTATTGTTTTTTTTCTTCATTTTCTCGACGTTTTGAACGAAGAGTGAATTTTCTATTGTTCTCGTTCACTAGATTTCCCACTGTATCTCGAAGCAAAAAAGAAACGAATTTCCATCGAATGCTCCTGAAAGACAATAATATTCCTTCACGATTAAACGGCATAAAAATTGACTTGAACAAAGAAACCAAATTGAAAATTCAGTTAAAAATGAAGGAATTGATATGTTCACAAACAAGCGTTGGTTGAAAATTACAGAGAGGGTCTGAGAGACGTGCTTAACATTCCTAATCAAAGACTTACGGTTCATGTGGATCTTATAGATAAAATGGTTATGTGTTTACACCTGAATGTTTACTCTGAGTACAACAAACATGTGCAGCTGGAATAGTCTTAAGGCATAGCATGACCTAGATAAGTAAATTCAAATGCATTTTATGTATTGGAACATAAAAAAAACTTAACTTGATTTCGCTGTCCACTTTTTTTTTCGTTATTTATATTTATATTTATGTTTATATCAGATGAAATGACGATCGGCAGTCTTCGGAGGACATCTCGAGGTTTAATTAGATAACGTCTATTCTAAAATACGCATGGAATGCTGATACATTTTAACGAGTCCAGAGATTGTAAATTGTTTCTTTTGTACTTTTTGTACATATATTGACTCCTATGACACAAAAAAGTAACATATCGTATTGGACTGTCTATATCTTTTGTCGCATTCTTGTCTGAGCTTTCTACTTGGCTGCATATTTTTATATATCTGAAAATACGGTGGTAACAGTTTGAGAAATCACATGACAAAGCTTTTCAACTTAGTTTGTTTCAACTTTTATTCTCCCAAATCTTTGAAATCAAGTTTGATTGTCCCTTTATTTAAAGGAGGAAATAAATGTAAAAGTGATCCAATCTCATATCGAGGAATAAGTTTAGCACCGTGTATCGGAAAAGTGTTTGATAAAATCATTGATTTAAAACTTGAATTGAAAAAAGACAACAAATGCTTTCCAAACCCACAGCAAACGGCATATCAGCAGTGTCTATCGTGTTTACATACATGATTTAATATCCATGAATCCATTTATCACCATCTTGAAAGACTAGGAAATGTTATAGTTGTTTTACTTGATTCAACAAAAGCATTTTATACGGTTTGGCACAATGGAATGTTGTATAAACTGCTTGAATATGGAGTAACAGGAAAATTATGGTTGCTTATAGCTAATATGTACTCGGACGCTAAAAGTGCAGTTCTTTATAATGGTCAAATCTCACGTTTCTTCCCAGTTTATCGTGGTGTTCGCCAAGGGAGCAGCTTGTCATCTAAATTGTATCTGTTATACATTAATGACTTGTTAGAAGAGCTCTCCGACTGTAGACGTGGCATACTCGTAACGGACATTCATATTTCATCACCCGTTCAAGCAGATGCTATCGCTTTGATCAGTACTAACTGTTGTAACATGCAGACGATGGTACGAAAATTATAGCATTGATTGGAAATTTAAGTTTAACCCACTGAAATGCATTCAACTTAATTTTTCCAAATCAAAACAACATACGGATATTCTACTGTACAACAGCAGCATACAATTGGAAATTTCCGCAAGGCACGTAGGAGTGCTATTGAACAGTAACCTTAATTCTATGGACAGAACACTTCAAGCCTGCAGAACATTACGGTCTTCAGCATTAGGGTTAATCAAATCAGATTTACATCCTTCTGTTATCAGTATTGACACTTGTAACCGTATAGTTCGTCATGTGTGTTTCACGAAAGCTTTTTTCGGATGTGAATTGTGGACCGAAATTACCAACACCGAGATTTTATTACTAGAACGTGCACAACGATATTTGTGTAAATCAATACAGGGACTACCAAGGCAAACTAGATCTGATATGGTAAATGTGTTGATTGGCTGGAAGTCCGCCGAGTCATACATAGATGAACGGAAATTATTATTTCTTGGAAAGTTAGTGTTAATGAAAGACTCAATGCTTCCGAAGCAGATATTTCTTACCCGAGCTATGGAATTTAAATATAACTGTGTGAAACACCAGCTTGGGTTTATTCCTGAAATACATAGAGTTTTGATCAATTATAGATTGTCAGACTTTGATACTTACCTGAGTACAGGTCATTTCCCAACTTACATTCAATGGAAGAAGAAAGTCAAAGTCGCCGTCCAAGAAACCGAGGAATCGTTGTGGCGTTGCAGGACACAAATAGACAAAGATTTTAAATTCTTCAGTCGTATACATACACTTTCAAAAGGTCTTCATCCTGCTTGGACTTTTAGCTGAAAACATCCATTACTTATAGAACAGTGCCGTTTTATTGTCAATCTATGTACCTTAACCCGTCCATACGAAGAACCATATTTTCTGTGTGACAAATGCGGAAGGTTTTTCGGTGATATAACTATTCACATCGTACTCTCTTGTGAAACTTTCCAGTCAAAAAGGGACAAGTTTTGGTGTGATTTAATAGATATAGGTCCAATCGAATTCAGTGCTTATCTACATAGTTTAACTGACGAAGACTTTTTAGCATGCATCTTATCATGTCATACAGACTTCGATCTAGACGAAGATGAACGGACTATGTTTCAAAAGGCCTGCATCACAAACATATACTGGATGTGTGCGACTTGAATTGAATGAATGGAACAATTTCTACATATTGGACAATAATTTGTGTAAAAGATTTTACTGTGTGAACATTGCTACTTTCGTAGGCTGATAAACATTTAATTTTCTTCTCTGGTTACGCATTCTTCACGTTTATATATTTATGTAAAGGTTAATTTTGATATATTGTTTGTAAATATACTGTCCTATCTTCCAACTTTACTTTCACTATCGATCTTACTAATGCTCTTCATTATTGGAGGAAATAAAGATATATATATAATATTCCTTCACGACTAAACTGCATAAAAATTTACTTGAACAAAGAAACCAAATTGAAAATTCAGTTAAAAATGAGTCATCAAGGGATTGATATGTGCACAAACAAGCGTTGGTTGAAAATTACAGAGAGGGTCTGAGAGACGTGCTTAACATTCCTAATCAAAGACTTACGGTTCATGTGGATCTTATAGATAAAATGGTTATGTGTTTACACCTGAATGTTTACTCTGAGTACAACAAACATGTGCAGCTGGAATAGTCTTAAGGCATAGCATGACCTAGATAAATAAAATTCAAATGCATTTTATGTATTAGAACATAAACAAAACTTAATTAACTTGATTTCGCTGTCCACTTTTTTTTTCGTCATTTATATTTATATTTATGTTTATATCAGATGAAATGACGATCGGCAGTCTTCGGAGGACATCTCGAGGTTTAATTAGATAACGTCTATTCTAAAATACGCACGGAATGCTGATACATTTTAACGAGTCCAGAGATTGTAAATTGTTTCTTTTGTACTTTTTGTACATATATTGACTCCTATGACACAAAAAAGTAACATATCGTATTGGACTGTCTATATCTTTTGTCGCATTCTTGTCTGAGCTTTCTACTTGGCTGAATATTTTTAATTTATATTTTATGAACAATATTGGTAGACGTTATATAGTGCTTTGGTGAAGGCTTCGACTGAACAGACTCACGAATACTCCTAGATGTGCAGTAACTTTCATATTACAGACTCACGAATACTCCTAGATGTGCAGTAAAATTTCATATTCTCCAAAGAAACTTTGTCTGCAACGATAGTCCACTAGATCACTGGAATTGAATTGAGCTTACATTGCTTGAAAACTTTATTCATATTCTGTTTATCTGCTGGCTTTGGTTTTCTCGTTTAACTACTTTTCTCAAAACCTTCAGACTTCTATAGCAATAATGTACACCAAGCCAACTATTATCGTCCGCGACTTCAATGCAAAAGTTTTGCGATCCTTGATCAGCAAACCACTTACTTTTCAACATTTCTCGATAGATTTATAGAACTTCACATTTACAAACTTTCACATCAGGATTCATTCACATATGCTAGTCATAGTGTAACGCGCCACCGGTATGTTAGACCAGATATAAATACAATTCACGATCTTCTTAATTCTGCTAAAAGGCCGTTCGTTCAAGATAATCATTTATAAAATGTAACTAACGATTATCCCGTTATTTGTTCGACTTAGCTAAACCATGTATGCATGCACAATGGTTTAAAGCAATTGATGACTATACTTTTGCTGTGTCGGAATATTATTGTAAAAAAAAAAGGATAAAAGGAATCGTCAAAAATTCCAGACAGTACAACAGACTAAATGAACCAACAACATCCGACTTCTCCCTCTTCCTCCCCCAAAAAACAGACATACAAACAACAACGAACAACTTATGGTCCAGACAGACTGACTTGGTACAGGACCACAATGTAACTGAGGTTAAAAACATTTTAACGTGTGTACAGCCCCCTCCTTTGTCGGTAGAAAACAAAACCATACAAAACCTTCTCAAATACTAAAGAAAAAAAAACGTTTTGCAAATTTCACTTTTAAATATATTGATGATATCCTGTCACTCAATAACCCACATTTCAGTAAGTAAATGTATCTCATATATCCCAGTCAACTTGAGATTAAGGATATCATCGAAACTAAAAGGTCTACTTCATATCTTGATGTTTCCTCGATATTGACACACATGGACGACTTCAAAGTAGAAATTAGAATCTATGACAAACGGGATGATTTCAACATTCCATTTCTTAGCAGTAAATAAACTCATCATAGATACCATGCAAGTTTTAAATTATGTACGCCAGACGCGCGTTTCGTCTACGAAAGACTCATCAGTGACGCTTGAATAAAAAACAAAATAAAAAGGCCAAATAAAGTACGAAAGGTTCAGCCAAATACAGCTAAGGTAATATATTCCTGGGGTCGAAAATCATTAGTATTTCGTAAAAAAAAATTTGTGTAAACAGTTAATTTATGATTATGACCATATCAATGATAATTCATGTCAACACAAAAGTGCTGATTAACATACCCTCTGCACCATCCTATGGCGGTTACATAATTGATGCGTTACGGTCGTGCATGTTCATACTATACGGACTTCACTTGTGGGGTGTGCTCCTTTCACAAAAGTTATGAGGACGAGGAAGAGCGACTGACAACGACACTACATAAGTTTAACGGCCACCTCCACGGATTGGTTAAAAGATATATCTGCTTATTAACTCACTACCGACATGTTTTCGCAGTTTTAAATTTTATAGATACCAGAATAGTGGTTAAATCTATAAGTATACCAATGGTGTCCTATTCCCGATAGTTTGTAAGTTCTATAAACGACATTACAAAAAAGTTGGATGAAAGCTTTAATGTAATCGCTCGTATTATAATTTTACGAGAACCATTATATTTACGGATAAGATGGTGATACCGGCTATAGAATGTTGTGTTTAGCGCTGACAATGCCAACACAATAGCAAGGATTGAAAAAACATAGTGCATTGGGTCTTTTTATCTTGCAACAATGCACATTTCTTTGTTGATTAACTCGAAAGTATATTAAAATATCGAGAAATACTAAATTATTTTCATAATCAAGTGGTCATATTTATCTATTCAATTATTTCCAAATAGCGGGTGATGAAAATATTAATATTAAAATGAGAATGGAAGAGCGGAATTTATTTACATCCTTTTTTATTTACACCCTTGATTTTGCAAGCAGTTATATTAATGTTATATTATTATTCTCCACGATTAGGTTTAGCTAAACATAAATAACTCTTGCATAAATGATAAGTATAAAGTGTTCATGTTGTTGGATTTATTAAATGATTTTATGTAACAATATTTTAGTATTAAGTGAATCATATACAAATTAATTTGTTTTTATGATCTTGACATCAGATTGATTAAGACGGCTTTGTAGGCTCATGTTTACTTTATTGGTCATTTAGCATGAGATTTGATTTATAACTGAATTATTAATATATTTATGAAAGCTGTAGTATTTAATGCACTAGAGTAAATATTAAATTAACTGAGAAAATTTCAGACCTTTTTGTTCATATCCCTTTTAACTTTTAGCTCCTCAAGTATTTATTTAACCTTGGTTTTCAAATTGTTTGGATTTGAGTGTTTTAGAGCTTCTGATGAAGGTTTCACAGAAAAGGGCTCGGACGCATCAAATTTATATTATGAAGTGGTATTGTTTTATTCTAGAGAATTAACATATTCAATATAATATATTTGCAGAGTTTCGTTACTATTTCTAAACATTTACTGGGCGATATGAGGACTAAATATCAGATGAAATACCTCCAAAAACGTTTTATGTTTGTACAATTTGAAAAATTAAAACAACCAAAATTGTGTGCATTGTCTTTGATAAATACTATCTCAAGATACTAAGAAGAGATTACAAATTCTAGTGATTCCTTTACCGAAGAGAAAATTTTAGAAGTAAAAATGACGGATATAAAATCGGCTGCTGAACACAATAAAATATCACTATAGAATTGAGTGTTTCTTTAATTACACAATACACCTTAGATATCAAATTTAAGATCCCATATTCGGTTATGAGTATGATATATGATATTGAATATTGTCTAATTTGTTAAAGTATATTAACCTCACGATGTTTTTGTCTTTTTTTTTTGAAGTCGTCGTGTTACTGTCTCTTTGTATATCCAACATCTCCTTTATTTATGTCTTACGATTTATGTACACTCGATAAAATCTATTTCATACAAGTACATTTACATGTGCATGATGATTTATGTATATACATATTCAAACACATAAACATGTACATATGTATGTATATACGGCACACAAACATACAAACACATAAGCATGTCTATGTTTGTATATACTGAACACAAACATACAAACACATAAACATGCACATGTTTGTATATACTGAACACAAACATGTCATTAATGCATCGATCTCTCGATCTTTCTAACATTGATTACTTTACATATAATTGTTTTTTAAATGATATTTGATCTATATATGAAGATTAGGTAACAAGCGAAATAGTTTCACTTGGACTGTTTTTGACAAAACATGAACATAGACAAAACCTTCATTGGAAACGACTAAATGTTTACCTTACATAGTTATAGTTTATATTGTTGCTTCACCGGTAATGTGTAAGGTATGTATATTCCTGTTTCGTAACTTTTTTCAGTTTACATGTAAAACATATAAATGTATTATATAAAATGTGTATAAAGCATAAAATATTCATAAATAGATATTTACAGTGGCACTTTCAAATTTCAGTTATAACGTCTTTCACTTTTTTTGAACGTTGAATATTTAATAACAATAACATTGCATAACAAACAATCTCAAGTTTTTAATATTCACTGTAATTCATTAATGAAAGAAATAACTATCAATTATGGTTTTAATTTTTAATTTGTAAACTTTCATATCAAGATTATTTAAATTATTCTATTCAAATTATTTGTATATGTTTATGTTTATTTTTTAAAATCTTTCCTACATTCTTGCAAGATGCAGTTTGTATGAGTTTTGATTCTTCTTTTGGTATCTTCCGTCTCATTTTGGTATTGAAAAGTTATCTTTTTGTAATATCACACAAGTACTTTGAAATAACGACTATAAAGGGAATTTATACGACTTTCTTATACAGACTACACAAAAGTCACAATGGTAATGACTAATATTCCATCATCGAGATATGGGAGGAAAATCAACTGTTCCGGAAATCAAGAAGGATGACTGGAAAGATACTGCTCTGCGTGCTCATAACAAAGTCCGCAAGCTACATAATGCACCACCTTTAAAATATTCCAAAGATCTCAGTATGTACGCTCAAAATCATGCACTTTATCTAAAAACTAAAACAAAAGTGCATAGAAGTGGTATGTACTGTCAAGGAGAGCATATTGGTGAAAATATTGCAGAACGTATTTTACCAGCATCCGTCAAAGAATATGGAGGTATGCTATAAATAACTTTACAATCCTAATCAATCACTGGGGTCTCCTTTGGAATTTCAGTCAAGATGAAGAACTGAATCTTCCTTCACTGTACTTGGTATCAAAGTTACTTAAGTGTCCTTACAAACAACGTAATGTTATTAGGACTGACAAATGCTCCACGAAACTTTCCACATTATTTTCTAGTTCATCGAAGTCAGTGTTACTGTGTAGGGTCGATGTAATATAAATACCAACAATTCCAATGATCTGTTAGAGTACATACAATCTAAATCTATTTCCAATAGTATAATAACAGTTGTCTTCTCAACCCTTTACACTACAATCATTCTTTATCAACGAACGAAAGTTTTTTGCCATGTTTTTGTCTTTCTTTCTTCGACTTATGAGTATTGATTGTCCCAGTTTTTTGCCATGTTTTTGTCTTTCTTTCTTCGACTTATGAGTATTGATTGTCCCAGTTTTTTGCCAAGTTTTTGTCTTTCTTTCTTTGACTTATGAGTATTGATTGTCCCTTTGGTATCTTCTGTTCATGTTTTTAACAACGACCTGTCCATGAAGCAGTTATCACAACTTTACAATTTATCGAAAACATCATTGAATAATAAAACATGTGTCTTTTTCGAGTATTGAGAAAAATGGTCATACATACGTTTGAGTGCGAAAATTAAATACACCGCGTTTCTCATACAATTGAATTTTCATTCAATGATTTAAATTATTTATATAAAAAGATCATACTCACGAGCTGCCTTCGAGGAAAGATTAAACGAGATTTTAGTTTATAATCTTGACAGTACATAGATCTATCATCAAAATATAGACAATACAGACACATCATTCCTAAAGACTTGTCAAAAGAAAATACGATGATCTTAATTAGATAATGAATTTTCTATGGTAATCTTTGTCGTTATGTTAAGTTTTGAAACAAAGACAGTTTATATTGTATTTACTACTTTTAACTTGGATATCAGATCAATAAAAGCGAAATTGCAGTTACATTTTTGAAATCAAATTTAGCTTTCATGTTTGGCTGATTTAGATTTGTTTCCTTATTTGCTTTACCACCATAAATTTTAATGTTTGCCTGAGAAAATTTCTCCATACTACTGTAAACGAAATGTTTTTATTTATTGAAAGTTGCATGAATATCGTTGAATTTTCAATGATACAGTACAAATAAGAAATTGCTGCTCACCTGCCCAAAGAGACAGCGTCATGCAGCTTTTAGCATATCATTTGGTCCTGTCCCCACGCCGTGCCATATAAAAATTAAAAAAAATTGTGGTATGATTGCCAATGAGACAACTCGCCACCAGAGACCAAATGACGTATATGTCACCGTACGGCCTTCAACAATGAGCAAAACCCATCGCCTGTTCGCTTACTCTTTACATTATCATATTCTTCTTCTAGGCCAGTTTGAACTTTGTTTTGAAGGGATACTGTATATATAACCCTTCTTTTATGACAAAAACGTTTTCTCTTCTACAATAACAATAACATTTATTTAATTTGACTGTCTAAAAGATTTCTGATTTCATGACCGGATGGAATGTATTGCAGCTTGATGACACAATGCCATAAGAAATGATATTTCATTTTCTCTGAAACCCGTTTGAGAATATATACAAATTTGACCGCCCCAAGACCCGTTCATGAATTTTGTTATATGGTATTTGTCAGATGAAAAAAATGATTCAGAGGCATTTATTTTTATTCTAATCGCTCAATTTAAGTTCTTCTTTTATCAGACACCACAAAGCCAAATGTGTCAATAATTTCCATATTTTCTTTATAGACCGCGCTCTGACGTCTCACGTCCCCAAGTAAGACAAGCTCGACAATCTTAAACTATAGTTTTCTATTATATTGTTTGGATTTGTTGTTTTTGAGTACTTTGTGTATTAAATACGATAAAAACAAAACATTGCGAAAGGATAAATTCTTCTGATGTGTCCCAATTGAAGCCTTTGATAATATTGCTTTAACCGCCTCACTCGATGTAACAGTAAATGCTTTCAGTGCATTTTAAGTAAAAGATTCGTTCAAATAATTATGTGAATTTAAGTGAAGTGAATGTAATTCTAATGGTACAAATAAGGTAATAATGAATAAACCAGGTGAGCCATCATTCAGAATCCTAAGTTAAGCATCTACTTTTTATAAATATAATCACATATAATAAATAATAAAATTATGTATAACGTAACATGTTTGTTGTGGGTGAAATGACCTTCAGTGATCAATACATTATACTCTTATGTAGGAAATGTCAAACAGGAAGTTATACGATGATTAAAGACTAATTTCATTGGATGATTGGACTGCTGTTCCAAAACGGATAAAAAAACTCTAAACTAGTTAAATTCCAATATGATTTAAGAGAAAACAGTTAATCATATTTTTCAACGGAAGGACCTCCTTGTTTTGTCAGTTTTTGTTTTTACATTTCAACTTTCATAGGTGACCGTGTCTATACAAGATAATGCAAATATCTTTATATCTTTTTAAACAGGGAAGGATGTGACACAAGACTGGTATAATGAAATAGAACAATATAGTTATTACGACAACGACCCTCCAAATCGCACCAAGACAAGTAAGAAAATACATTGAATTGTAAAGGTCATATTCAAAGATTTACCAACGATATATTTGTTCATTTTAAAGAGTACTTTGTAAAATTAAAGATAAGTCAAACTAAAAAAAATATTATTGATTTGTTAAAGTATTGACGCTTTTAATTTTACCATTAAAAGAAAACAAAGTTTATCGACAGGTTGTAGGTATTCCTATGGGCACTAATTGCGCCCCTTTAATAGCAGATTTATTTTTGTACTGTTATGAATCACAGTTTATGACCAAACTCAGTAAAGACCCGTCTAAATTGCATTTAATTGATAAATTCAACAACGCTTACCGTTATCTTGATGATATTTTTTCGTTAAATAATCAAGAATTTTCTCAATATACTGCCGAAATTTACCCAAAGGTAAATCAAATTTAAACGGTAACAACTGTCCTTTCCTAGATTTAGATATTTCGGTTTTACACGGGAAACTCCACACTAAAATTTACGACAAAAGGGACGATTTTTCGTTCACTATTGTTAATTTTCCCTTTTTGGATGGTGATGTTCCTTTGGCACCATCTTACGGTGTTTATATTTCACAACTCGTTCGCTATGCCCGTGTCTGTTGTGACGTTTTTGATTTTAACGAACGTAATCTTTGTATTACTGGTAAATTATTAAGCCAGGGATTTCGTTAACACAAATTACTTAAAACCTTTACTAAATTCTTCCACAGATATAAAGATTTGTTTTGAAGTTTGGTTGTTACACAGTACCTTTAGAAAACTTATTTCAAACGGGATTGCACATCCTCATTTTTACGGCAATAAAATTTAGAAACGATCCTGGTAAACTTATCGATCCTTTAAATAAGCTTATTCTAAAAGGTTACCAATTCAACACTGTAATTAGATCATTAAATATTGTTTTTATTGGTACTAATATTGATTTTGTTATCAGTAAATTAAAAGCAAACTAAATATTATTGTTGTATACATTTACACATTCATTGATCTACAATCTGTCGATACCTGTATCTTGGCATTGCACAAGGTCGTGTTTTTCTCTGACTGTTTATGACGTCTTTACCCTTAATCCATTGGATGTTGGATGTGTACGGATTGATAATTTAGTCTTAGATGCATGATTTTTTTTATTAGTTGTTAGTGGCTTTGAACTAGCTGTCAGTAACTGCGAGTACTCTCAGATCTGTACTTAGTGTCTTTTTGTTGTTTGGATGTACAAGTACCCGGCCACGTCCACTTGTATTTTTATTATTTGTATTTTTATCCATCTGATGAGTTAAGCCTCTTTCAACTGATTTTTATAGTTCGTTCTTATGTTGTACTGTTACACCACTGTCCCAGGTTAGGGGGAGGGTTGGGATCCCGCTAACATGTTTAACCCCGCCACATTCTGTATGTATGTGCCTGTCCCAAGTCAGGAGCCTGTAATTCAGTGGTTGTCGTTTGTTTATGTGTTACATATTTGTTATTCGTTCATTTTTTGTACATATATTAGGCCGTTAGTTTTCTCGTTTGAATTGTTTTACATTGTCATTTCGGGGCCTTTTATAGCTGACTGTGCGGTATGGGTTTTGCTCATTGTTGAAGGCCGTACGGTGACCTATAGTTGTTAATTTCTGTGTCATTTTGACTCTTGTGGAGAGTTGTCTCATTGGCAATCATACGACATCTTGTTTTTATATTAACAAAAGGACGGTCTTTATCAGGAGAAAGAGAGTCTCAGAGATTGTATATTCAGCAGTTTTATTACATTATACATCACAATAATGATTTTTTTTAATCTTTCAGAATGCCGAAATTTTACACAGCTTATCTGGAAGGACACAAAGGAAGTAGGATTTGGTATGACAGTGAAAGGAAGGCGCGTGATTGTAGTGGCATGTTATAAACCTGTTGGTAACATAAAAGGAAAGTATCCTGATAACGTTTTGCCACGTCTCGTTCAGGAACAATCTGAAAGAAGATTTTCCAAGTGTTTGTCTCCACGTGATAATGAATCAGATGAGGACGATAACATTTGACATTTGTGTTAGTAATGATATAAACAGCACTAATTATACTGCACTAGATGCGCATTTCGACAATTAATGTCTCTTCAGTGATGATCTAGCAATTAAAAATCTTTAAGGTATCCGTAATGATATAAAAAAACGTGGTTATCTAAGATTGTTTTAAAAGTAAAACATCTCTAAAATATGTGATTTATTTTAAGAAATGATAATAAACTATTCATTTACATGCTGTTCCGATGTTTAACGACATTACGTCCGTTATTTTCCTGTAACACCCGTTTTTGTGATCACGATGTCACTAATTGTAAATATTCCCTAATGTCACGTGTAATGACGACGTTAAAATATTAATATTTTCTAGTTGATTAAACGCAGAGTGCACGTAATTGGGCGGTACTTCGGATTTTTTATGATTTTTTTATGCATTTAGAACTCCTTAACTGCATTAAAAGATATATGTAGCATTTATATTTTCAAAGATAAAATCGATTAAAAAATTGCAACACAAATGTTTAAATGTACAGAATGCACGTAAAAAGCCGAAATATGCAGTTTTAAGCTACTAGAAATGTCTTCAACTGTCTGTGATGGCAGCCTATTCATTAACCGCGCTATCTCTTCCTGAAACTAACGTTCCTTAAATCGGTTAATGTAATAGTGCACCAATTGTATTCAAATGCTTGCTTGGTTTACATACACCTTCGTGCTCATGGAATAATGCTTATCTATTGTATCTTAAACTTGAAATTTTTTATGGTACATACTGTCCATTATCAAAATAGTCACATGTTTTGTTTGACAATAAGATATGATTAAATTGAATTTAAAATACTTATCTCAATTTATTAAAATATCCAATTTAGTTTATTTTATTGAATTCAAGACCCCCAAAGATTAAACAACCAACCAACTAACAAACCAAAAAATTAAAAATTAACAAACAAAAAAACAAACAACAACACCAACAATAACAACAAATGAACAAAACAAAGCAAAACAGAGGAAGAAGGAAATATATAACAATATAAAGATAAATAGCATGAAATATTACATCTAGGAAAACCCAGATGCACAAAAAGCAACTAACAATGATGTTATGGAAATCAATGTTATATGCAATTGGTTTAACAATGAGTAAAATTTAAGTATTTTTTCTTTGTTGGGTATAAGAATACTCACATTGGTATATATGAAGCTTTAAAGTTGTTGTTTTTGTTGCAGTATTCCCCCTCATAGTATGGTTATTTAGTAAGGATCTTAGAGTACTATATATTCAAGACTGCATGTTATTTGCTTAAAGGTTAAAGAAAACAACACATTATAAATTTACTGCGCTTAAAGCGCGTATCTGTATTCAGCTTCATCAGTAACGTTCAAACCCAAATTTTCAAGAACCAAGGATTAATAAAGATTTGAATACGTGCAGAGCTTTATGATCAAATATGACTTGTTAAAATGAAATCAAATCCACCTAGGGTCGCCTGAGGAAGTTAGAATCTTAGTTAACTAATCATTTCTATATTTATCTACGGATAATTGAGGAGGAGTATGTTCTAAACTCGTATCACGAATGAGGAACTGACTGCTGATCTGATGAATACTCTTGGTGACTAACATTCCACCAGCAGAGAAGAGGTTGTTTTCCTTAATAGTTTTGCTTACAATACATGTATATTGGAGAAGTGAAGCTATTGTTGGTAGAAGTCATTAATCCACGCAGATTTAATCTTATCCGTTAAACAAAGACTTTTTTTCAAAAACCAAAACCTACAAAGTCGAACCCTATGTGAATCCACCAAAATGAAATACGTCTCTGTCTTCACAAGGCAAAAACTTTCTCTGAATCTACAAAACAAAATCTTTCTCTGAATCTACAAAACAAAAACTTTCTCTGAATCTACAAAACAAAATCTCTGTATAAATCATAACCACATGTGACCATATATTTCTCCCATTAAGTAGAAACCTCTGATTTGTTGAATTTGATAGTTTGATAGTTGTTAAAAATTGCCCAACTGTCAGAATTTAAAAAAAGATGTTTACCCTTTTTAAGTATGATGATGATAATTTACAGAAGTTTCAAATTTTAGATGTTCAATGATTAAATGAAACATTTACACGAAGAAGCTATGAAATAATGGTGGAGATCTAAGAGTTTGTTTATAAGAAATCAATATGGTGTGTTTTGCCATGTTGCTTATTGGATAGTGTTACAAGTCGAATTTGTCAAACAAGTTACTTTTTGCTTCATACTGACAGACAGGCAGACTAATCGATCGAGATATATATATATGGGTGGATGGATTGATGGAGAGAGAGAGAGAGAGAAAGAGAGAGCAATAATTCCCAAATGCCAATCAACAAAGACACAGATAAGGTCACATTATATATTTGAACATACAATGACTACGATGGTACACATATGGAGAACATGTATTCAAAATAATTTAACAGCAATTTACAGTACTAAAAGAATAATGTCACATAAAGTGTCCATTAATCACAGAAGACTGAGAAAATTCTGACAGATTGATATTTTTGCGGTCGATTTCAACAAAATTATAATACATAATATTTATGAATTAGTTTTTTGCCAAGCTGTCGATTTAATTGTTTATCTAATGTATGATTTCTTTATTCAATGCGAATATGATAATAAATTTTCCAATCATATACCTTTATTTTTTTTTATTATTTATAACTCATGAAAAGGCGATTCTATTCGCATATTTGCAGGCATTGAATCTAGTATTTTCATTTCAATTATAAGTTACTTGTTTACTATTTCAATATACACTTTCTCAAAGGAAGTGACATTCCCCTTCTTCCTTCGTCCATCTGTTCTTTAAAAATATAACTGAATGAAGAAATGCATGAAAAGTTTGATTCCCATAGCATACATCTGTTCCAAAATCGCATTATGAACATCCCCGTAACTTTTACATAAATGTAACTCTCTGTTTATAAAATCTTCCTTCGATTATTTTTCACCAAAGGCGTCTTAATGTTCTATCTTGTTCTGTTATTTGCCGTCTTACACGATGTGGTATTGAGTAAGCCCAATATTATTTTTATTCTGGTGGATGATTATGGATTTAATGACATTGGATATCACGGTTCAGAGATCCATACCCCTAACTTAGATAGCTTGGCAAATGATGGAGTTAAATTAGAAAACTATTATGTACAACCAATATGTACACCTACTAGATCCTGTCTGCTGTCTGGAAGATATCAGGTAAGAGTAGAACAGAATATGGTACAAGTAAATTGCATCTCAAATAGGTCCTGTCACTGTCTTTTATCTAAGCGACTTGAGATCAGCAAATAATGCCACGCTCAAGACAGATGAAAGGGCATGCAATTCGGTGTTGGTCGTTAGTTTCTGTCTTTCATATTTGTTTTTTCGTTTATGTTTTTTCAATATTCAGACTGTATGTTTCCTGGTTTGAATGTTTTACATTTTGTCTTGTTGGGGACTTTTATAGCTTACTATAAGGTATGGGTGTGGTTCATTATTGAAAGCTTAGTTTAAACAATATTTATTCAGATAAATCATCACATAACGATATGATACATTTGAAATAAATATATAGGATTCAGAAACAAGCAAAGTTGCTTTTACAAATCTGTCTCCTAGTACACAATTAATACACTTAATAGGCAAAACATAAATATAGACATTGGCATGCTCTGCAATAAATATATGAATGAGAAAAAGGTGAAAAGCACAATAGAAAAAAAAAGAAGAATAAACAAAAATATGAATTGAAAGCTTAATGGTGACCTATAGCTGCCTACATTCATGTCATTTGGTGTCTAGTGAATAGTTGTCACATTGGCAATCATACCACATCTTATTTTTAAAATATATCATGTTCTATCCTCTTATGCTGAACCATTTCTATTATTTCGATCACAATTCTATTTACGGGCTCACAGATATAATTATGTCGCCGACTTGTGTCTGTGTATATATGTTACAGTGAATTTGTATAATCAGGGATTCTAAATAATCCCTGAAATTTTCAGGGATTATGTAAAATAACTGGTTAGTATAGGGATTATATATAATCACTGAAATTTTCAGGGATTATGTATAATCACTAGAAAAGACGTCAGGGATTATGCATAATAACTGAAATGAAGAAACAGTTTTGTGTATGAAGAAAATGAATGTAAGTTAAACTAAATAATTTATAATATCAAATCATAATAAAACTTCATTATAAACATCCTAAAATATTTCCATACACCAAATTTGTAGACCTATTGCATACAGTATAAGAAAAACAGATCATAACAAAAAAACTGAACTATAACCACTGAACCATGAAAATGAGGTCAAGGTCAGATGACACCTGCCAGTTGCAAATGTACACCTTACAATCCTTCAATACACCAAATATACTAGTCCTATTGCTTATAGTTACTAAGATATGGACTTGACCACCAAAACTTAACCTTGTTCACTGATCCATGAAATGAGGCCGAGTTCAGGTGAAAACTGTCTGACGGGCATGAGGACCCTGCAAGGTACAATGTACGCACATACGAAATATAGTTATCCTATTACTCATAATAAGAGAGAAATTAACATTACAAAAAATATTTCACTTTTTTTCAAGTACTCACTGAACCATGAAAATGAGTTCAAGGACAATGGACATGTGACAGACAGAAACTTCTTAAAATAAGGCATCTATATACAAAGTATGAAGCATCCAGGTTTTCTACCTTCTAAAATATAAAGCTTTTAAGAAGTAAGCTAACGCCGCCGCATCACTATCCCTATGTCGAGCTTTCTGCGACAAAAGTCGCAGGCTCGACAAAAATGATAACCTTAAAGTATAATAAAAATGTAAGGCATAATATTTTAAAATGCCACACAAAATTAAAATATTAAGCACTATATATTAAAATGATAACCTCAATATATTTTACACAAAATACAAAAATGTTAAGCACAATATATTAAAACATTCATTAAATAAATTTGGATGGCAGAAACTTTTGCACATTTGCCCTGTTTTTCTACAGGCACATCTACCTGATTCGCATCTGTTTTACTACACTATCCACATTAAAAAAAACCTTGTCTTTCTCATATCGAATCAGATTTTACGGCATGTCTAAGAGAAATAAAGTTTGTAATACAATCATCTGAAGGTACCCAAAAAAAGGGAATCAGCAGCCGTGAACTGATTGCTGATGCTAGCAGAATTCTGTTGCGTTATTTCTCTCAGAATTGAATTTCATGTTCTTTATCCCCTCTATGAACAACGCCATCAATTCAACTCGAATCAACCACTGATTTGTTATAAAAACTAGTATACTTATGAGACGTAAATCATATAAATGGTACTTCTGTTTTTGTATATCTAGTTTTGACAAATTTTGCTTTTCACAAAATATATATTTGTTTCGTCAAATATTGAAGACTATCTATTTTTAGATCCATGCCCACCAACCCCGTCCCCTCCTATAGTACTGCATAATGCTGTAAAGAGTGTAATATGTATGAAATATATAGGATAATAGCAGCCTTAAAACAATTTAAATATATACTTTGTTAGCAGATAGAATTAAGCAGGATTTTAGTCTTTTTTACTTGGTTCTTTTGTCATCAAAGTAAAAATACCATTTTTTGTTCCTTTTTCCATAGCTTGCATTTTGTATTTTCCTCTGCTATACTTATTTGTTTGTGAAATATTGTGGTTCAACATACAGTTAAATAAAATATCACTGGTAAAACCTTTCCCTTATTTTTTTTTTCATTATTGATAATCCCTGAAATCATATTAGGGAATTTGTAAAATAATTAGTAAAATGTTCAGTGATTATGTAAAATCACTGGTCATTTTCAGGGATTATATATAATCACTAATGAGTTTAGTGATTTTACATAATCCCTGAAAAACCAGGGATTCTACATAATCCCTGATTATACAAATTCACTGTAACATATATACGTAGACAATACTTATCAGACACATACTTCAGAGATCATTCTGTACACGTACTAGCAGAGAGATGATCTGCCCAAAACACAAAACTAACATAAAGAGACGAACAAATATTTAAGAAGAATTAAGCTCGTTTATTCCCTAAACTATCCCTATGTATACATGTGCATGGCGTCAACACTCGATCCTTTTTACCAAAACCTGCACAGTTACAAATAGTATTCCTTATTTGGGAAAGCAAATGATAAAATGAAAAACTGACAAAATTTGTTAGGCAGATAGTGATGGTTATTGGGATATAAAACACATAATATGCTCATATATATGCATACATAACTTCGTCTTTAATTTAGCATGTAACATCAGATTTGCAATTTATCCTTTTTTTCTCTCCTCGTTTAGATTTGAACCTTTGCTTCCGTGACATCACCTTCTGCATTGTTTCAAGTGCCCTAGACCAATCGGCCAAGTAGGCTATATAAAAATTTAGCTTTTGTTAGAAGATCAATTCCTCACTTCTTCGACTTGATCTAGGATTGCATCGCAGTACATCATGTATTATCGCATGTAGATGGAATATCGGCTTGTTGTTTGTTTATTTTTTTATCGTAAAGGATGATACAGCTTAGGGATAGGAATGTGAATTTATGACGAGGTTATTGTTTTTTTTTTTTTTATCTCAACATCTCTATGTTAATCTAATGTGGCAATCAAATAGTGTTTCCTTTTCTATTTTAAAATATTTCGTCGTTTATTGAAAGATGCTGTTGATATTATAGCTTAGGTATGTACATTTAAGAATTAAAAAAATAAACTAATACTAACCCAAATGTATTTTCGGTGTTTAAATTCCAAATCTTACCGATGTTGTGCAAATACTTTCTGCATAAAACTACAAATGAAGGGTTATCAATAAATTAATTTGTGTCATAAACAAATGTAATATCTCACTGGTGAGGATACACAACCGACTTCCAAAATCTTACTGCATACTTTAATTTTATGGTTTGAGATTCTTGATATATTTACAGATTCATACTGGATTGCAACATGGGAATATAGCGCCATCTATCCCGAATGCCTTGCCAACCGATAGTCTGACTATAGCAGATAAAATTCAACAGGCTGGATACAGTACACACTGTGTTGGGAAATGGCATCTTGGTTTCTACAAAAAAGAATTTCTTCCAACAAGACGAGGATTCGATACATTTTATGGTGAGTTAAATAATATACAATTCACACAAGTTTAACTATGTTATAATGGCTAAGGCAATGCCATATCCTAAAGAACAAAGACCTAAAAGTAGCAAAATGGGCTACCATAAACCATAAATATAACAAAGACAGACAGCTGACCAATAGAAGAACTTCTTTTGTTGTTGTTTTTTTTTTTACTCTAGTAGATAGTTGTCTCATTTGCAACCATACGACATCTCCATAATGTATTATTTAAAAGACAACCCACCAAACAAAACGTCACACGAAAAAACAAATAATGAGCAAGTCAAAATCCTCCCTCCCCCCAAAAATAACATGAAAAAATAAATATAAATATAAAATATACCAATTTGAAGTCTCTGTTATTTAAAGTTTATACAGAATGATGAAAACGGTTTATCTTCCTGGTGAAATTTATACTCTTCTTGCAAAGCATTCCTTAAATGCGTTAAACACTGTAGAATTGACTCACAGTAAACGAATTGATAAAAAAAACAACAACAAAAAAAACAATTATGATATAATTTTGTCAATAGATATAAGAAGATGTGGTATGAGTGCCAATGAGACAATTCTCCATCAAAGTCAAAATTTATAAAAGTAAACCATTATAGGTAAAAGCACGGTCTTCAACACGGAGCCTTGGCTCACACCGAACAGCAAGCTATAAAGGGTCCCAAAAGTTACTAGTGTAAAACCATTCAAACGGGAAAACCAACGCGGGTCTAATCTATATAAAAAACGAGAAACGAGAAACACTTATGAACCACAACAACAAACGACAACTACTGAACATCAGATTCCTGACTTAGGACAGGTGCAAACAATTGTAGCGGGTTTAAACGTTTTAATGGTACCAAACCTTCACCCTTATCTGAAGCAATAGTGTAACATCACAACATAGAAAGACACACTATAAAATATCAATTGAAATTGCTTAACTCAATCAAAAGACATATTAACACCCGTGAACATACACTGAACAAATAAATTTGATCTATGATACAATGCAAATACAAAATAAGTCAATGCATGTTTGTTATTTCTAAACAGGTTTTCTGGTCGGTTCTAAATCCCACTATCAGCACAGACGTTGTCACAAAGGAATGTGCGGGCTTGATTTTAGACAAAATGAACGACAAATACGAACCAATCGAGAATATTCGACTACTCTGTTTTCACGACGAGCTGTGGATATCATCAATAGTCACCAATCGTCTCAGGTATCTTATCCAAAGTCAGCAATTAAACTTCGGTCCTAAGCGAATACGTTGTGCAGTCTATGTATCCTCCGTTAACCAGTTACAACATTTCCTTTATGCAACAATAAGTTACCTATTTCTCGATATCTCCAATTATTTTGAAAAAAGAGAAATACATTTATAACATGCAGATTAGGCGTTAGCGACGCGGATAAAGGCAATAACTGTTAAAATCAGTAATGCGTTTATAAAATAAACTTATCATAGATACAAGGATTAAATTTTGTACGTCAGACGCGTGTTTCGTCTTCAAAAGACTCGTCAGTGACGCTCGAATCAACAAAGTTAAAAAGGCCAAATACAGTACGAAGTTGAAGAGCATTGAGGGTCCAATATTCCGAAAGGTATTGGCAAATACAGTTGTGTTTTATTAATAACATTATCGATACCAGTTTTACTGCACTAGATGCGCATTTCGACAACTAATGTCCATTCAGTGATGCTCGAAGCCAGAATATTAATAATTAAAACCTAATGCAATAAAGAAGACCTAATTATATAAAAAAGGGCAGAGGTCTATAGTTCTTTGAAACAGCAATTAACGTTCTGTTTTTGCTTAAGCAAAGGAAAGTTCTGGCGTGAATTAAACACCACACACCTTTTGGTCTTCGTCAAAACGGAACAATTGTCCTCCACAAAAAATAGTACACCAATACAATGCTTAAAAGAAATAACAACAATGACATTGTTTTGTTAAGATGAAATAAAAAAGTATTTTAATGTGTGGTCAAATAGATTTCTTAAATAATGCACTGAAATCCTTTTTATATACAGCAACAATTCGAAAAAAGAAAGAAAGATGTTATTTACAAAATATATTATATTGAAAAATATCGTAAAATTTTCGTCAATTTTAAAAATGGATGATAACCGTGAGTACAAAAAGGTTAGTTTTTCCCAGTTTGATGAACATATACATTTCAATCATTAATGGCTATTTTTTATTTACTTCATATATTGTAGATTGATAAAGTATTGTTTACCTTCATTTGCAGCCTTTGTTCGTGTATGTACCATATCAAGCTCCTCATTCTCCTCTACAAGCACCAAAGAGATATATTGATCAATACAAAAATACCATTCCGGACAAAAATAGACGACAGTATGCAGGTACTTTAGAGAATCTCATGAGATATCCACTAAGATATAATACAGCTACCCCAAACATACTTGTACGAGATATCTAGATTTTACTGTACACTTCTAAAAAAAAACTCGACATATATTGGCAAATGTATGGAACGATGTATTGAAATTCTCAAGTCTGAAATAAAAGAGTCCATCCTCTAGATAAACGACAGCTAGTCGATAAAGATTTCTGTTGTCTTTTATGAGTGAACGTATGATGTCCTTGAGTAAAAACACAGTAGTCATCTTGAACTTACTAAAATGAAAAGTTTCAGTATCCAAATTTAAACTTAGATTGAGCAACAATTTAAACAGTCATGTCGCGCGGTTAATGTATGTTCAAATACACATTATTTGTTCTAGAAGATGTGGATGCTCCGAATCTTTATTTATATACATGTTTTTGATACTATTGGAGGGATGACATATTTACAACCTTGTGTAAAACTATTGTCCTCACGTTTGCTTCATTGCCAATTTAAACATACTTACATAATCGATAAACTTAATTTTCAATTAAAAAAAAAAAGTGAATAGTGAAAACAATTTCAGAACCCTTCACTTCGTAGCAAAAAAGGGCACGAGTAGCGTTTGAAAAGTTTCAATGTCTCGCGCAACCTCAACGGTCAAGTTGTTATGCATGGCCTATTTTTATTTTCCACACACTTATAAGTTTCGACATTACCATAAGCAACTGGTCGTTCAAGTAAAACAAACTTTCATACAAAGTGTTATGTTTATTTAGAAAGAAAATATTGCAACTAATTAAATGTATTATGCTGTGCAAAACACTAATCTAAAAGCCTACTTATAAATACTAACTTCGTTAGAAAAAGGCAGATGAACCTCATCAGCATCATGAATGAACGAAACTGAAGAATAAGGACACAATTGAATGTTCGACATGACACACAAAGATTTTAGAATTTTGTTAATTGTGTATTTTCACATACATTTACAGTTGACATATTTTGTTTTCTTTGGTAGGAATGGTTTCTGCTATCGATGAAGGTGTTGGTAATATAACGAGAGCCCTAAAGAGAAAGGGACTCTGGGATAATACCATATTTATCTTTTCAACAGGTAAGGTCATACTGATAAAATATAAAAGTATAAGCTCTCAACAGATAAATTATTCAATTAAAATGAATTTCTATCATCTCACAAACAAAGAACTTATTATCCCCTGTTTGCTTTTACAACTGACAACAAACATCACTTACTTTATTATGCCTCTATATTATAGAAATCAAAATGACTTTTACAGCACAGTTAATTTACTAAATTTCTTGCAAAAGTACATGTGTGCGAATATTTTTTCCTTGCTCTTGAAGAAAAAAATAGTATTAAACTGATGAGACCTAACTTTCAATTGCATTGTTTCTGAAATTTAAAATGTCCCAATGTATGTACCATATATGGCTTCATAGTTATCAGAATAGCAGTAGATGAAAATGAATTTAAGACTTTCAAAGACAAATTACCTAAAATTTTCCACAAACAAAAATGATCAAAAAGATTTCAATATAAGTTACGTAGTCGAATCCACGAATTAATCTCGCCGCAATAAAGCCTTTTTGTGCTGAGGGGGCGTAAAGCGAACATCAATCTATCAATCAATTATTAATCGGCCTTTCCATTTTAGTACATGATTTATTATAATGATACTATGTTCTTTTATGTTTGGATTTCACTTATTAACATGCATACAAAATTAGTCAATTGACAGCTTTACCACACCATTTGTTTTAGGTTTGTTTCTGCCATTGGAAAACTATGTTCTTAACATAAATCACAAACTTAGATGTAAAAATTATAGGGAAATACGACACTACATAATATATGTAACAATCATATATCTTCCATGTTATTTAAAACCTAACACCTTCAATATTTGATAATTTTTGTCATGTAGTTGCCTTGTAAAAACCACACTCTATAAAATAATTATTCTTTCTAGATAATGGTGGTCAAATCAGTAGAGGTGGTAATAATTATCCATTGAGGGGAAATAAAGGAGGTAATTTTGAAGGAGGAATACGTGGAGTAGGATTTGTGTGTGGCGGACTGGTTAAAAATAAAGGGACAGTATCTCAAGAACTTATGCATGTTACTGACTGGTTTCCAACACTTGTTAATCAGGCTCAAGGAAATTTCGTAGGGGTAAAACCTCTCGATGGTTTTGATCAGTGGAATTCGATAAGGTTTGTCCACATTCTGTATTTAGCTAAATCATGATAAGAAATAGAACCTTGTTGTGGAATTCCTTGCCTTTGACTTTAAAAGAAAGTAAAAGTATAAATGTTTTAAAACAAAATGTCAAGCTTGAAATACAAGAAGAGAACTTTTCGCAGTTTTAATGTCACAATTTTACTATAAATATACTTTTTATTCAAGTCAATGGTATTTGTCTGTCTGTACTATATATGTGCTCTTGTATGCAGTGTAGTATGTTTTTGCTTTATTACCCTTTTGTTTATGTATTATTATCTTTTATAGATTGTGTTTTCTCACGGTACCCAAATTTAACCTAGTACCGAATTGCGCCTATTTAGCAAAAATAGCAGCGGAAGTCTTACAAGTTTTCTTAGAGAATAAACGATCTGTATTTTTATGATTTGACATTATGCACGCCTTTCAACATAGCTAGATATATTGGAATATACACAAAACATTCACAGTATAAATATCAAAGATGAAGTATCCACTGGAAAAAGAAAAATCTACGGAAACGTCGCCATGCGACGTCCATAAAAATATGTTGCATGATCCATTTCTTAAAAAATGAATAATAAGCATGGACCATTGTCAAATTGTTCTAATAAAATACTTGGAGAAATAAAACAAAACATCAGTTATTCGATTTTTACGGATGTGAATTTAAGCATGGATACAATTTGGGTACTCCTCATAACTGAATCACGGATCGTTTAGAGGTCGGTTCAAACCCATTTTTCTATGATTCAGTATGAATTCAAGAACTATATAGTAAATAAGGATATAACTACAAAATAAACACAGAATAAACTTTGTCTGGATCATAAATAAACGTAAGTGAAAAACTGTTAAAATAGGTGCAATTTGGGTACCCTCACGTTATGTAGATTAGAAGGCCACTGGGCGGATTAACTGTTTTGTTAACTGTGTAACCTTCTGAAAATAAAGAATGTATTATTATTAATTATAGAATATTAAACTTAACTTAATATGTCTATGTGAATATTTATACGAAACCTAACTTAATATGTCTATGTGAATATTTATACGAAAATACTTAACATTATTTTTTTTATGTTTTTCATGTAAATATAATTGTTCAGTTCAAATAAATAAATAATTATCAGAACTTAAAAAAAAACTATTCCTGCTAAACTTCAAACTCTGTTGCATGGTTATAGCATGTATAGTATAGACAAGAAAACGTTAATTTTTCTCAAAGTACAGAAAATATATTGCTTCTAGTCGCTTTTTATAGAGTATAGATAATTGCTAATATAAACGTTTTCAATTTATCTACTTTGTTGTTTGTTTACTCCGATTGAAATTGAAAAAAAAAATCGGTTAAAGACATGGATCACTCTCGTGATGTATATAACATTCTATTATTTTGACAACAACGGCTTCTGATTGCTTTAATTTAAAATTAAAATCTTACTTTCAGAATTAATATTAATTCCGTGATTTAAATCACCAAATTGTTCTTATGACAAATAAATTTACGAGCAACTCGACTTTTAGAAAACAACGATCCGTTTGGTTTCAATACTTGTTCATCAGAAGGAATTTACAAATGTTGCCGTTGTTCACCCCCCCCCCCCTTTAAACACACTTTCCAAAAAAAATGAAGAAAAAAAATCTTAGGCGCCAAGAAAAGTTTTAAGGCTTAGAAAGAACTGAATAAAAATATTTAAATGCATTATATCTTTCAGAAAAATAGAAAAAAAATCCTTGATTTTGTGATTCGTTTGGCATAAATTTGGCAACTAGACTAAGTACCCCTTTAAAGTTTACAGTATTCAAAGCCATACACAGGAGGGGTTGCTTGAACGTAAATTAACTTTAGACTCCGTAGATTTTTCAAATTGTTAATTAAATCTCATAAGTTTTTTTGGTAATTATACTCCAATGTTTAGGCCAAAGAGTCCTTTGTTCATATCCTCCCGTCTTCTTTGGGAGTTCTAATGTGTTGACAATCTTTAAGATATATGAAGTTTTTTTGTATATCCAGTTTGAGCGAATATAAAGCTTATATGTCAAATGAGCAAGAACGGGTACATGAGTCTAAAGATATTTTCATTAATTTTACTTCTTTATTTTTATTTTTGTTTCTGTTTTATGTTTACTTTCGATATTGTTCATTGCGTGTATGTTTACTTTCGATATTGTTCATTACGTGTATGTTTACTTTCGATATTGTTCATTGCGTGTTTGTTTACTTTCGATATTGTTCATTACGTGTTTGTTTACTTTCGATATTGTTCATTACGTGTTTGTTTACTTTCGATATTGTTCATGTTTGTTTACTTTCGATATTGTTCATTACGTGTTTGATATTGAACAAATGTTATGTTACTAAATGTTTTAAATATTATTAAATCTTTTTAAGTTTTGCATAATACATATTTATTTTTGATTTTGATTTAATATATAAGTGGAAGAGAGAAGAGCCCTAGAGAAGTCATACTACATGGCATTGATCCCTTAGCACGACCGCAGGGTAAATCGTTATTAAACAGTAGTTTTGATACGAGGACAAAAGCTGCTATTCGATATAAAGACTACAAACTTCTGACAGGAAATCCAGGTAAATATTAACTTTGTTTGCAACATTTATACATGTATATTACCGTATAGCTTGATCACGAAACTCCGTTTGATTTAATGGCAAAGATTAAGGAATTTACCTGTTTTTTTATTTGTTTTGGAGGGTTTGTTTTTTTTTGCATTTTCGAATGCAAGGCATTTTTGCAAAAACATTATTCTCTCTCTCATCGAGACTGTCACCAATACATGTTCAGATCTTGTTGGTTATTAATTGCTAGTAAATATCTGTTTTAAATGCAGATATATATGTTTAAATGCAACCGGTTTAAATGCATACCATTTATAATTTTGTTCGCACAACTTTTACGTTTACATCAGACACTCAAAAGTTATATGAAATATTGTATTTGACAATATACAATTATGGCCCGTTGAAAAGGTGAATATCCAAAATTGTCAACACGAGAAGTTATTACCCAATAGAATTGTTTGAAACATATGTAAGGTATAATAATACAAATTATTCATCAAAAAGGGATTGAAATTGCATATCAAATTTACAGATAGCCCAATGAGAAAAATATTTTTTGACGCAAGGCTTTCATCTACATCTTTTAAAGTTTCATATTTTTTTCCTGTTGCAGAAGGTGGTAATGTACATATTTGTTTTGTACTTCCATCTACTAGTTGGCACTCCTGGTCTACGGGGTCATGTAAATTTTTGGTATTCTTTTAGAATCCATCGTTCGTAAACTTTTAAATCATCAACTTCTTCTCAGAAAATGTTTGTCCAACTTAAACTTGACAGGATTTCCTAACATTTGTTGTTTATACCAATGCATTATTCTTTTGAAAATTCCAAGGTCAAATTTGATATCATTTATATTTGATCCCTTTTTGCCAATTGGTTTTGACATTAACAGAACTGCGACGATGAGCGGAATAATTACAATCATAATCATCAAACACATACAATAGTTTAAAAATACAATAATATAATTGTTTCGAGTTAATTCATATTTTGCCAGATATCAACTGTAACAGGATATATGTTTTTTGTGAATCTATTCGAATAGATATTCCCTCTGTATCTTCCTACAATATCACATGAAACCAGAACCGTATTACCTTGTTTGCCATAGAAACGAGATCCAAGAGATCAGCGCCTTATGTATGCCCAAACTTTTATTTGAAACTATTTCTTGTAATTTGTGTATCAGAAAACGTAATATTCTCTGTGTACTTTTGAATTCCTTTTTAAGCGTAATACAGCCACCAAAAATTGTCTTTTTTGTCAACTATACAAATTTTCTGCATCCACGGTATAATATTTGCCACTTAATACTCCAATAAATAGAGCACTGAACCAGGACAATGGTGCACAGAACGTGGACAAAGTCATATTAACCTCAGGAAAATTTCGTTTTGCGTTATTCGTTTGTAATAAAAATCGTTGTAGTATAAGTGGTGAAAAAGTCATCAATAGAATTGTTGTTTTAATTGTCGTTCTATTACAATGTTATAAAACCCACACCACCGATAAGGACCAATTCACCATCCAGCAAAGAAGATTCTCTCGCAGGACAACGTAAGTCAACGTGCGTTTGTTAAACTTGAACCATGTACATGTAGATACATAGAGATATCTTTTGGTTTTTGTGTTGCTGGGTTGCTGTCTAATTAATGTATACGCAGCATTTCCTCTAACTCATACGTTAAAATAAGTTAGATTTGATTAGGTAAGAATTTTAACGTTTACGAAGAATAAGTGGATACTATATTATTACGATTGTATGGCATTCAATATCAGAGTATATTTTCATTTAAGGGTACAAAACTTATAATCCAAACCCAAGAACAGGTTTGGCAAGAAAAATACCGGAAGAGTCAAGAAAGAAAAACGTTTGGTTATTTAATATAAAAGACGATCCTTTAGAGACAACTGATTTATCAGCAAGACGTCCACAAATAGTAAAGGAAATGTTAGAGATGCTAGCTCAGTTTGAAAAATCTTCTGTACCTGTAAGATATCCGCGTAGTGATCCACAGGCAAATCCTGAATTACGTGGTGGATTCTGGGGACCATGGCGTTAACGAATATCATTCTCCACTACGCATGTGCTTTCAAAACTCTCTCTAAGGAAATTAAATTAGAATTAAAATAACATGTATATAACAACATAAGTAGATATAAGAAGATGTGGTATGAGTGCCAATGAGACAACTCTCCATCCAGGTCACAATTTGTAAAAGTAAACCATCATAGGTCAAAGTACGGCCTACAACACGGAGCCTTGGCTCACACCGAACAGCAAGCTATAAAGGACCCCAAAAATGACGTGTGTAAAACCATTCAAACAGGAAAACCAACGGTCTAATCTATATAAAAAACAAGAAACGAGAAACACTTATGAACCACATCAACAAACGACAACCACTGAACAACAGGTTCCTGACTTGGGACAGGTGCAAACAAATGCAGCGGGTTTAAACGTTTTAATAGTCACCAACCTTCACCCTACCTGAAACAATAGTGTAACATCACAACATAGAAAGACACACTATAAGACTTATTCAGTTACATTATATAGACTATGTAACTATGTTTATACAGAACGGCCATCTAGTATTTGAGGGGTATACATGTGGTGATGGTAGCAATATATAATGATTTGAAGTCATTGGGGGATTTTGTCGGCCACGTTATATTTTGTGATAAAGCATTCTATTGCATTGCTTACTTTGACGACGTTGAATAAATGGGCAAAGTGGTCTAGTTTTACCAACTTTAGAAATATCAAATCTAGATGGGGTATCTTCAAAGGTACAAGGACAATAAAATAGGGTTAAAAAAAATAATCATATGTAAGTTTTCAATTCATGAGTTTTTAATCTCAGAAATAAGGAGTAAGAAGGTTGGTGAATCATACTGATTTCAATCTACGTCCAATCATGGAGTGCTGTGAAATATAGTAAAACTTGATATTGGATCGAATAAGAAAAATGTAATGTTGACGTGGTAACTGGTGGCTTTTAATAACTTTTTGTTATAAGTCGTCAAATATTCAAGGTCAAAGGTATTTCGAATATAATCTAGACAACACTGTAGAACAAGTTTAATTCTAATTTGGGTTTTTTTTTTCCAATTGTTTGTTTGATTTTTATTTATTATTTTGTTGATTTTGTTTATTTTTTTTTGTTTCTAGTCTTTTGTTGTTTTTTGTCGTTGTTTTTTGGAGTGGGGAAGGACATAACGACATCTGTTTTTTTTGTATATCAATTTGCTGGTTGACCTAAGATAGAAAATATGTTTTTGACGTTTTGTTTGTTTGTTTGTTTTATTTTGTTTTGTTTGTTTTGCTTTGTTTTTATGTTTTTTTGCTTTTGCTTTTTTGGGAAGGGGGCCTGCGGGGATAACAACATTAGTTAATAGATCAATTTACCCATTGAACTTAAGGGACCTAAAAGGAACAGTCAAATGCATATCAACTTTGCCTGAGGGATTTGGAATCTTAGTTTCCTAGCAATTTCTTACTTCATCAACGAGGAATTTTAGAAAAATATGCTATAAGTCCTGTCAATTTATTAGCACTGACTAATGAGTTGATGAAACCCTCCGGGACTAACTGTCCACCAACAGTGGAAATTGATTCAGTGCTAGTATATGAAAATAACACTTTATAAATTTCGTGCGTCCTATGCTCTTTTCTGTATTTAGATTTATCTGCTACGCTTTTCTGGACTTAACTTTATCTGCAACGCTTTTCTGGACTTAACTTTATCTGCAACGCTTTTCTGGACTTAACTTTATCTGCATCGCTTTTCTGCAAGGCACGAACCCAAACATTTGAAAATCAGGAATGTATAAATACTAAGACGAGTTAAGTCTTAAGAGTTGTGTATGACATAAAAGGACATAAGAGGAATAGCCATATTCATGTAAGGTTAACTTTGCCCGATGGAGTTAGAACCTTAGTTTCCGAGTAATTTCTTAATTCATCAAAGGAAAATTAAAGAAAAAAATATGTAATAAATCATATCTAAATGCTGTGATTGAAATAGAATTTTTTTTATTTGTTTTAATTTTTTGATTTTTAATTTACATCAACAAACTTTTTTCCACTGCATAACACGAAACGAATAAACTACAGCACAATATAATTTGTCACAGTTGTTGGTCGACATCTGTCCAAATATTACTGCAAGCTGCTGCTATGACAATGATAATGTAGGTCTACATCTGTCCAAATATTACTGCAAGCTGCTGCTATGACAATGATAATGTAGTTCTTCATCTGACTAAATATTACTGCAAGCATCTCTTGTTGTTGTGAAATTGATAATGTAGGTCTATATCTACACAAATATTACTGTAATCATCTCATACTGTTGTTACAATGATAATGTGGGTCTACATCAGTCCAAATATTACTGCAAGCATCTCATGCTGTAATGACAATGGTTATGAAGGTTATATCTGTCTAAATATTACTGCAAGCATCTTGTGCTGTTGTTACAATGATAATGTAGGTCGACATCTGTCTAAATATTACTGCAAGCATCTTGTGCTGTTGTTACAATGATAATGTAGGTCGACATCTGTCCAAATATTACTGCAAGCATCTTATGCTGTTATGACAATGATAATGAAGGTTACATGTATATCTGTCTAACTTTTACTGCAATCATCTCATACTGTTGTGACATTGATAATGTATGTCGACATCTGTCCAAATATTACTGCAAGCTTCTCATACTGTTGTGACATTGATAATGTAGGTCGACATCTGTCCAAATATTACTGCAAGCATCTCATGCTGTTGTGACAATGGTAATGAAGGTTATATCTGTCTAAATATTACTGCAAGCATCTTGTGCTGTTGTTTCAATGATAATGTAGGTCGACATCTGTCTAAATATTACTGCAAGCATCTCATGATGTTATGACAATGATAATGAAGGTTAAATGTATATCTGTCCAAATATACCTGCAAGTATCTCATGCTGTTGTGACAATGATAATGAAGGTTATATCTGTCTAAATATTACTGCAAGCATCTTGTGCTGTTGTTTCAATGATAATGTAGGTCGACATCTGTCCAAATATTACTGCAAGCATCTTATGCTGTTATGACAATGATAATGAAGGTTACATGTATATCTGTCTAACTTTTACTGCAATCATCTCATACTGTTGTGACATTGATAATGTAGGTCGACATCTGTCCAAATATTACTGCAAGCATCTCATACTGTTGTGACATTGATAATGTAGGTCGACATTTGTCCAAATATTACTGCAAGCATCTAATGCTGTTATGACAATGGTAATGAGGGTTATATCTGTCTAAATATTACTGCAAGCATCTCATGATGTTATGACAATGAAAATGAAGGTAAATGTATATCTGTCTAAATATTACTGCAATCATCTCATACTGTTGTGACATTGATGATGTAGGTCGACATCTGTCCTAATATTACTGCAATCATCTCAAACTGTTGTGACATTGATAATGTAGGTCGACATCTGTCCAAATATTACTGCAAGCATATCATGCTGTAATGACAATGGTTATGAAGGTTATATCTGTCTAAATATTACTGCAAGCATCTTGTGCTGTTGTTACAATGATAATGTAGGTCGACATCTGTCTAAATATTACTGCAAGCATCTTGTGCTGTTATGACAATGATAATGAAGGTTACATGTATATCTGTCTAACTTTTACTGCAATCATCTCATACTGTTGTGACATTGATAATGTAGGTCGACATCTGTCCAAATATCACTGCAAGCATCTCATACTGTTGTGACATTGATAATGTAGGTCGACATTTGTCCAAATATTACTGCAAGCATCTAATGCTGTTATGACAATGGTAATGAAGGTTATATCTGTCTAAATATTACTGCAAGCATCTCATGATGTTATGACAATGAAAATGTAGGTAAATGTATATCTGTCTAAATATTACTGCAATCATCTCATACTGTTGTGACATTGATGATGTAGGTCGACATCTGTCCAAATATTACTGCAAGCATCTCATGCTGTTGTGACAATGGTAATGAAGGTTATATCTGTCTAAATATTACTGCAAGCATCTCATGATGTTATGACAATGATAATGAAGGTTAAATGTATATCTGTCCAAATATTACTGGAAGTATCTCATGCTGTTGTGACAATGATAATGAAGGTTATATCTGTCTAAATATTACTGCAAGCATCTTGTGCTGTTGTTACAATGATAATGTAGGTCGACATCTGTCCAAATATTACTGCAAGCATCTTATGCTGTTATGACAATAATAATGAAGGTTACATGTATATCTGTCTAACTTTTACTGCAATCATCTCATACTGTTGTGACATTGATAATGTAGGTCGACATCTGTCCAAATATTACTGCAAGCATCTCATACTGTTGTGACATTGATAATGTAGGTCGACATCTGTCCAAATATTACTGCAAGCATCTTATGCTGTTATGACAATGATAATGAAGGTTACATGTATATCTGTCTAACTTTTACTGCAATCATCTCATACTGTTGTGACATTGATAATGTTGGTCGACATCTGTCCAAATATCACTGCAAGCATCTCATACTGTTGTGACATTGATAATGTAGGTCGACATTTGTCCAAATATTAATTACTGCAAGCATCTAATGCTGTTATGACAATGGTAATGAAGGTTATATCTGTCTAAATATTACTGCAAGCATCTCATGATGTTATGACAATGAAAATGTAGGTAAATGTATATCTGTCTAAATATTACTGCAATCATCTCATACTGTTGTGACATTGATGATGTAGGTCGACATCTGTCCTAATATTACTGCAATCATCTCAAACTGTTGTGACATTGATAATGTAGGTCAACATCTGTCCAAATATTACTGCAAGCATCTCATGCTGTTATGACAATGATAATGTATGTCGACATCTTTTTTGACTAGAAGATATTTGATAAAGGTTATACTTGAAAAACGTATCTAACTAGCTTCGTGAATAAATTACAGATCACTATTGGTAGTTATAATTGAGTGTAAGATACATTTTTTACAATTATCTTTGAGTGAAATTTTAATAATAACTGTCACATGGCCAGCATTATCATTAAAAAAAATATA